GAAACCCCAACGTCACCGAAGAATACTCGCGATCAGTGATGATGATTCGCTTCTTGGATCGATCCACCCGACGCTGTTCCCACAAGGCGTTAAGGTTTCGAACCACAGCAGCTGGTTCACTTCTGGTGTCAACAAATTGATTGTTTTGTTTCTTACCGCAATAAACCTCGAACCTGAGCATGAATCCACAGCGTTCAGATACCGACTATATAAAATAGCGCAAATGAGCATACCTGGAGCAGTAGTGGGTTTTCCCGCAACACACAGCGAACAGCTTGGTGCCGTACTTGTGCGGCTTATTCTTCAGGAAAACTCGTATTTTGTTCCGCGAACTTCTTGAAGGGATAACCATCTCGTCGAATGCAACCCAGCGCCCTAGTTCCATTCCACCCTTGAAAGTAGTCTGTAACTTGTTTATCACGTTGCGAATCTTCCATGCGCGGTCCGTCTTAGCCTGCGGAGCCTGGCCCTTTATTAAAATAACGTGGAAGTCACAGTACCTGTTAATCTCCTTGAAACGCTTGCGAACCATAAATGGCGACCAAGTCCAGCTGGAATCGCTCCACGGGCTCGCGTCTTCCAATGATCTTCCAGTCGAGACTTTATCGGGCAAATAGCCCTGGATATTACTAGGGCCAGAAAATGCATGATCTCCGCGGCAAGTGCGTCTTTGAACGCGTCCAGCTCCTTTTTCTTTGCTTGAAACATTTCCTTGCGTTTGTGGATGTCGTCCGTCTTCTTTTCAATGGACAACTTCGCCTGTCATGTAGTAATAAAAAGATCAGAAGGTTTCATCGTTTTCGCTGCCTCTATAGCCGAGGCAGTAAGTTGAGGAGGGTCCGTAAAAACATCCGTAGCGCCGGACAGGTCCGAGTCATCCTGTTCGTCGGTTACCGGTAGCAACTCCCAACCATTGTCAGACATGCCTCGAAGCATTTCATCTGTTATGTAGTCCTGGGGGCCGGCAACCGCGCGAATTTCCTTTGCTGTTTCGACACTAAAACCTTCGTTTCCGGTATCACCCGCAATATAAAGCTCATCTGCAAACTCATCTTCAGAATCGTCGTCGGTACTCTCGCCAGAACAGCCATCCGATTCCAGCACCTCGTGATCGTCATCAATACCCACGTTCACTTCATCAGCAAGCATGTCCGCACGTCTTTTCGATTTCTTCCCAGATTCTCGACTCCCGGGAGACGAAAAAGTACGTCGATTTTGCGAGGGTGTTGCGGTTGTTTCTGCTGTCTGCCGGGGCGATTTTCTTTTTCTGGGAGCCTTGCCTGACCCTCTGGAATCTGCTCGCGGTACTGGCGTACCATCCGCATCCGCATTGTTTGAGATCCCGTCACCCCAAGGCTCAACACCACCACCTGCATTTGAGATCGCCTCTTCCTCGGTAGTCTCGGGAAAGTAATCCGGGTAATCGTACTCGTAGTCATTTTCGGTTCGATCATCGGTTTGCCGGCTCTCGGTAGCCACATTGTCAGCATCATTGGTTACTCTCACTCCATTATTTTCTGGAATCGATGTTCTGCCTGCTTGGCGAGCTGTAGATCCACCGGTGGGTTTCTCGTTCTCATCGGTATCTTTCCGAGGGCTGTCATGGCCTACCGTCCCGGTAGCATCGGTGACTTCAGCTGGAGCTGGGTTTCCGAGCATAGCTTGACGTGCTGCTTTCTGGCGACACCTAAACTTCTCCAATTTGTCAGGGCAGTTCAGATTGGAGGCAGGCTCCCAGCTCGTTTGGGAATATCCCTTCCATTTCTCCTCAAAGTAGGACAAGCCACAACGAAAAGTTTCACGAAGAATTTTTTCCACTTCGTACACTTCCTCCGCACCTGGGCACCATTATTACAGTTAGTACATTTCCCCCACAACCAACATAAGAGCATGTGACAAACACGTGCTGCTTGTTACCTTCAGAACCCTCTTGGTGATTTGCAGGGATTTTAGCCGTCACGTGGCTACCTCGGTCAGGCAAGTCCGCTGTTCGGGTTACTTTTATCTTCAACGCGCGTGTCTCTTGAAGTTGTGCTGCCTTGAACTTGTTGAGGAGCTCAGGGCAATGCAGATTCGATTCCGGCTCCCACGACGTCTCGTCGTAACCCTTCCACTTTACATGGTACTTGGGCTCTCCACGCACGAACTTCATCTCGATGATCTTCTCGACTTCAAACTCGTCTTCTGCGGCATTATGAACGTCTACTATAAGATCGCTACGACGCTTTGCTAGTGAAAAATGCGTTTTGCTTACCGGATTCCTCGGAGTTCGCTGTCCTCGCTGCTTTTCTTCGCGCCTTTCGGGGCGGCTGGGCGTCGCGCCCGCTGCCTACTCGGCGCTACTGTGCCATCTCGAAGAGTGACGGTGGACGGGGGGGGGGGGGGGGCAAAAGGCGCACTTCTTGCATCCGGATGCGTGGGCATTGTTGACCTTGATCATACAACTATACTGATATTAAATTTCGAATCTAAACACATCCGGATACGAAGCACGACAGAGCAGATCGTATACTTGTAATATCTCGATGTTCAGTTGCAAGTGCCAATGTTGACATCGCAGGTGAATTGCTTAGCAGATTCCTTTGGCAATAACAAATAAACTGCTTCTAGAGCTCCTCAACATTGTTTTCACAGTGATAAATACACGCTCGGCGTCGCACTCACGTGCACGTAACCCACTACATGGCAACGGGCATCACGACCGAGCTCGCGAGAAGCGAAACGACGGGCATGACGGCCGCACACCCACCCACGTGCATGTAAAGAAGAGGGATTCAACGTTGGGCTGGGGAATGTCAACATTGACATCGTGAGGCGCTGGAACTCCAGATCAGCGAGGCATCGAAGCTCACCAGAAAACTTGACGGCAAGCATAGCAACACCCGGAGCAGCGACTGCTGCACGGCGAGCATAGCTGCGGCAGGCATAGTGGCGGCGTAGGCGATAGATGAACAGCGAGCATGGCGGCGGCGGCGAGTGCGAACGTAGAGCAGCATTCCGGTGAGCCCGGTCACAGCGACATGACGAGCATGGCGGCGGCCGGCACAGCGAGAGCGGCATGACGAGCATGGCGGCGGCCGGCACAGCGAGCGCAGCATGACGAACGTGGCGGCGGCGGCACGGGCGACAACAGCACGGCGAGCATAGCGGCGGCCAGAGTAGGGATCAACAGCATGGCGAGCTTGGTGGCGGCCTTGGTGGCGACGGTCGATGCGAGCCGGGCGACGGCATAGTTGGGGAAGCGCGCTGGAGCAGTAGCTGGCGATTTCGGAAATGAGGTTTGGGATTGAGCGCGCGGAAACGATCTTCTGGCACGGATCGCAGCGCGAGCGTGATTGGCCGCGAAATGACTGGCCAATTACACGCCACAAATTCAAACGATGGGGGCGCTGATTGGCGTAGATACCGGAGCGAACCCACGGGCGAAAATCTGCGTGTTGCGCGAACTCAAAGCGCAAGTTGGAAAAGCGCGCGAAAAACTGTGTGTTGCGCGAAGCTTGATGGCTGAAGCCAGGCTGATACCACTTCGTGTGACCTTTGGATTGAGCCAATGCTGATTGGCTTATTAGCTTCAACTTCAACCCTCGATAAGCACTCCGAATTATAGTAGTTCTTGATTTAGTGACTACCTAGTACGAGGGCATTTCTTTTACAGTTCTATAGTAACTTACTTTTGCAAGTTCTTCTGCACCAGAAAAGATGGCAAACGGTGCCTGAACGTCGCTCGCCTCGCTACCTAGGCCAGTGTGGTGTCCTCACAAAACGCGGTACCCGTAGATATGAAATACCAACCAATGCGTGCACACGGTTTCTATAGGTGAGCGCTAGCACCATTGAGCTTGTCCGTCGAAAAAGCTCTGCTTCTGGGTGGTCAAAAGCTCACGAGACAGCACACTAATTCCCTCCTGTTCCTCGACAACACTGGTACGAATAGACGCCAGTGACTTCAGCGAGGAATACGCCGCGCTAGCTAAGAACACGGATGCCCCCCCCCTTTATTTTACTGCAATTTACTACATATGGGAGCCCACACACCGCTTGACCTCTGGGGGCTGCATGGAGGTGTCGGTGATGACTTGGCCGGCCCAACAACCCGTGCCGCACCACCTTGCATCGCTGCCTACCAGGGGAGGTCAAGCGATGTGTGGGCTCCCATATGTAGTAAATTGCAGTAAAATAAAGGGGGGGGGCATCCGTGTTCTTAGCTAGCGCGGCGTATTCCTCGCTGAAGTCACTGGCGTCTATTCGTACCAGTGTTGTCGAGGAACAGGAGGGAATTAGTGTGCTGTCTCGTGAGCTTTTGACCACCCAGAAGCAGAGCTTTTTCGACGGACAAGCTCAATGGTGCTAGCGCTCACCTATAGAAACCGTGTGCACGCATTGGTTGGTATTTCATATCTACGGGTACCGCGTTTTGTGAGGACACCACACTGGCCTAGGTAGCGAGGCGAGCGACGTTCAGGCACCGTTTGCCATCTTTTCTGGTGCAGAAGAACTTGCAAAAGTAAGTTACTATAGAACTGTAAAAGAAATGCCCTCGTACTAGGTAGTCACTAAATCAAGAACTACTATAATTCGGAGTGCTTATCGAGGGTTGAAGTTGAAGCTAATAAGCCAATCAGCATTGGCTCAATCCAAAGGTCACACGAAGTGGTATCAGCCTGGCTTCAGCCATCAAGCTTCGCGCAACACACAGTTTTTCGCGCGCTTTTCCAACTTGCGCTTTGAGTTCGCGCAACACGCAGATTTTCGCCCGTGGGTTCGCTCCGGTATCTACGCCAATCAGCGCCCCCATCGTTTGAATTTGTGGCGTGTAATTGGCCAGTCATTTCGCGGCCAATCACGCTCGCGCTGCGATCCGTGCCAGAAGATCGTTTCCGCGCGCTCAATCCCAAACCTCATTTCCGAAATCGCCAGCTACTGCTCCAGCGCGCTTCCCCAACTATGCCGTCGCCCGGCTCGCATCGACCGTCGCCACCAAGGCCGCCACCAAGCTCGCCATGCTGTTGATCCCTACTCTGGCCGCCGCTATGCTCGCCGTGCTGTTGTCACCCGTGCCGCCGCCGCCACGTTCGTCATGCTGCGCTCGCTGTGCCGGCCGCCGCCATGCTCGTCATGCTGCGCTCGCTGTCCCCGCTACCGCTACGCTCGCCTTGACGCTGTGGCCGGGCTTGCCGAAATGCTGGCCTACGGTCGCCCACGCCGCTGAGATCGTCCAGGAGCTCAACTGGTCCGGCCAAGATGTCGATGTTGACTATCCCAGGTCAATGTTGACTTATGTTATGTGTGTTCACACATGGTCGGTGATATGGTGTGGTCAACATCAGAAGCAGCGGAATCTTGGAGTTCGACGACATCCGACGTGTGAGAAATGGAGTTCAAAGCACGACAAATCGTTGACGACTACCGGGCGTATTGGGGAGGACTGCCGCGCGTATATGCAGTACCCGCCTCGGCTCTTTGTGATCATGAGAGGCCTCCCGGGCAGTGGCAAGACAACGTTTGCTCAAGAGGTCACTCGTTATGCAGTAACTGTTGATTTCCGCGCATCGATTTGCTCAGCTGACCTCTTCTTCCAGCGCGGAGGATCCTATGCGTTCGACGCAAGTCGGCTTTGGGAGGCGCATCGAAGCTGCTACGAACAATGCAGAGAACTCCTGTGGCGCAGCCCCGACCGTGGCGTGGATATCGTTATCGTCGACAACTGCAACCTTCGGATGGATGATTTTGAGCGCTATCAGGATCTGCACATTCCCTCGGACAAGCTTGCGGTTGCTGCGTTCGAATGCCCCCCTAGCATAGCGGAAGCAACACAGCTCTTGGAACGAGCTAATCGTGTTGGCCACGCTATCCCTGGTCGCACTTTCGTTGAGTACTTCAACATCTGGAGACACAACGCACCGGAGGAGCCGCGCCCCGACAACGAGGTGGACACCGTTGATGAGCGGCACATCGATAACGAGCTAACCACCGTCAATATGCCGCGCGCCTACATCATCACGCTGGAAGAGTTTATGCGTGATCGCTAACGTGCTGCGGCAATGCCAAAGAGGTGACTGGTAGCTTCAGTAAATCTCTAATTTGACGTATCCACTCTTGTGTTGGCGCTTATCTCACCACTTCTGCATCTTTTTGTAAAGACAACCATGTGCATCTACTCGTACATCTCTCATTGAGTCACCAAGTCGACTACGACTTGGAACGTGTCTACGCTGGCTTAGACACTTGTTACTGAAGCGAGCTCAACAACGACTTATACCAAGTCAACGTTGACTTACAGTCCTCTTGATTCTAAATCGAATTGGTCCACATCAATTTATTTCAACTGTAGGATTTGCGGTTTCACTTTCTCAAAGAACCTTGACTGCAGCAAAGTGCTGATAGCGATGCTGATGGCGAAGCGATCTCAGGCTGCAGAGAGCTAGGGGACTGCTGGCGGTGCTGCTCGCCAGGCGCCCATGACGAGGAGCAAGAAAGCTGCAAAGGCGACGGACAAGCCAGCGACAAAGCGGACGAGCGCGCCCACTGACAAGTCAGCAAACACTGCCAAGACCACGCCTGCCACCGGCAATGCCAAGCAGAAGCGGAAGAAGGGGGAGGGGCCAGGCACTTCGCTAAGCCCCCGTAAGCAGAGGAAGACTGCCAAGAAGACTGGCGAAGGATCCAACGGGACGACGCGCGAGTTGGGCGCCGCGAGTGCATCGAAGGACGAGGCGACGACTCGCGATGAAGAGACGGCTCCCCTGGTACCCAAGCACGCGCTCCGGTCCACGTACTTGGCTCTACAAAAGAAGATCGCAGACGAAAAGGGCGAGCACCGGCAAGGCCCACGGCGCAAGGCAGGTGATTACTACAAGATGGCAGACTACCTGAAGCGTGTGTGGGCGGAGAAATACACAGCTGCTAGGAACAGCGACAACGACTTGGACTACGAGGCTTTGAGCAAGTTGACTCAATTCAAGGCGTTCAAAAACAACCCAGAAGAGATCCAGCGCCACGAGCCTGCGCTGCTGAAAGAGTTCTACGAGGTTTACTTAGCGGACCAAGCCCTGAAAGCAGACGCACACGTGCAGACCGCTGGATCGGGTTCGTCGAAGCTATCGCAACGTGGCGGAGCCGAGCACCTGGCGATCGAGCAATATGACATCCAGGCGGCTCAGCAGCTTACCGCAGCCAGAACACTAGCGTCAGACCAAGCGCCAGGGCCTCCAATCTCGCAGACACCCGTGGTCGTGCAGGAGGAAGGTGCCCCAGCTCGGAGCCTGCAAACCCACCCTTTGCGAGGGGAGTATGCGAATTTTGAACTCTCTATTTCGCAAGCACTGCAGCAGTTCCGAAAGAAGCTAGGGGAGGAGCAAGCGCGGTCAAGGAAATTAGAGGGGCAGTTAGCAGCCGCTAGAAACGAGCTGACCGAACTCAGGAATTTTGATCTCCCAGACAACGATATAACTATCGCGTTGATGAAGGAGTTGCGGAATTCGATTTTACAACTAGCCGAGGAGAAGGCGATTTCAAGTGGCTTGCGCAACAAACTTGCCCATGTGGAAACTGAGTTGAATTTGTCGAAGCAATCCGTCACCACGCACGCAGACAATCTACTTAAGGCGCAGGCTAGCCATGCTAAGAAACTCCAGGATGTGCACGAAGACATGAACAACCTCACGAGAGAGGTGGACGCGCGCAAGAAAAAACTGGAGGACCGGGAGAACGAGGTCGCGAGAGAAGAATATGGAGAACAAGGAGGAAGAACTACAAGTCAAAGCCGAGGAGCTGCAATCGCATGAGGCCAAGCTCAAAGAGGAGGGCCGGCGTCTCCAGAACGTAACGCATCGCCTGCAACGGGAGCGGGAGCAGTTGGACGCGGATAAAAAGAAACGAGAGAAGCCGAGTCGAGAGAAGCAACAAGGAGGCCGAATATCGCTGAGGCAGGCGAAGATTTTGAATGAAATGAAGCGCCAGACCCGGCTCCTGGAAGAGCAGTTCAAGAACAACGGGTGCCCAGCTGCGTTTAAAGAGCTCGAAGCCAACCGCAACCGGATTGAGGAAGAGAGGGCGGCGATGCAAGCAGAACGGGATGCAGTGAGAACGCAGTTGGAATCGATGAAGGCTGCGCTAGAGGCGGTGAAAACGGAGAACAGCGGATTGCAAGACACCATCGCGAGACGAGAGCTGCATCTGCATACGTACAAGTATAGCGCGGTGAGCAAGGAAGCTATCGAAGAGTTCACAGAATGGAACGCCGAGATCAGAAATGGTAAGCCGCTTGAGTTTCTGCTTCAGTGTGGTTTGACATTGTATTGGCTTCCATTGTCTCTGGATTAAAAAAAAAATGTAGGTAACACGAGCACAATGCCGAAGAAGCGCGACTTCATTCTGGGCAAAATGAAGGAGGCGTTTGGATCGAAGACGGCGGGCGCTGAAGAGTTCAAGGCGCTTGTGGTCGAGTTCTGGGAGAAAAGAAATGAGTTGGTCCACGACAAGACATGGACCGTCATCCACTCGATGGACCACGGCAGATACGCGTATGTATGCACGGAGATTATGGAAGCATTGGGCGTGTTGGAGAAAACCATTAATCCTTAGTCTGCCGTAGTTGTGTGTGCTGCTGCGTAACGATGAATGAATACACATTTGCAAGTCACCGATGACTTAAAGCGAGTCAACTTTGACTCGAGTACGCTTGTTTTATTGATCGCGAAGTCAACATGGACTTGAACCAAGTCGACATTGACTCAAACGTACTAGTTTCAGTAATAGCGAAGTCAACGTCGACTCTGAACGAGTCTACATTGACTCGGTCGACAGCGACCCAACGTTGACTTACAACCCCCAAAAAAATAAACTCGGTTTCAGTATGAATCCCCAAAGGGTCGTTTTACTTGAGTTTGTATAGACAGTATCCGAAGCGAAAAATGGCCGACTTTTCAGATGAAGAGGATCGCCAACTCGTTCAGCTCGCGGCGGTGTACGAGCAAGCAGGAAGACAAATCGACTGGGTGTCAGTGGAGAAAGACATGAGGCCGTCAACATGGAGCGCAATCAAACTGCAACAGCGAATCAAGACGCTCAAGAGACGATATGGCAATAACGTGCTGAGTTTCCCCCCACGCTATTTCCGCCCGCCACCAGACCGAGCAGGTCTGCATTTGGAAGCCAAAGCCGCGTCTCCTCTACGGTTTTCGCCTTCACCACATACCATTTCGATCCTATCACCGCAAGAAACCTACAACGCCACTGAAGGACTATGCTGCCTACTCACCAGGCGTGATGTGCGTGCGAGTGAACGTCAGCTAAATACCGGGGAGATTACAATGGCTGGGGTGTCCATGCTGATCGAAGAAGCGAATATTCAAGTGAATGACGTGTTTCTGGATGCTGGATCCGGCGTGGGAAATGTTCTCGCCCAAATCGCTCTGCAAACGCAAGCATTTCGTGTGGTTGGTATTGAGATCCAACGTGACCTGGCCGCTAGAGGTATGGAGCTGATTGCGTCTAGGGCATCGCGCTTTCCTCATCTACGTCTGGTGGCGCTGACAACACGAGTATGTCGTTTTGCAAGCGATGGAAGTTACGGAAAACAATTCAGGTTCCGATGGCTTACAGCAGCTCCCTTCGGCATTTACACCTGTACGCAGCTGAACCAAGATGGTCGATGCAGTAACTACGATCACTACTCTAACGTTACCGCCGAGGGTCAAACCAACAACTATGTACTAATTGCATGAAAATCAATCACAACTCTAATCAACTTCGACCTGCAGTTGAGTTAGACAGCGCAATGAAGCCGCTGTCGCCCCATGAGCTGTCATACGAGGTCTAGAGAACCCAAAACAAGATGAAGTGTTCGTAGCGGACGAGCTTACTCGAGTCGACGTACGGCATCGTGGGCTCCGTAACCAGACCCCAGCTGACCATGAAGACTCCATGCTTCAAGCCGTCGTTGTATCTGTCGTTCCTGGAGTCTTGCCACACCCCGCTGTCCCTGTCGTGCTCTTGGCGTCCTCCCTGCCGCTTGTTTCCACCGTCGTGCCTTCGGCATCGTTCTTGGACATTCGCTGTAGAGTCGACTCGCGTTAGGGTGAAGTCTCAGCACCCGCATGGTTTCAGCGGTGGGGGCACGTAGCTTAGGTAGGTGGGGGCAGATGCGCAAGATCGCCTCGTTGCTCAACTCCTGCCGGGAGTAGCCGATGAACAGCTCGTTCTGAATGTAATACGCCTGTTGACAACAACACCACCAGCATGAGCCCCTAGATATGAACGACAAAGCTGCCAAGACGCCACCTTACCTTGTGGGGGTTGAAGATGGTGTCCAGCTCGCACACCTACCGAGTCCACTACATCTCTCAGCGTCAGCCTCCCTTCTGCTAAAGCTCCAGTAGCCCTGACGCCTCACATACATTGCTGAAGTAGCGGTCGAGCTCCTCCACGAACAGGGGCGTCCAGGTCTCGATCGAAACAACTCGGTCTTCGCAGTGGCACCGGCAGAACCGTATTCGTAGCTCCTCGACCAGCGTACCTCGCGCGTGTGAAGGCATCTATAGAAGGCAATGATACAAGGGAAAAGAAAGTTAACATTAGTGAGCGGTGCATCCTATCAACTCAGAATTTTACCATAGCGTAGAAGCGCTAATCCGTCGCGGGCACCTGGCAATCTGCGGGTGTAAATGCTTGTGCGGTGGCCAATGGTGGCGCGGAAGCCCGGCACACATGCCCATCTACCTTTCAAGGTGAAAAATCCGCAAACAGATCGCATTGGCCAAAACGCTCTCGGCGGGACCTTGAAGAGTCGCAGTTACCCTAACCACCTGTATGGCTTGAACCGACAGTTTCCCCGAAGTTTTTCTTATCCCAGCAAAATCGGGATAACGGTCGCCGGTGGGTTAAGCGGGTCAGACAGCACGGACAAACTACATTTCCCTTCTTATTTCTAACTATCCTGGCGCGGCTTCTTTTGTGCAGAGGAAGTTTGCCTTTTGAGGTCGTCTCCAACTGTTTCGTAACCCTGGCAGGACAGATATATTCCGGTGATTCAAAGTCCTGAAGCATCCGCAGTAGACTTGTTCATCCACGTTGTAATGTCAGCCGGGACTGTCGGGAAAGATGACGCGGATTCCTTTGCCCATTGAGTCTGCAGCTGATTCCACCCCACTTGTAAATGTATCTTGCGGAGCTAGTTGCGAGTCTACGGCTTGAAAGCGACCGACACCGGAACGTAGCGTGCCAGTCTCCCCCACTTGAAAGTCGTCATCAGCCTGTTTAGACAGCGATTCTTGACTCCAGACCGAGCCGATGGTATCGCTGGGGCTAGGACCTGACGGGGTTACGTCCATACTAACTTCGCCTTGCCGTATGCGTTCCTGCCACGATAATAGTTGCTGTATAGTGATGTCGTACGTTTCCGTCCATGCTGTTTCCGCCGCCGAGTCATCCCAGTCTATGTCATGGAACCCCTTCACCTTCCCAGGGGAGAGTCCGTGGAGTCCAGTCGCTGGAAAAGCGTGTAACTCGGGTTTGCGGCTACCCCCATATTCCTCGATCGCATTGAACTCCTGGCGTTCAGCGTCGGTCAGGTGATGTCCGCTCTTCTCGCTGTTACATGCTACCATCTCAGTCATCTCTACGTCGTTAACCAATTCGTCCGCACCAGCAGACAGCGTCAGTTCCACGACGTCCTACGCAGTTGCTGACCCTGCGGCGGTCATTGGAGCGATTGGCAGTTTGAAGCGCAGTCGCAAGTAGTGTCGTGCTGTAAACTTCAGAACAATTGGAGCTGTGCCCTCTGCGTACGTTGCTTGACGTGCCGCTTGAAGCCGCTTGATCCATCCCTTTGGTTTCTTCCCTTCGTAGTTGCGTTCCTTCACTGATGAGAAAGTCTCGCCCAAGTTTTCTACTTCATCTGGCTGGAAGATTAGATAGCTAGCGTCGTCCAGTCCCGAAGGCGCAACGACCACAAAGATTTCGCGTTGAATAATTTTTGCCAACAACCGGAGCGTCACCTCCGTGCCCCAGTAACGATAATCGATGTATGCTGCAAGCTCGGATGTTGTACAGCATAGTTCGTGCAAGTAGTTCTTCAGACCTTGTGCTGATTGCGCCTCCGTTAGGCGCGCTTCGCCGTTGGTTAGACCTTCGTCCAACGAGCTAAGTATCGCTTCACGAATATCGTGAGGAAATTCTTGCTCGAAGTAGTGGCTTACCGCCGACCACATTCCTTTCTTGAGCTTCGATGTCAGATTTTCAAGCGCAGGTACGCTACTTTTGTCGGCGAAGTCTCGGTTGAGGAGAGCCATGGCCACCGCATAGTACTGGCAATTCCCTGTTTTCGGTGTGGCTACCAGCAGTGCTGGAGCACATCACTGATGATACACGAGATGTACACTCCGGTGTCTGTGGTGTGGACCACATAAGTCGACTTGTGTGCGAAACGTCGCGTGCAGCCATTTCCAGGTCGTTAGATCAACCATGGGCCGCGGGGACAACCAAATGCCGAGCATCTGCTTCGACGACGACTGTCAGGTGCGCGTGCTGGACAAGGACAGCATCACGCGCACGCAGGAGCTCGAGCAGGAGTGCAACCAGTTTGCAACAAGTAAGCGTCGTGCGGTTTTCGTTATCAAGCACGAGTCTGACTTGGATGGCATTTATTTTGCAGAGCTCGAGGAGTTCCATGAGATCGTTAAGGGTGTGCTGGAGGTGATGGCCAGGCAAATCGTATCGAGCGCGAAAAACTTAAGGTTGCAACCGCGAGGCAATTGAGTGCCGATGTTAAGGAATCACTAACTTACATGAACTGCAGGCAATCGTTCAGCGCAACCGCGTGGACAGCGAGGTGGAGAATCGGAATCGCCAGAAGCAGATGCTGAAGCTGCTGATCAAAGAGAAGAAGACAGAGCTGGAACGGTATGCCGCTGGTAGGGATGGAAAGCAGGAAGTTCTTACTAACTGTGGCTACTTGGCCCAGATACAACCTCCAGTTCCAGTCGCTGAGCAAGATCGCCGACGAGCAGCAAGCGCTCATGGACAAGCTCAGCAACAACGAGGCGTAGCGTCGTCTTGTGTCGTGGACACCCACAGTATCGCTGCCTTGAGCAGCAAGTTGTGGCGGCCGACAACACCTCGACGCCTGGTAGTTGTAGATTCGCAGTCGAGCTGAACTGTACCACACAGTCAAGTTGTTAATGAGTACTTTAAGTATTGACGAGAACGGCTACTAGCAGAGTAAGCAATGAGTACAATAATGCAATAGCCCATTACACCACCAATGCAATATCTGTCCTCCCAGCCTCAAGCAACGCCCCTTGTTATTTGCAGTAATCGACCAGGTCCCAAACGCCGCTCCCAATGAGGAGAGCCAATCATAATTGAGATTCCAAATGACTTCAACAAAGTATGGACTGGTTTATCGGCTCCAAAGCCAAGAAAAAACTTTAAGGTTTTATTTTTGGCCGGCTGCGCAGCCTTCTCCGCCTTCACACTTTCCACCCCGCGTCTCCAACACGACAGCGCGCTCCGAGCGTGCCGCACGCCTCCCCCGCCGACCACCCCAGACCCGAGTGCCCCCAGGCGCGCCCCACGCGCCCCACGCAAGGACCCGTCGAAAGCAGCTACAAAACCCGGCAGGGCGGGTGTTATGCTGCCGATTTTGGTAGCTGTCGACCAAGCACGAGGTCGTGCGCGCTCGCTGACGGTATGTGAGCGTTTTTCTATTGTGTATGACTTTGTATCGGGACTGACGGGAATCCATGCGCTGTGCTTAAGTTGTGGGATGGCGATGACGGGTGCATTTGCGCCTTGAATTCGATTGTCCATGTTGTATGAATAGGAATGTATTAAGCGTTAATACAAGCTGCGTGATCCTACGACTCCAAGTCTTTTTGCTTCCATTGGTGACTAGCTGGTGTGCAGCAGTCGACGATGCCACCGTTCGCTTTGCGGGTGATAAATGCTGAGCAGAGCGCGTCGTACGCAGAGCGGTGGTCAACGCGCAGCTTTCTCCAGCGCTTCCGTAGCGGCCCGCGGTTTTGGATCGGCCTTTACCGTCGATACTCCCAAGCGCAGCGTTGACCTTCTTGTCCAAGTCTTCCGCTAGCGTCCAGACACGCTGCTTCCACAGCCGATACGCGACGCCGTCCCGGTCCAGTGGCGCCGTTGGTACGTCTACCTCTCGCCCTGCTGCTATGATCATGATGTTGACGCCTACCTTGAGGTCAGCGCGAACAAACTGTTGTTTCTTTTGGGTTGCCGTGTGCCACAGCTCCAGTGTGTACCAGTTGTAGAAGCAGCTAGCAAGAGAGTGCGCTTCAACGACGGTGTCAGTGCTCGCCTGCGGGGCCTGGCCAGCACAGCGACAAGGAGCAGGACCGTCAGCGCTCGTGGACTTGCTCTCGTGGACCGCGACGAGCTTCTGAAGTGTGTGCTGCATTGCTGCGATGGACGATAGCATCTGGGTGACGGCTGCGGCAAGTATGGTGGTGTTTCCATTGCTGAGTTCACCCAGCTGTCCGAAGTTCTCCGTTTGCCAAGCCGTGCGAAGCTGCCGACCCCAACCAATGCACGTGTCCAGCGAGAGTCGAGCTCCCAGCGCTACGTTGGTTGCGTCCAGAGCTTCGTGGAAGCGGTACAGGTAATGCGATGTGAAGCCTGTGGCAGCCTGCTCCTGCTGGACTGCCGTCGCGACGTCGTCAAGATGGATGAGCAGGGACGCGAGCGCCGCATCCAGGACTAAGGCGTCAACGTTGAGCGTGGTGTCCGTGAAGCCGCTGACGTTCTTGAAGAGCTGGCCGCGCAGGGTTAGCAGCTGGGCGTACTCGAGCGCAGGAAGAAGCTCGCTCAAGGTGGCAATCGTGGGCGTGACGCATGGCAGGTGCGGGTCTCGGTATCCAGCGAGGACTTTGCCGACACTCTGGTCCTCGCGTGTCGTGGTACCCACGTACGCGAACGCCTTCGTGAGCGAGTCCAGCAGCCAAGCTCCCCGGGTCGAGATCCACTGGATCGCAAGCTGCGGTTGCATGCGTTGCGGAGCCGCGGCGCAAGGAGTGGCTGCTCAGCCCTGCGGTGAGCGTCGGGGGCAGCGGGGCAGAGGCCTGGGCTTGGCGCTCGCAGACCATGGTGATGACGTCGTTAATATACTTGGACACGTTGGGCCTTCCTCTCACGCGCTTTGTTGGTGGCTCGTTCCTTGGTTCAGCTTTCTCTTCAAGGTTCTCCCAGTAGAGTATAGCTTCGGCTTGCTGTAGGTCTTCTCCCCTGGCAAATCCGATGCCGCCGCGTGCGGCACTAGCGGGAACACATAGCTGGAAGGCTCCGACGCTCCGACGAACAGCATTCCGAGGCCGTGCAGCATACACTGCTCCCAGTGAGTCGCGGCCTTGTAAATTGAGATGCCTTGAACCACCGAAGTCTTGATTCGAGCTAGATGCAGAAAGAGCTCCCCCGATGCCGCCATAGATAGCTGGCTCTTCCTAGCAAAACAGGTATCGATCGCTCGACCAAACGTGTGCCACATTAACGTTAGTACAGCAGCGTCATGCAAACTCTTATAACCTGAGCCAACCCCCTTAATCGCAGTTTCCTGCACCAGAACACGCAAGTCGCCGAGCGTGCAGCCTGGAGCTTCACCAGTCTGCACGCCAGCTAGCAAATTTCGCTCCTCAATAGTTGAACCCATTTTGTCGCGTATTTTCGCAATTCGCTTGGTGTCTGACAAGTACAGAGGGTACCGCTCTCGAAGCAGGTTCACAACTTGGGACATATAGCCCACAGCAGTAGCCTTAGCAAGACGGCCTCCTCGAGCACTTGGCTTAGTTTGCAAGAAAATGGAGAATGCGGTTAGCAAAGAGTAAAAGTTTTGACTTGGTAGAGCATCAGGAATAGACAGCGACTTCGCAATACTAGCAATTGACTCCTCATTCATGTTAGCAAGAGCTAAGAATTCGCTGAAGCACTTCATCGCCGCTGCCTCCTGCCCTGCTGTCCCTTGCGGGATGTCAAGCCCTCTCGGCGCCCGCTGCATCTTTTCAAATGGGAGAGGAGAGAAAGCAGACGAGTCACAGCCACCAACGATACAATCATGATTTGTATTGGGAATTTGCGGTCAAATATGAGTAATGCAACAATTACACTAAACTTTTGTATTGGATATTATTCTAGCAAGACTGTAAATTCCCAAAATAATTGGGAAAATGTTGGGATACACACGAATCGATCGTGATTGGCTAAAATCATTGAAGAACTTGTCCTGATTGGATAGATGCAATGACAGAGAAGCGCAAGGAATGCCAAGTTGGGAGAAAGCTTCCTTATCCTACAGTAATCGACCAGGTCCCAAACGCCGCTCCCAATGAGGAGAGCCAATCATAATTGAGATTCCAAATGACTTCAACAAAGTATGGACTGGTTTATCGGCTCCAAAGCCAAGAAAAAACTTTAAGGTTTTATTTTTGGCCGGCTGCGCAGCCTTCTCCGCCTTCACACTTTCCACCCCGCGTCTCCAACACGACAGCGCGCTCCGAGCGTGCCGCACGCCTCCCCCGCCGACCACCCCAGACCCGAGTGCCCCCAGGCGCGCCCCACGCGCCCCACGCAAGGACCCGTCGAAAGCAGCTACAAAACCCGGCAGGGCGGGTGTTATGCTGCCGATTTTGGTAGCTAATGCACGGATACGATACTGCTGATCCGTCGGGACAAACTCGCGGGTAAGCGCTGCTTGGAACTCGTCCAGCGAATTCAGGTACTGACCGTCAATCACCACACGAGTGTGGTAAGGTACGGTGCCACTTGTGTGCCTTAATGTAATCCCGCTCACTGTTTTGCTCATAACGCTTATTAGGCAATTAGTTTTGAGATGTAAACGCATATCTGAAGAGAGCGCAATCTCTTCTGTTAGCAGACTGTTTTACTGATGAGCAATTAGGAGTTGCTGACTATTTGCAAACCCATTCACGGCAGGACCAGTTATCTGCCGCATTTTATCTGTGGTTTTGTAAGGGGGACAAATCTCATGACAGCACCGAAACAACCTGTACAAAATGATTTGCACCCATTTGTAATCGTATAAGACAGGATATACGATATCACAATATGGTACACAATATTATGTGATTTGTGTATAAATATAGTATGATTTGTGCTCAGAGGCAGCGCTGCCACAGCTTAGTGGTAAAGTCCTCGGATCATAACGGAGAGGACGGTGGTTCGATTCCACCTGGCAGCATTAACTCAACCAAAAGCCTAGTGGGCTAACTGTCAATTAGAGCATTAGGGGGCTGCCACAGAACTGCGAAAGCGACCGACGGCTGCCACCGAGTGAACGGATTGACCGCCAGTATGCTTAGTACCATGAGTCGGGTTCCCCTTCTGATAACGGTTTGAGATCGTCAAATCTCAAAAAACGGACATCACAGCGGGCCCAGGCATACAGAGGGATATCGTATCACTATAGAAAGTAGGATATAAACAACAAAAACAATGAAGACAATGTGGTGGAAAATGCCCCAGTAAAAGCTTTTTTCTTTGGTTATACTGAACTATCGCCTCCCACACAACTTTATCCTGCTGGTTTGCCTCACCGTGCTTCGACGCAGACTGGAACTGCAGCTGCACAGGCTCCGACACCGGAGAGGGCACCCTCTTCATCTTCGTCGCCTTCGTTGCCATCGGATGCTTCTTCGTCTTGGCTGCCTTCTTGGGCTTCTTCATCGGTTGTGCCATCGCTTCCAGTGTTTCCTTGGTCAAAAGACGACCGGCGACCGTTGCTGTCTTGCGCACCCGCTTCTTGGACGGCGGTAGCACGAGCACCTCCTTCTGTACGACCTCCTTGATCCGGAGCCACACTGCCAGCTTCGTAGATGCGGGGGTCCCGTTGCGCCGGAAATTGTCGATGCACATGTCCATACGAGGCTTGGACGGAGGGAAAAGGCCGCACCCAGCAAACCCCGCTTTGACGTTCTCACCCATCTTGCATCCTACCCATGCTGTGCTTGCCATCCGGATGGCTTCCTCTTTGTCGACCGAATTGCGTCCAGTCTCGCCAGCGTAGATCTCGGTTAGGCGGCGTAGCTTCGCCTAGAACGACGAAAACACAGCGACATCCAGTGGTTGAAGCAGGTGGGTCGCGTTCGAAGGAAGCAACAACAGAAGCACGCCAAGCCGAACTGCCTCTAACATGATCTCCACGGAGTAATGAGACGAACACCCATCCAGAATCAGGAGAAGAGGTCGCTGCACGTCCTTGGGCACGCTAGCCGAAAAAAAGCGCAGCCACTCAAGAAAGAGAAATCCATTCATGAACCCGGAGCTCGATGTGGTGACGGCAGCTCTGGGTATGGCGCAGCCATCTAGAACTTCGAGCTTGACTGTCAACCCCGGCAGCACGAAAAGCGGCGGCACCATGCACCCCGACGCGCTGCCACACGCGAACAGCGTGAGGTGAAAATTGAGCGCAACGTCTTGGTGTCAAACGTTCTTGGAGCCTCAAACCACCACGACACGCTTGGAGCCCTTGTTGGTCTGAAACGCTGTTTCGTCCATGTTGAACACGCGAGACGCGTCCAAACGATTCTCGACCACAGCCTTGATCAACGAGCTAAAAAACTGCTCGAGATCGCTCTTGGTCACAGCGTTGCGGGCCTTGCATACCGCCTGAGACGTTCGGGTTGCCAGCATCGGGTGTCGCCCCATGAAGCGGCGGTACCACCCGCCACCAACCGTTTGACCAGTGGCCATGGAGCTCATGGTGCCGGCTTTGAAGATGATCTCCTTGCGACTTGCGGGGTGACCGACCAGTTGGCGCCCGACAATCCACTCGACCAAGCATGCCTCCGCTGGTTGCGAGGGCAGCGGAGCCGGGCCATGACGAACAGGTGCGCGGAAGATGCCCATTTCCCCCTTCGCGACCCATTTCGTAAGGGTCCGATACGGAATTGGGGTACTGTCGCTGACACTGCGGGCGCTGTCGCCGGCGAGGACGCGCTTCACTGCAGAATTGAGGTCTTCGATCTCGTACGCGGGCATTGTCGAGGTGGTCGCTGCGGGGTTGGTGGGTGGTTTGTAGGCTTCAGGGAATAGGAGACTGAGCTCAAACTGGCGGGAAATGTGTCTTGTTCGTATACAGTTTGGCGGGTTTTACTGGCTGGTAGCGCTTACAGACTTTTTACCAATAGGGTTCTTTAAAAATACTTACGGCATTCTAATTGGTTGAAGCTAAAGTGGCACGGAACTGGCAGATTGCACGCGACTGGCACCGTACCTTACCAGGAGGCTGCTCCAGCTCGTACATTGGCGGCGAGCATAGCCACCACGCGATGCTGGTTGGCCGCCAGGTGGTAGTCGATGTTCTTGCCTCTCATAAAAAGCTTGGCGCGAAACACAAACTCATCCACGTACTCCTCTGGGAGACCTGAGAAGGTCGGCATTGAAATGCCCTCGATGCGAACTTCTCGTTGCATGTGGGCATCACGTTGTTGCTGCAGCTGCTCGGCCAATTCTTGCGTAAACGTAGTGTTCTGTTGCTGGAGATGGTTGGTCAAGGCCGCCAGAATGTTAGCCACATTCGTAGACGTCACTGGCATTGATTGGGGTGCTGGGTTTGGCGCCTTCGAAGTGTTGAGGTCGTCAGAGTTCATGATTCAGGAATTTTCAGAAAGGATAGGTCAAAATGCAGGTTTTTTCTGGAACTGGATTGATCGAAATGTAGTTTTTCTGGAACGGATTGGTCGAAGTTGATTGGTCAGACGCTTGGTGGCCCTCTCGCCCGCGACGAAGGCAAGTGCTACCAAATGTAGTATAGCACACGGACAGCGGAGCGAGTGACGGACGGAGCGAAGAGAACGGACGGGGAGTAGCGGTGCTGAGGAGGCTTGTTGTTTAGCAGGTAAATTGCAGAGTGAGCTTAATACACGGGACATCTACTTCCACTGGCACCCTCGTAGCAGAGACCTCGTAGGGAAGGGGGCAGCACGGTCAGGATGGGCTTCAATCCGTCGATACTGAGCTCTCTGTCAATGTCTCGTGATGCACAGCGGCGTGGCGAAGCTTGACTTGCTGGCAACAAGCTTACGGGGAACTCGTCGATTCGTGACGGATGGTGACGTCTCCGAAGGAGGCCATCGATTTGCCTTGCAGGCGATGACAGTCGTTGACACGGCAGCTACATTACATCCACAGCAGATGATGGTGCTGGTGGAGCACCGGGTTGCCGGGATGGACGAGTATGGACCGTCAAACCGGGACGGCTATTGAAGATCGTTAGTTTTGCTAAATGAATTCAATATACCACACACTGAAAATGAAAATGAAATCAATCTATACTCCTGTTAGTTCTACTTACACTTGCAAAAGTGCTCAAGTGTTCCGTATTTCCGGTAGAGATGGCTTTGTAGGTATTATAACTGGATATGAAGAGTATGGACCAGTAAGTAGTTCTTCAGACGTCTCAGTGTCTCGCTCCTCAAGAAGGTGCCCACAGCTAGAACATTATGTCGATGGGCAGGAATAGAGTCGAATTCCGTTCCTGTGCTAGATGAAAGTCAAATCGCTCTCGAGACACTCATTCACTTTGAGTGCTATAAGCCCTGAGTAGTTGAGTAGTAATAGTGATGAAGACCTACCGTGGTGCCGGTCTCCGACACTGCGATGGCGCATGTTTGCGTGAATAGTTCCAGGCAATAATGCAGTGACTCTATTAAATAGGTTTTGGTCATACAGCCAGAGTACAAAAATTTTACCCTGGCTGTATGACCAAAAACTAGTATTGAAATACGACTTTACTCTGTTGATCGCTGTAGCCCGATACAATCACTGAACATACCAGACGTTGAAGTGAGTGCCGAAAGACGTAAACTTGGTAGAGCTTTCGTTAATGTACGTGTTCACCAGCGCAATATCTATCGTCGCAAAAAAATCGCGCCTTGGGCCTTCAACCATGCCACTGACGAGCTTCTGTACACATGTTTCAAGACGTATTTACCACCAACAACACAATTTATCTCTAGTAACATCTAATACAGCCCAAGTGGTGGTCAAAGCGTCTTGACAATAATCCTTCCAGCAACAGCTATATGTATACCAGTACATGACAACGTGAGGAATAGGAGCGAGCAAAATATAAGTATGTGCATTGATATGGGTTTCACTATACAGTTCCAGTCTGAGCTTCTTTTGCTTTTGCTGCAGGATGCCAGACACCGTGTTGCACTTGCAGATCGGCTTCTAGCACGTGTTTTTGGCCAGGCGAGATCTAGCTGGCTGGGCAGAAATGATAATCTTGGTTCATACTAATCAATGTGCAAAATATTAAAAGTAGTTCTAGGTCTGGAACTTGCGTTAAGTACTAAGCCTACATGGGCATCATGCACAATACCATGCTGCTATTCTATTGATTCTCAAATGCCGGGCTATCAGGAGCTTTCACGCACTGAGTAGTACATTATAATTGAGTACACAGGACTCGGTCTTGAGTCAGCACCGCTCGCTTCCTTGATGAAGTGCAAAGCGTCGTGCTCTCGGCGCCCTACGCGGCGTTGGCTACTCGATGATGCTACCGCATACTGGTAGATACAGCTTTCACTCCTTGTCGATGTACGGGGACCGAAGTGGACAGAGTGACGTCTGCTTTGCGCGAGCAGCTATACAGCTATACAGCAAACAGCGCGGCCCTGCCAAAGCAAACAGGGCAGACCTACCTTCCATAAAAAGCCAAGCCGAATAGCCAATGACTGCGTCGTTCGGACAATTATTGAATTTCAGCCAATTAGCTCATCCTTTAAAACGGGAAGCGCAGGGTTCAAACAGAATCATTGGGCACCGGGTGGGACAACCAAACGCGCCGTTTTGGCACGTTTTAGTTCGATTACACTTAAGCTATTATACTATTCAATTTCAAGTCATTCGCGAAAGGGTTAAAGTGCATCAATAGAGAACCTTCGGAACCGCGTTTGAGTTGAGAGATTTAGCTTCAGAGTGAACATATTTATGTAATCTGAATAGCTACAGAATCGTTATTTTGGGAGAAGGTTTGAGTTTCAATTTCAGATTGAGATAGACGAGTGGCATGGAGGCGTGAGGTGCGTAGAACGTGTTAGTCGGCTAGCTCAAACAAGCGCCTGCGTGTGGTAGTCAACATAAATACATCGATATGTATACGTATGACTTCATGCCCGACTGCGCATAGCCACATATAGCTTCGTATTGGAAGCGTTGCAGCAGAAACGATGAAGGAAACCTCCCAACAATCCATGACTCTGCACCCGGGTGGCGTGTGTTTCTTGTGGAATCTCTTTGGGTGTCGTTTGTCTTCGAACGTGAGACTTGCACTGCGTGAGTTGCGGGAAACAGGATAATATCGCTAGGACCAGAAAGCGGAGCCAACGCACACTTCAGAACGCAGCTTTCACAGCCTGGATCCGGAGAGATAACCTTAACAATACAGAGTTATACACAAATATACAATACACACAACCGTCACTTATTCTTTGGTTGGCCCTTGGACGGTGGGCCCTACACACCAGTCAACAAAGAGGGTAGATCCAGGACACTGGCAAGTCCAAGACCCTCAATCAATCGCGCACCACCCTCAATCCAGAGGGAAAAAGCCGAATCAATACAAAACACAGTCCTTCCTATCACTCAGTAGCCTATCGACAAATCACTAGGTGGTGACTACCTCAACCGCCCTAGGAGTAGCTTAATATGAAATGGCAGTGCTGTCCAGGACAAATACTCCAACTAGAATATGAAATAAAGCTTATCAACCCTGGCCGCACGACAGCCCAGGTACTCGCCTTAACTTGATTTGATACTTACTATGAGAGCTCCACACACGACCCTTACGTTCTTAGCCGATGTGCCCTGACTGCAGGGGGAAAACCAAAGACACAAGGCTCCTTTGAGTCTGAACTAGCTCTGAATAGCCTGGCCCCCAACCGAAGACACTTGCGCTGTAGCAGGAAAAACGAACTCTGTTTGGTCTTATCTTTGTAGGCTATCACTAATCGTAACATGCAGTCTTGGAAGTTTTATCTTGGTTTCAGTATAGGTTGTCGTCGGTTGAGTCGCAAAGATCCAGCGGGGATCGGCAGCACAGCTGGGAGGGAGTTCAAGGTTCCATGTGCCGAGCAGATCTTGGACGGTCGGCTTAGTCGGTCGTTAATGTCTTGGGTTTATATGGTCAAATCTTGAAGCTTGGAGAGTCGTCCATTCGGGATACACGTTGTCGATTCAGGATACACGGGCTTTGGTCAGGCAGCTTAGGCATCGACGAGCTTGGTCGGGCACGTCTTCGGCTCTTGTGGCATGACTGGCTCGATCTTGGCTGGGGGGGGGGGGGGGTTCCAGGCTGGCAGCCTTCAGGGTCATCGATCTTGGTCCAGCCTGGACACACCTTGATCACCCTGATTCAGGGCGCTGAGTGCATATCCAGGCTGTTCCCGCCACTTGGATCCTGGATCCAGTCAACGTGGGGCTCGGGCAGAAAATCTGGAGCCGCATCGTGTCACTGCCCACCTGGACCTGCCGTCGTGCGCCTGGAGCCGCATCGTGTCACTGCCCACGTGGACCTGCCGTCGTGCGCCTTGGCCGGTGACTTCGTATCGCCGTCTGTCACCACCTCCAGCGTCTCGTAGTCGTCTACCGCCGCCGCCGCCTGTCACATGGGGTCTATCTGCACGGGGCCCCTGTTACACAGCTTCTCCATACCCGGGGTTTTCCACCACCCTGTCGCTCTGCAGCAGCTCGTCGTACTCCTCGACGCCGACCCATCGCCGTCCATCGTCTCCTGCTGGCCGCCTTCGCTTCGTCGCTTCGGCCGCTACAATAGCCGGAGCTCGTATTCCAGCACGTACTGCCCCGCTACGTTTCGGAGTTATCGTCGCTGAAGCTTCACCATGTGCTCACCCGGTCCTGACGCTGCAGCCGCACGCGTCGCTGCTCGTCCTCTCCGTCTCGTAGTTCGCGGCCCCGCTACTGCGTGTACTGGTGCCGCCGCTGCTCCCAGAGTCGTTTTTGCCGCCGACGGATCATTTTGCCATTCGAGCGAGCTATCATGCTCGAGCTGCGCCTCGATGTCTTGGCCGTCACGTCCAGTAGTGTAGTCGGTGAGTGAAAACTTACCAAAAACGAAATGTGAGCTATAAATTGCTCGGTTTCACCGTCCTTGTCTTCTCGATCGACCAGATAGTTGTCGTAGTCCGCTATTTCGATCACACGCACCGGCCCGACTCATTGGTGCATGAACTTCGACTCCTTGGGGCCCCTTGGAGGTTGGTAGACCCAAGCTCGATCACCAACAGCAAAAGTCCGTCGTTGCCTCACCTTCCTGTCGTAGTAGCACGCTTGGCGTGCTTGTTCGCGTCTCCAGGCGTTCTTAGCGCACTCATGCGCACTGCGCATCGCATCGAACAGCCGCTGATAGTAGATTAGCAGCGGTCCTTCTTCCGCCACACTTGCACGTCGCAGTAGTTCGTTCAGAGCGCGTAGTCGCCTCCCCATCATCAGCTCGTTAGGAGATAGCAGCACCGTGGTGTGTTCTCCCGAATTGTAGCCATACACAGCAAAGGCGACCCAAAGGTCCTAAACTCGCTGCCTTGTGTCGATCATGTACGTGGCCACCATGGCTTTCCACGTCCGTTGAAATCTTCCAACTAAGCCGGTCGGTTGGGAACGGGGTTGATTTGTTAGGCCTGGAGCATCACAACGAGCTGCTCGATGACCTTCCCGGTCAGCCCCGGCCCATCAGTCAACAACTCCCGGAACACCCCGAAGCGAAGCACCACGTTCTTCATCAGAAAGCTTGCCACATTCTGCGCAGTGTGCTGCTTAACGGTGGTCGCTACGGCGTACCTCTAGCTGTGGACTTTTACAGCTCCATTAACCGAGGTGCCAATAAATTAGAGCGGTTCGTTCAGATGAAATGGCGTTTTTATACCATTTCATGGTGATAATTTATTTTAAAAACAAACTGTCTCCAGTGTCTTACTAACGTATAATCCCGAAATAACTTAGCACGCGGTAAAGTATTTGAACGCCCTGTGAATTGATCGTCCTCCTCTTGGGGGTTCTACTACAAATACAACACCTTCAAATAGAACGCCGTTAAATAGAACACCGTTGTACAGAAACAACCAGCAATTGGCCCACCGGGGTACGAGGCAGCGAAGACGCCACGGGCTAGTGGCAGCTGAGACGCACTCGCCGGGACGAGGTACGAACCGAAGTGGCGCGACCCTTGACACGACCGGCCCAACGACGGCTCGATGAGCAGCGGAAGATGGAGGCGGCGGCGACTAGACGCGAGCAGCAGCGGCCGAGTCATGGCGGCGACGCCGCGAGTGCCGACGAGCGACGGGAGGAGATGGTGCACGAGGACACGATCGGCGGCGAGCTGCACGCCGCGCACGGCGGGAAGGTGACGCCGGCAGATGTAGCATCGATGACTACTCGCGAGGTTTCAGTGATTGTGGGTACGCTGCTCAACGTGGAGGTGGCGAATACCGCGGCGACGCCAAGGATAGAGACGATGCCACGCACAAGGACGGCGCCGAATGTGGAGTCGACACCGACCACGGAGGTGGGTTTGCGCACGGAGACACCGCTGCGCCCAAACAGCTCAACGAGGTGTGGAGGGCTGCAACAAACGAGCAGTGCAGCTGGGACACGGAAGCGAGTGACCTTCGCTGACTAACCCAATGGTGAGGGCGAACGAGACGATAACCACCCTAATGGGGGGACGAATGCGGCTGCACGGAGTGATATGATGACAAGCAGTACGAAGCCGGCCGTGGAGTCGACGAACGAGGCGCCGGCGGAATGGCCGAAGGTTGCAAAGAGGAAGCGCGGGTCGAAGGCTCCGCTTGCATACTCTACAATGTCGACGGCGGCGGACCAATCATGGCGCCGATCATCGCGGATGACGACGCCACGAGCATCGACAGCAACTACCAGTCACCTAGTACACAGACGAGGGCTTCTCCCGTGGCGAGCGAGTCTACGCAGCGGACGAAGGGCACAGTGGCAGTGAGGACGGACAAGCGGGGGGGGGGGGCGGTGCACCACGGTCAGAAGGCGAAGCCGAACAGCATGATGATGAATGGGGCGGCGAAGTGCGACGAGTGTGAAAGGAACACGAAGATGCCGTACGCGGTGAAGAGCAGCAACGTGAGCGTAGCGAAGAGTATGCTGGACGGCAGTTACGCTACAACCGACGGACGACACAATCGTGGAGGTGCAGGAGCAGAGCCAGCTTGGCCAGTAGCTGCTCAAGATGCGCGAGCTCCAGGGTAAAGACGTACACGTCGTTTGGGCTGGTGGTGGTCGAGATGCCGGCGGGGCGACGAGTGATTTAGCCACCTGCGTTATGGTCGAGAGTGATAAAAGCGTGCCATGATTCAGTGTGGGCTGGACACATACGATTACCACACACCTACGCGCGTATCGCTAATGGCTACTGGTGGCCGAGAGGTGAACCGTCGGGTGGCTGGATGTCAAGAGTTCGGTAGTCGCAAGGCAAGGCCGCGCTAGGTGATTCCACCACTACGCAGCATCAGGGGCGGCGACGTGGGCGACCGATGGGCGCTCGATGTGGCTGGGCCTTTGCCAAAAACGGACGGTGGCGACGATACGTCATTGCGGCCGTCGAATATGTGACGACATGAAGTCTAGTGACGAAGTTCGAGCAAGAAAGATGTAGTAGTTCTCTCTCTCTACGGAGTCATAAGCTAACAATGTAGCCATCTACTACAAAGGAATTAGGAGCGCAGCGCCGTCGATAAAATGTTTATCACTTCCCGCTCTTTTGATGGCGGTACTTAGCTAAAAGATCACCAAGAAGCAAAGAAAAGCCGCACCGCTAATCACAAATAAGGATTTGTCCCGGATTGATGCATGTAGAAGCGAGCGACGGAGACGAGGCTTGGAAGAGAGAGGGGCGAGGTTGAGTTGGTACAAACGGAAGTGAGCTGTATGTAGAGTTAAGAGCTTGGAGCTGGCTGTGGAAGCTCCACAGCCAGCAATATTCTATGAGTTCTTGGAGTTTTTACCACTGCAGACTATTGATTATGGTAGTTTTTACTTATTACCAAATAGCTTGAAAACTGGATCACCAGACCACTTCAAAAGTGGGAAATTTTTAAAAATTCCCAAAATTCCCACTTTCTGGCAAATTGAGAATCAGATACAATCTCCAATAACGCCCCACATAGGGTGGGAACAAATATTAGTAACATTCCCACCTTTGAGCTGTACCCATCTTCGGAATATCAGTGTTAATGTATTGATTCCCACTTTTCCCACATCCTGCCTCCAGAATAGGTCACTTCCTGATAGAATGTGGGAAAAGTGACTTGTCCCACTTTTTAAGTGGTCTGTGGATCACTGACAGCCTCTCTCAGTCTGCAATATCTCATTTGATAGTTTGTGATAGAAACTACACTATTGAATAAAAGGCTTCAGAGGAATCAGAAATGGATTTTGGTCGTACAATGAGGTCGTCCAGCTTGATGCTCTCAGAGACGTTCACTTTGCATTTTGCTTCGGAGCCCACACACAGTGCGGGAACTCCACATCTAAGCTTGTGAGGATCGATCGCTTCGAGTACATCTTGATATCTTCATACTAGTTTCGTATCAGTAAGGACGTACCTTGACTTGCTTGCTAGTGTGTCGCCCAAACACCATATGGTAGTTTTGTCTACCACAGATGCCGAATATATTGCCCTGTGGCATTGTTTGCCAGAGACGATATTCCTCAAACTGCTTTAAGCAGAGCTCGGGCTTAGCCCAAGGAAATGTATTACAATTATGGAAGAGCCAAAAACCCGGAACTACACAAGCGCTCGAAACACATTGAAATCCGCTTTCATTTTGTACAAGAAAAAGTCGAGCGGCAGGAATTCACGATCAAATATTGTCCAACATCAGAAATGGTAGCGGATATATTTACAAAAGCGCTTGCAAAGAATCCGTTTCTCCATTTAATAAAGAAACTAGGCGTTAATAATATTTAGAATGCTTAAAAATAAATCAATCTGAAGACATGTATTGAGATTTGTTTAGAAAAATTACGAAAAGCCCATTCCTTAATTGGCTGACTGCTTAGATGTCGGGATCCCGTGCACCATTTCGATTGATGCAAAAAAATACGCGCAAGTGGTCCATTGTATAGGCATATTTGCCCCATTGATCAGAATCAATAGGTACAACCCCCCCTGTAAACTTCACTCGACTCATACAGCGATACACACCGGCCTTTTGGCCAAGTGGCATACCAATGCTAGTGAGGGGTGTCTTGCTTGACTTGATCATCGTTTCAAAAAGATCGGTTTTGTGGCCGCAGAATTCCGCTTTAGGTTGCCCAAGGCCATGTGCTTTAGGCGCAGTGCATACTGAAGGGCAGTTATACTGTACGCCCCGGTACGAGGGTTGCCGTGGTCAAATCGGCGCTCCCTGTTTGCTTGAGTCCCTTAAGTGCATTCGCTAAGTCGTGACGGGTGGGGTATTCTCTTGCTGCATGCTGTTATTGACGGCGTAAATACCACAGAGCGAAAACCCGTCTGGGGTGTCGCTCTGATTTTGGCAGGCTACCCGTACATCATTGCTGCGAGTACGCTTTATTGAATATACACAACCATGAAATAGGGCTTCGCACTAGCATGGTGATGTAGCCGCCGATGGAACGTCTCTTATCGGGGCAGTTCGCGTAGCCAGTTTGCTGTAAGAAGGTATCCGATGATATCTGGTGAGACATGGATTGATTCACCTAGCGTCATGCCGTAGCCCCCCCCCCCCCTCCCGGCGCCGCGTATCATTAAGGTAACGGTGCCTCTCTGAATAGGTTTCCAGCGTGGATTGCCTGCATTGCCAAGAAATTGACTAACTTCCCTGATGAAGAATGTCAAATCTGGTCGGGTACCCATGACAAGATTCATGACGCTGTCTACCGCCTCTCGATATGGGAGGGTGCGTTGCATCTCCTCTTTTTCGGCGTCAGTGCACTGCCTCATTGCCTTCGAGATTTTGATGCTGGGGTCGCATGGAATCGCTAGCCGGTGCGCAGAGAGCAGGTTAAAGTGCTCCAGAATAGTGTGCGCGTATTTCCCTTGGTGGATGAAAATAGTTCTCCGAGCACGATTGCGTTGAACAAGGGGTTCGCGACTGTCGCCTAGTAGGTCCCTACTAAGTACGATTTGCGCTGGGAACTTTGAGAATGAACCAGTAGCATGAACATCAAGTACTTTGTATAAAAATAAGACTAAGAACTCGAGGTGTCCAATCCATTCTTTCATTTGCAAGCTACGTACGCAGGTGAACAGCTATATTCCTTGTTTTAACTAAGAATTCAGGATTAACTTTCTGCAAAAGAAGGATAAAGTACCGCGGAAGATGTTGTAAACCGTGATTAGCTGATAGTCGGACTTACCATGATCCGTCGTAGCTTGTCTCTAAAAGCTTGCCCAGGTACCGCGCAACTACACAACATACCTCCACACAACACGGCAGAAGAAGAATAAAATTAGGCGCATGTGGCCAATCGGAGACGATAATAGTGCTGAAGACAGCATATCTCGGCATGTGTAGGACGATGGATGATAACCTAAACGTGAAAATTCTTGCCTAAGGCTACTTGTTATAGGTACGCAGTATCGAAGAATTAGAGCTCCTAGCGCAAAACGGCAAGTTCGTCACCTACCTGGATAATCTATAAACCTACACCTGACCTGCGAACCCTTTGTTAATAGACCAGCCTAGTAGGTACTGTGTCTCCCCCAAATCTGACATCTTCAATCTCTTTTTGAGGGCTGATTTAACTATAGCTGGCGTTGGGGCGATGACGAGGAGATCGTCTACGTAGACAGCAATGTAGCATGGTCCTTCCGGAAATGTTTTCATGAACACACACCGATCTTTGGTCAGCCGACTCAAGCCTTGATTTTCAAGGAATGCGCAGAGGGTATGGTACCAGTCACGTGGAGCTTGTTTAAAGACTCTTGACTAGTTTACAAACGAAATTCTCCTTTTCAGGGACTTCGAAATCTTCGGGTTGACGCATGTAGATTTCGACATCGAGCAACCCGTTTAAGAAAGCCATTTTAACATCCGTTGGATGGCCCTAGTAGTCTAGCAGAGCTGCCAGGGTGAGCAGGAGACGTAGCACTTCCATCCGGATCACTGGAGCAAAGATATCGTCATAGTTTATGTCATTCCGTTGTAGAAACCCTTCAATAACTAATCGAGCCTTGTAACGATCCACCTCCTCTGCACCGTTGTATTTAACAACGAATACCCAACGGCAAGCAAGTACGGAACGGCCGCGAGGGGGTGGTACAACGAACTATGTGTCATTGTCGATAAGGGCCCCGATCCACATCCCAACATAGGTCTGTCAGGGGACGGCGCGTAGGCCAGAGGAGTTGCACTGCGAAGTAGGTTCTATCTTTATTGCGACCAGGATCCACACCGGAGCGTAGCGGAGGTCGTGCGCTCCGCGGTCGACCTGAGTAGGTTCCCGTCGAGCCCCGTAGCGGAGCGGAGGGCGCGAAGATGGGACCTGGAGTGCATCGCACATGTGCCCGAATGGCCATTATCGTACGAAAATGGACATTGTACCAACGAATCTGGTACAATTCCTCATTTTTTAGGGGCGGGTATAAACACTACGACCCTCGCTCCATAGGTACATAGAAGTTATTGTCCCTTTCACCAATTTTGCCGCTCTACAATGACTTCTTAATCTGACTTATGGGGAGGTTAGGTTAAGGATAATCTGGGATTATCCTTTTTCCAAAACTGACGTCGACTGGATGTATTATTAGCCTCGTCGTTCGCCTCCTTTGTACTACCACAGGCATTTTTGGTTGTGGCAGTGTCATGCAAGCTCTCCTCTCCGAAGACGCAGACGAAGACACTCTACCTACTGTGTTTCGCTGCAGCTTGAAAATTAAAGAAAGGTGAGCCTTTGAGCAGATGCCGAGACAAGGGACAAGTGGCTCGGTTCGACTTCACAGCCGCCGACGGGTATGCTGTGCTACGGGTGAAGGTCGCGTCTAAGTTTGAATCTACCATTCGGATGCCACTCGAGTCTACAGCAATAGTATATTTGAAGCCCAGCAATAATGCTTCCCAGCCCCTATTCCAGCCCATTGCAAGCACTGACCAAGCCTCCGTCAACAGATCGAGATGGTCTGGCGTCGTACTCAGCGACGCAAACATGGTCGCTCCGGCTTTGAGCTGGAGTTATTTGTCTACATGAAGAAGCCGGCCCCTCCAACGACGATCCGGCGCGCTACCCAGCCGCGCATCCAAGAGCACTAACCTAGAGTAGCGGAATTTCTTCGTGAACGACAAGTACCGGCTGGACCAGCAACGACACTCACTTGTGTCGAGCATTCGTAAGACAGTTTGACGACAAATCAATCTAGTGATTTGATTGGCGAATAGTACGACTTGCCAATTCTGTTGGCACTGCCAGGCGCAGAGTGCTCGCAGGCTCGGCTAGGAAGGCCCGCGTTCCTCTTCGCTACTCTTTATGATGCATTTCGTTGCACTTCGTATCCTGACTAATATCGGGCGCAGCATAGTAGTGGTAGTAATGATTGGCGGTTCGATAGAACTGTGCGGAGGAGCGCTGCGACACCAACAAACTCCCTCTACATATTTAAAACACCACGGCGAGCTTAGATCGTTTAGATTTCCTAGTACTACAGTAGCAGGCCGAGCAAACTGGTAAGCGCCTTCAGCCGGGCTGATCAATTACTTTAGCTTTGGCATTTTTCATGTATTCCCGAGAAGTTTCGCCGCTCATTTGACTCTTAGAGGCCCTCACGTCGTTTTGTAGTTATTTGTTTGCGACACCACCAACTGATTACCTACACGTGGCCGCGAGTGAGGTCGGTGGTGTCCACTACCGACGTAGGTGGAGCTGCAGTAGTGTGCGCCTCCGGGAGTAAGGTAGCCAAGCAAACCGCAACAAATACAAACACAAATACCAAGACTGGCTGACGCTGCCTTGTTGCTACTACAAAACAGTTCATTTCATGACTTTGGTAAGATCCCATAATGTATTGATTGTCTACTCCCTCGCGTCCTCCGACAACGCCTCGGTGCGGAGCATGTGCGCGCGCTCGTCGTGCACTGCTTCGCTCGGAGGCGTCCTCAGAGGACACGACAGGGTTCGTGGGCCGCACTACCGGAGGAAGAGGGGCTCTATTTGGTTATGCATTAACTAGAATTCACTATAAAGCCCTGAACGTTTTGTTTGTCAAGCTGGGCTAATGGTTCGGGTGCATTTATTTCTTAACCATTCTCAAACAAGCGTGTACATTGTAGTTGGCAGTAGGGTCGCACTACCGACTACATGTTCGTGCTTGTGAGCGCCATATTTCGTCGGCTCGACTGTAGGTGGCACGAGCAATTCAAAAACGGCAAAGCGGTTGTCCTCGGGTTCCTACATGCTCAACGGAGGAACGCACGCAACGCCACTACCCTCTGAAAGTTTTGGCCAATCGCATGGTGCAAATTGTTGTCCGACAAACTGTCTTACGTTTTGACGGACAAAATACAATGTAGCCACTGGTATACTAAAACTAAGATGTAGCCAAACTGCGTTGATTGCAAAACGTAAGACGCTTTGTCTTACGGTAGGCTCTCTGGGGCTAAGTATCGTCTTACGAAAGAGCATGAATCTATTTTGCTACAACCCAGTCTAGACAGCCGCCTGAAGCTCCTCTCGAAGTGCCAACTAATGTAACATTTCGGCAACTTCAATCTGTTGACGAACAGCAGCGAATTATTGACGAGAACGCAGCCGCCGCGGTCGAAACGCACAGCGAAGTTTACCCACTTAATCACACCATGCTCCACAACGTCGAAGTTCCTGTTCGCGACTTACGTCGAGTCTTCGGACTCCCCGACTGGAATTTGCGCCCTCCATTCCGTCCACCCCGCCGCGAACCCGTCGGGTCGCCGCTGTCCGAAAGTGCCAACATTGATGATGAAGAGCATAAGGGGGACGACGATGATGAAGTGCAAAAAGAAGAGGAGGAGGGGGATGAAGAGCAAAACCAAGAGGAGCGATTTCTAATTGAAAGTTAAACCTTGAATACAATAGCCACAGTGCCTATATAAAATCATTCCAACATCTTCTCGGCTTTTGGTACACATTTCCACTCGCAACACCGCCAAAGGGTTTTCCCGGAATGCCATGTTTGCATGCTTCTGAATCCACCGTTTCAATAGTGAAAACTGCACCTCAATAGAATTTAACTCCGGGGAATACGGAGGTAAAAAGAAAAGAAGAGCACCGGTGGAGTGCACGACGTCTTCGATCTCGCGGTACATATGTATATGGGCATTGGCCAAAATGAAAATCGAACGGGGAAGAGGCCACGGGTTCAAAAACGGTAGAATCTTCGTGCGCAAAACGTCGTGAAACGTTGCACGAGTGAATGTGCCAACAGAATTAAGACTTGGTGAGCCCTTCCTCAGAAGTTAGAAAAAGTTCCAAAAAAATAAGTAGCACCCTGCTGCTGCACCAGGGGTACGTCAACCCGGTCTTGGTGGGCTTCACGGGATCTGTGTCGCCCGAGGACAGCGTCATGGGCCTGACCAAGATCATCCCCCGCGCCAAGATCGAGGACTCGGCTAAGATGTTCCACTTCGAGAAGGGCGACCTCCTGCCCTGGTGAGCGAGCGCGTTGCATCACACTGCTCATGGGTGGAGTTGTGGCTATTTAGGGAGGCGACTCTTTTGAGATCAAGTTGCTTATGTGACGAGGGGATATTAGAGAACTTTCGGAGCTCCCAAATTGACCACGTTTCAGCTTCAGATTCAGATAGACGGGGCTTAGGGGGCGAATCCCAACTCAAAGGTGGGTAGGTTTCAGCTAACAGGCCTCTAGCTCAAGCCTGTTTTGAGTTTGAGATAGTATTTTAACCAATAGAATTGATGAAAGCTAGTCAAAATGTGTCAAATGCGACGCAAACGCGGCGCGACCGCATGAAAGACTCTTGACGTATGGCATCGTCGCGTACACCTCGACCGGCGAGAGGAAATGCATGTATCTTAAAGACGACTGAATGCAGTTTACGGTGATCTGCACGCTTGAGAAGCATCGACACCAAGTGCTCGTCCAGGGTTGTTTCGAGGGGACAAGTCTAGATCCTTTTCGGGCCACTGTACACCTGGGCGGCAAAAGGCGTTCACCCGCCTCGCCTCAGCTGGTGCGCGTGCCCGGATTCGAATCGTTTGGGACTTCACTGAGTTGCGGTTACATTTATTGTTAGGATTGAGGTTGCGAAGTCTACTAACCCTCTGACCGAAGGTTTATGGCGAGAGGAAACGGAGAAGACATGCGCGAGGAAGGACGCGATGGCGAGGGACGCGGTAATGCGTCGCGCCAGTCGCGTAGGTCTCAGGGCCTGCCGCCGGAGGAGCACGCGAGCCTGGACGAGGTTGTCCGGGCTGCTCGGAAGGCAGGATCTGCAAAGCGCAAGGCGGCCCGCAAGGCGAAGGCCAAGTCGTCGGAGGAGGAGCCGACTCCAGCACCGTCCGTCCAGGATGACGCGCACCAAGTGTCCCCAGATGGCGAGCTGGACGTCCTGGATCCTGACCCGAAGGCTGTCCAAGTTCAGGGTGAGTCCGTCCAGGATGAGCCCGCCAAGGCGTCTGCGGGAGGAGCCGATGAGGTTGAGCCCCCGGCGGCGGATCGAGTTTCGGACTCTCCGCTGCCGGATCAAGATGCGGAGTCCAAGGAGACCCCGAACCTGGAGGACAAGCCGCTGCCGACTGTCCAAGAAGTGGATGAGCTTGAGGACTCGCAAGAGACCTCGCCGTCCGCCCAAGCGACCACGACGAACCCTGACTCCTCGGTCCAGGAAGCTTCGACCAAGACGACCCCAAATCAAGTCGTCCCAGACCAAGCTCCGGATCCAGGCTCGCTTCGGTCGGGAACCCCTGACCAGAGGTTCGGCGAGGTCCAGGAAAAGGCGTACGTCGCGCAGCAAGTGTCCAGGCGGGAGCGGGTGGAGTCCGAACGCGTGACCCCGCCCGCTGTTGAGTACTCCTGGTCGACACCCAAACCAGATGCACAGCCCTGGATGGCCGCCATGTTGACCACGTCTAGGTACCTCAGTGCGCGAGCACTCTTGGAGGGCCAGGAAGGAGGCTGGATCGCGGAACTTCGTCTCGACCGTCGGGACTTGAGCACCCCCCAGGATCTCATGGCTGTCCAGGTTCCGGTCCAGATGCTGACACCGCGGGAGTGCATGGCCATCCTGCAAGCTCTGCTGTTCGAAGCCGGATTCAGGTTTGACAATATGGTTCCGGTCTGGTTCAGGACGAGAGCGGCCAAGGTCGCTCCAGCCAAGCTGCGAGTGGTCATCCAGGACGTACTGCGTCTGCTGGCCCTGGAACTGGTGGAGTGGCGTTCACGTGTTGTCGGTGCTACGTTCAAGATTACCTCTGTCCTGAAAGCGCAAGCATCAGAGACTCCCGAATCTGAACAAGCATCCATCCAGGACTACCACGCTGAAGATCAAGACGGAGATCTATTGATAACGGATTACGATCTAGGCCTACTCGGCCGGGAATACGTTCTCCGCCTCAAGCTGACTGGTCTTCGTCCGGCCAGGAGTCCAGGTCCGATTGCGAGCCTGAACCGAAGCGCCAACAACACCATCCAGCCCGGCCGCCGGTTGCGTCGCTCCCGTCGGCGTCGACCCGTCTGAATTGCCGTCGCCCAGGACCTCCAGTCGGGGTGATGTCGTCCAGGCGGAGGAGGCCGCCCCGATCCAGGAGTATGCGAGTTCGGACCCTGTCCCGAGCTTGGTCGGTACTTCTGGATCCCCGGAGGCCTCCCTGTACGGAACGATGTCTGGATCCAACCCATCCAGGAACAGCTCCGCGAGCTCGTCCTCGATCGGACTTGGATTCAGCGCTGGCGCCCACGTGCCGCCCTCGACGTACGGTCCGATGGCTATGTCGATTCAGGCTGGTCGTCCTGGATTCGCGGTCGGTGGAGGCGCGGTGGGTTACTACGTGACCCAGCGTGTCGTGTCGAAGCGCGCCGTCGAGGTGGACCAGGATGACGTCGAGATGGCCGAATCCGTTCAGACCTCCAAGTCCCGGACGGACAGATCCAGGACCAAGTCCTCGTCCAGACACCGCCGGCACCGCTACGAGTCTGAATCAGGCTCGGAGTCGTCCAGCGAGTCGGGGACCAGCAGCGCCAGGAACCGTCGTCACCGACGCTCCTCGAAGCGGTCCTCGTATTCGAAGCGGAGGTCTTCGTCCAGGCGGTCCAGCCGGTCAGGACGCTCGAGACGCTCGCACGGATCCAGGGCGTCCAGTCGGTCGTACATGTCGATCTCGTCTGGGGTGGCCGAAGTTGCGGTCACCGCGATGAACGACGTCAAGCGCCTACAGGCTGCCCTGGACCGCATGGCCCTGGCCCAGCAAGCCACGTCGGAAGCCCAGACCCAGCGTGAAGCCGAAGCCCAGCGCAAGCTGGAAGAGGCTGAACGCCGGATCCAGAAGTCCGAACGTCGGATGGCTGCTGCCCTGGCTGGAGGTCCCCGTCCGGACCCGGTCCAACCAGACCTGGACGCCGTCATTCCAGCGGAGGTACCAGGCCTTGGAGTCCGAGCGAGACAACGGGCGAGAAGCTGCGAAGAACATGAGGCGATTCCAAGCGTCCCAAATTCGGGACCTTCGAGCAACACCCACTCAGGTTCAATCTGGTCGGGCGACATTCAACCCTGATTCGGCAACCCCGGTTAAGTCGGAAGAGCCAAACCCTGAATCGGCAACCATGAGGAGTGGCGTCAGTGCTGGACAGATCGCCAGTAACGGCGCACAGCCGGGACCGAAGAACATCGCCGAAGCTCAACTTCGTGCGACCATCCCGGAAGTGGATCTGGCCAGGGTTACTTCCTGCACTAAGCCCCGAATCCAAGTGCCTAAGGCTGAACCGACGCCCAAGGCGACGAAGGCAGAGGTGCTCAAGGCGGCTGTTCCCGCTAAGTCCGGATCCAAGCCGCCGCCGAGGAAGCCCCCGCCCAAGCCATCCAGGAAGAAGACCCAGAAGGATGAAAATCCGTCGTCAAGCAGCTCAATCAGTTCTGACTCAAGCGACAGCGATTCCAGATCAAGTGATTCTGACAGCAGTCTGGACGGGGGTGACCTGGTCGAGGCCTCGGCCAGGAAGATCAAGGCGGGGGAAACCTCGTTGACGATCCACCCCTATGTGAACTCGAGTGCGCTGGAGAAGTTCGACGAGAAGGCGTCCCTGGGCGACCGCCGAAGCTGGTAGGAAAGGTTCACGAACCTAGCCAGCCAAGGAGGCTGGTCCAACCGGGCCCGGATCAGCGAGCTCAAGATGAAGATGTCATCCCCGGTCCGGAATTGGCGTGGGCAACTCCCGAAGCAGGTCAAGAACGACTGGAAGTCCCTGGCCGGCGAGTTCAGGAAGAAGTATCTCAAGGCCTGGACCTCCGACTCTGAGCGCTACTATACGATGAAGCAGAAGGGTGGCGAGTCGGCTCTGGAGTATTTCTACCGCCTGAACGACGCGGCTGGCAAGGCTAGCATCAACTACCGGTCATCCAGGAAGGACGTCTCGCATCACGTCAAGCGTTTCATCAAGGGCCTGAAAGATTCAGACTTGAAGCAGGCCCTGAAGAGTCAGCGATTCAAGCGGATCCCGGATCTGGAGTTCGCCCTGGAACAGGATGAAGAGGTGACGCTGGGTGGGGGTTACGATACCCCTCCATCCAGGACGCGCGACATCCGAGCGGACAATGCTGGTCAGGAGCGATTCAAGCCTCGCCGGACCGGACGTGCTTTTGTCGGCCTGGATGGGAGCGATTCCGACCAGGATCAGGAAGTCCATGTCCATTTCGAAGATGAACCAGAGTCCAAGCCTGATTCTCCTCCTGCTCCGGTGAACGAAAACCTGGATGGAGTGGTTCGAGACGCCATCACAGAGAGTACGGGTAGGGAGGACGAGATGAGGAAGGCTGTTTTCCGGATCTTGGAACATTCAGGCTGGCGTCCCCCGAATCAGGATTTCTGGTCAGGGGCGAAGTCACCCAGGCAGGGTGATCCTGATCGGAGCAACCTGGATCAGTCCGCCTATTGTGAAAACTGTCACGAGTTTGGACATCGCACTGAACGCTGCTGGGCCGACCTGGTTTGTGACCGCTGTGTACGCATGGGTCATCCGACTGACAGATGCCGAGCCCTGCTCTGCAAGAAGTGTGGCGAGTTCCACGTTGGACGATGTGAAGAGCACAACGCCATCCAGCCTATCATGGACCTCATTCGCAAGGGTGCCCTGGAAGACTTGTCAAGGCCGTCCTGGATCCCATCCAGGGTGGTCAGGCCGATCCTGGTCGGTCGTTAAACCAATAAGCCCGCTGGATGGGGATCCAGCACGCGCCGGGCTTAGGAAGACCCCAGGATTGTGTGTCTTAGTGTATGTCGGCCCTGAATTGGGGATGAAGAAACGAGATAACCAACAATGCATGACTTCTATGATTCAAGATGGACCCGCTGACCCTGAACCAAATCGGCCTGAATCGCAGACCCTGAATGGAGAAGACCGGATCGGGGAAGCCCCGAATGGAGAGACCCTGGATGGGCCAGTCGAATTCAGGCTGAATTTCGGTGAACGATACGGATGGTGGGAAGATCACGAAGCAGACGAAAATAGTCATGATGTTGCGATGGTGTATGGTGCAGTGAACGATTTCCGAACAAGTATCCTCTTGGACACTGGTGCGTCTGTCTGCATGGTCAGCCTGGATCTAGCGCGTAGACTCAAGCTGAAACTGCAGATGCACAGACAAATCAAGGTGCCTGGTCTAGGATGCGTTCCGACTTATATCTCTGCCCGGGCTCGAATCAAGCTCACCCTCGGTCTCCGAGTGGTGTATGTCCTGGATGTTTGGGTCGCGAACATTGGAGAAGGATTGGATGTGCTGTTGGGCATGAACTTCATGTATTCTGCTGGAGTCAGGATCTGTGTGCGAGAAGCCCTGGTTCAGCTCCCGGATGAGGAGACTATCGTGATGCGGGGTGGGCCACTGAGGCGACGTCCAGAATTGGACCTGCCTGTGGTCCCCAGACGAACGCTTTACCTTCAGTCAGGAGAACACGCGATCATCCGGATCGAGTATGGTCGAGCACACCCCGAACGAGATGTGGTTTGGGCCGGCCGGTGAGATCGCTGGGTGACACAGGTCATCTACGCATCCCGGTCCTGGCCGGTGGCGATTAAGGTGATGAACATTTCGTCGCAGATGATTTGGATTGACTCTCGGACCCCGGTAGCCAGGATTGCGGCTTACGGACACTATCCGGCTTACGGTCGTTTCGTCCGACCTGGACGGGGCGACTACAAGGAGTGGCAGAAGTTGATGCAGGAGTGCGCCCTAACTCCGGAGGAAATAGCCGAGGCTGACCGACTTGATGAGCTGGCGAAGGCACAGGCATCACCGCCCGTCCCGAAGCAGGTTCACAAGTGGCCATCCGGACTCCGGATCAAGACTGGACCGGACAGGAAGGAAGAGAAGCTGGTCCGCCTACAACAACCACCGCTCCCCCAGGGGCGGCCATCCAGGATCATGTGCCATGTCGCTACTCAAGCGATCACGACTCAAGATGTGTGCGTTCAGACCGATGAAGCGTGAATTCAGGGCAACAATGCGCAGGAAACCCCGGATGGAGGGCCGGATACCCTGGAAGATGTGACGGACTGTCCGAAGAACGATCGTGGTGACTCGTCGGAGGCACCCCAGCCGGATGTCGAGCTCTCCGCCGTGGACGATATGTCAGCCCAGACTGAGATCCAGGAAGAGATCCAGGAAGACGTTCTGGATAGGATCCAGGACGCGGTCGAGGATGACACTCGCATGGAGGAAGAGTTTGATGATGAAGACGAGTTCGAATTTCTGACCCCGGCCATGTCTGGTACCCCGATCGAACAACTGGAGCAGGCGTACGCCCGTTGTATGCAGTTGAATGCAGAAGAGTTGGATTATGAGCCAGCAGTCTACATCCACGAAGGCAGTGACCTGCTTTCCCAACTGCGTGACGAATTGGCCCTGATTCCCGAATTGAAGGATCTCAGTCCAGAGTGTGACATCGCGAAGGCTGACGTTGGAGAACCAGGACGAACGACCCAAATCGAGGAAGAGCAACTGCGTGACATCCTGAACGCGCATCGCACAATTTTCTTAGGTGATGGAAACGCAGCGCCGACACCTGCTCGTGGGATCGTGTGTGACCTGGATGTGGGCGACGCGAAACCTGTTGCCCAACGTCCGCGGTCGATTGCCCCGCACCTGTTTTCCAAGGTGTATGAGCTGCTCAGGAAGCTCCTGGAAACAGGCCTGATTGAGACGTCCAGGTCTGCCTGGGCCTCTCCGATTGTCATCGTCCTGAAGAAGAACGGGGTTGACATCCGGATGTGCATCGACTACCGGGTTGTTAACAGTTTCATCCAACTTTCGAGTTACCCGTTGCCCCTGATTGACGACCTTTTGATCGGTTTCGAGAGTGTGATGTGGTTTATGAGTCTGGATATGGCGAGTGGATTCTTAGCTATTACGATGACCGAGCGTGCGAAGCTAATTTCGGCTTTTGTGTGCCCGCTGGGACACTATCAGTGGGTACACATGCCATTCGGCCTGAAAAACGCCCCGCTCATCTACCAAGCCATGTTGAACAACTGTCTCTGGGGATTTGTGAGATTGCCACCCGAGGAAGAGGCCAAGGTGGATCCGGACGTATTGGAGTTCCTGAAGCTGGACCCCTCCGATCAGGATGAAGCGGAGTGGATTCAGGCTGAGCAGAGGGTGCCTGTCCTGACCGATGTCATGACGGTGTTCAAGCGAAACATTCCCACGCCACCCCAGATGGGACCGGTGCTTGGTCGAAGTTCCTATATCGACGACATTGCTCATGGGGCGGCCACCTGGGATCAGCTTTGCCAGGATCTGAATGCGCTGCTTTTCCGGTTACGCTACTGGAACATCTCGCCTAAAAGCGAGTTCGGGAAGTTGTCTATTCCGTACCTCTCTCACGAGATCAGTGCAGAAGGGATCCGGGCTACTCCGAAGATTGCGAAGGGTGTCCAAAACCTCCCATTCCCGTCGACCCTGAAAGGGGTCCAATCGTTCCTGGGCAGCCTGAATTACTACCACAAGTTCATAGAGGAATTCCCGGTTGTGGCGGCTGTCCTGTACGAGTTGACGGATGACCAGATCCGGGCTGGACGAGACCTCGGCCAGGCTAAGGAGGCCTTTGAGATCCTGAAACGCAAGATCGTGTCAACTCCGCTGCTCAGACACCCGGACCAGACGAAGCCATTTGTGGTCATTCCCCATGCCAACCAGTGGGCAGCTTGCGCTGTCCTTGGCCAGGAATATGATGGGGTGATTCAGCCTGTCCGGTACACGGGGCGTGACCTGAACGACGCAGAGCTACGTTACCACATTGCGGAGAAGGAAGTCGTTGCAGTCCTGCGGGTTCTGGAAGTGTTCAAAACTATTGTCCAGGGCGCCAAGATTGTGGTTTATTCAAGGTATTCTGTCCTGAATTGGCTGCTTAAATCCAAGTCGGCCGACGGTAGGTGCGTGCGCTGGGGGGTCATCCTGTCTCAGTGGAACCTGGAAATTCGGAAGGTGCAGAGGGACGAGGACGGACTTGCTGCCATCATGGGAGCAGGCATCACGCCACGCGAACACCTGGATCAGGTTGCTCAAACCCTGATTCCGGCCAAGGGGCGCGTCAAGGCGCCACCTGTAATCAGCGTGGAGATGCTGGATTCAGACTACCAAGGATATGTCCTGAGCTTCGACGGCGCTGCGAAAACATCTACGCGCCAAGGAAGTTGTGGATGCATCATTTGGGAGCTTCCAGACTGGCACGTCCTGACCGCACACGGTTTCATCCTGGATGACGTTACTGTGAACGACGCCGAATATCATGGCCTGCTGAAGGGTCTGGAACTGGCGTCTGAATGTGGGATCCAGGATCTGGTCGTGGTGGGCGATTCCAGAATCGTGATTCAGCAAGTTCAGGGACTGATCAACTGTAATCAGCCCAACCTACAGCGCCAACTCGCCGAGTATGAAGTTCAGAAGGACAAGTTCAAGTCGATCAGACTGGTCCATGTCAAGCGTGACTACAACCAGGCTGCAGACTACCTGACGTCCAAGACTCTGGCACTGGGTGAGTCGTGGCAGGTTCAAGACGCCCAAGAACTTCTTCACCTGGAACGTGTATCGAAGATCCAAGAAAAGCTTATGAAGACGGTTGTGGTGCTGGACGAATCAGCCCAGATTGAGGTGAAACAGGACGGTCCGAACCAGACTGCTCTGGTTGCCATCCAGGAAGACGAGGGTGTTTCGGGCGTGGATTCAGAGCCGTTGCCCCTGGCCGCTCGTGTCATAGCCGCAGTCACTCCAAGTCGAGCCGCCATGGAGTCCGAGGATCGGGCCCCGATGGGCCCACTCGAGTATCAGGCTGAACGGTGGAGACGCATCAAAGCGCATCAGGATCAGGACAGCCAGCTCGTCGAGATCAAGAAGTTCCTGAATGGTGAGTTGGAAGACTTCTCTGTCCCTCAGATACGGCGGTTCTCCAAGCAGGCTGAACTTTTTGCCCTGGATGCAAGAGGTGTTCTCTACCGCCTAAGTCGGGCTACCCTGGGACATGAATGATGAACTCAGGCTAGTCGTGCCTGAATCGTTGAAGGCGGACATGCTGCATTACGCCCACGAAGATTTTCAGGGTGGTCACCAGGGTATTACCCGGACCCACGAGAAGCTCCGATCAGAGTTCTATTGGCATGGTATGTACGCCGATGTGGAGGCGTTCGTGAAAGAGTGCACAGATTGTGCTAGCGGCAAGGGGCGCCCGCCTAATCCAGGCCTGTCTCCTGGGAACATTGAACCAAGGCGACCTTTCGAGGTTGTATCTATGGACTTTGTGACTCATCTGCCCAAATCAGAGCGTGGAAACACGTTCCTATTACTATTTCAGGACGCCTTTTTCGGATACGTGATGTGCAAGCCGATGGGATCCACAACTGCCCCAGATGTTGCCGAGGCCTACGAAGAGCGGGTTTTCAGGAGGTTCGGGGCGAGTTCAATGCTGCGTCACGACCAGGATCCTAGATTCATGAGTGAGGTCTTCACTCGGTTCCGGGACCTCCTGGGTAGTAAGCAACGAGCCACCCTGGCCTACCGGCCCCAGGCTAATGGCCAGCAAGACCGCTCTGTCCAGACCGTGGTCAGGAGCATCCGTGCCTACGTGGCCGAGGCAGACCAGAATGACTGGGACGAACATGCTGAAAGGTCGATGTTTTCCCTGAATGCCTCTTTCGATGCAACCAAGCTCGACACTCCGTTCTACCTTGTCCATGGATGGGATGCCCAGGGTACCGTGTCCGCCATGCTAGGGCCTAAACCGTCCAGCCTTCCTGAACGTACGGCCTACGGGTGGCGAAGGAAGTTTCAGCGAGACTACAGCTACGCCCAAGCGTGTGCGGAGGACTTGCAGAAGAAAACCAAGAGGGCCCGTGCGGAGGAGCAAACCAGGAAGTGGCGTGAACTGTCGGACCGGATCAAGGCTGGATTCGAGATTGGAGACGCGGTTTGGCTCTATATCCCGAAAGTGGAGTCTGGCTTGAGTCGAAAACTCGCTCACCTTTGGCATGGCCCGTTCCGAGTGGAGGAGATTCAGGACGATTTCCGGGTCAAGCTCAAGATTGAGGATACCGGTTACCGCGTGAACCCGTGGGTGCACATCAGCCGCCTGAAACCACGAGCACTTTTCCCAAAGCGGCCGACCACTGAAATCGAGGTGGAAGAAGACGACGACTTTGACGCAGCACTGTTACCAGAAGACAGTTGGGAAGCAGACAACCAGAACCAGGAGTATGAAGTCGAGAAAATCCTGGATCTGCGCTGGACGAAGCGTACCCGCACGTCGAAACGTGTGCGATAGTACCTCGTCAGGTGGAAGGGCTATGATGACCCTGAATGGTTGCCGGTGACTCAGCTGAATTGTGGGGCCCTGCCTTACGAATTTAATCAGAGTGCGCGGGCGCGGGCACGTTTCCAGGCTATGCAAGCCGGAGACGATCACCCCAACGTTCAATAGCCCTGGTTCCAGGCAGCCCGAAGGAAAACAGACCGTCGAATTGTGAAACTGCTGAAATTGCCTGATTTTGATGTGATCGGAAGCTGATTCAGGATACGAGTGTGGAGCCAAGCCTGTATGTGCGCGATTTGGAGTTGTTCGGGAGATGATGATGAACTTGGATACGAGTGAGTGGAGTACGCGTGAAAGGTGCAAATGTAGGATGAGCATGGAGTGATTAGTTTGAACGACACGAGTTGATCCTGAATGGAGTTGAGATTGAGGACGGTCAAGACAAGGAAGTGCTGAAAACATGAAGTCCGACTGTTGATTCAAAGGTTAGGTGGTACGCTACTAGATCGGAGAAATTGTGAAAGTGATGACGATTCAGGACACGGTGGCCCAGCCAAGCCTGGACGACCTTACGTTTGGTACTTCGCGGACACCTAGTTGCCGACGAGCAGCTCTGGTTTCGACAGATTTTTCTTGACTTTTGGGGACACGTGCGTCAGGCGCTCTTCGTCGGTGTAACCCTGACCCCACTGTCGGCGCGCTGGTTCATCCGCTTCTGCCATCTGAATCTACTCGATCCAGGAGTACGAGTCCCCGTTCTCCTTCTTGGTTCCCGGATCCATGAGAAAGAGGTGGCAAATTTGGTTCGGATACTGCCAGATTCCGGGTTCTTCGAACAGGGTTTCAGGGAAGCCTTCCGAGATCAAGCGTTTCTTGAGTTTCTGGAACTTCTGAGCGACCTTGTCACGACGTTTGGCTCGGCTGTCGTTCAGCTTCTTGGACTCAGCCAAGGCCTTGGTCTCGGCAGTGGTCTTGCCCATGGGTTTTATTGTGATCCAGTGCAGAATCTCCCAGATCTCCTGGGCCCACTTCTTCATGAATTCGACGACTTCATCCAGCTGGTCCAGGACAGACTCATCCAGGTCCTCCCGAACGTGGAAGTACAGAACTTTGATCCGACCTTGAAACATATCCAGCCAGGGTTCGTCGTCGATAATCTTGCTGTATTCGGCCTCGTCCCAACGATCTTGTAGAATGCACGATTCAGACTTTTGCGGAGAGTAATCAGGAAATCCAGGCGTTTGGGAGAGAACCAAGGCTGTCCGTGGAGTGAATTGTGCTGCAACCCCAAAGATGCACCAGGACAAGATGCCCCGGCCTGGTTCTTCAATGATGTCGATCTCCTCCTGAGTCAGCTCCTCCTACGCCTTGGCAGCAAGCGCCGTTTGGTGTGGGGCTGGCCCGATTCGGGGAGAAGACTTGGGCTTGGATCCTTTGGGAGTACCCTGAACCGATTTGTCCGACTCTGACTGTACCAAACTGCTGGACCGAGTGCGCTTCTGTGCCGGCGATTCTGACCGGCCACCGTCGTCTGACTCTGTTCCCGAACCGGATTCAGGATGGCCAGCTTTGCTCGCCTTGGAGGAGGTGTGCTTGGACTTGGACTTGTGACGACGCTTGCGCTTAGTGGACTTCTTGCCCTTCTTACGTTCGGAGTATGATTCATCACTGCTGTGGCTGTCTTCCTCTTCATCGTCATCGCCCAGAACCTCGATCACTTCCGACCGCTGGATACCTTCTAGTGAAGGCCACTCATCCAAGGCCTGACCCGTTTTCAGGGCGCACTGGCAGATCAACTCAGCCATCCGAAAGTAGGATTCAGGGACATACCTGGCCCAATATGTGACATCCAGAACGGCCCAGTACATCATGCGGACCAGCATGTCCAGGAGCTGCGGACGGTGAAACAGAGTGTGCGCGACACGATCTTCCCGAATCCATTCCATGGCCCCCTTGTAGCCAACCCCAGTCAGAATCACCAGCTGAACATCCGTCCGGACCTGTTCCCAAGCAACAAACTCAGGGAACATTGCTCGACCTTCCTCGACTATGAGCAAAAGAGGACGTGTCGGTGAGCGGGGTCCTGAATTGGTCTCGACCATCCTGGATGGGCGCCACTGGCACTTAGCTGGCGGCTTAACTGGCAACCCCTGCTTAAGCAGACGCTTGAGGCGGGGCCAGTTGTTGCGAACCTCGTTCCGGCCCTGGTTCAGGAAGGTCATCAAGTCGTCGGCCCGGAAAGTTTTCTTGCGCAGGCGTTCTCGTAGTTCCCGGTTCTCAGCTTCCGTCAGGCCATGTTTGTGTTCAAGCTCCTGGATCTTGGATGCGGAAGCCTGTTCCTGCGCCAGGTGTTCTGTGGCGAGGCGCTTGAAGTTGGCTTGGGCTGCAGACTCGGCTGACGCAATCTCTTTCCTGATTCTGTCCGATTCAGCTTTGAAATGGTCGTGCAGCCCCCAATTCGCTCGCTTGACCTGGTTCAATTCTGCCCGAACAGCCTGGATAGAATCGACGTCCTGGCCTTTGGATTGGAGTTGCGACTTGACCTTACGAAGCTCATCCAGGACGACGCGCAGGAACGACATGGTGTGGAATGTTTTCTAAGCCAATTGCTCTGGATCAAAGTGCCGGATTACGGACGCTAGCTCTCGGCGCAATTCCATCGAAGACAGGATGTTTTCCAGCTGACTCAACTTTGGAGGATCCTGATTCCAAGGTCGTAAGATCTTGGAACGGGCGTCGTTGTTAGGCCCGAGCAGCAGGTCCAGGTCGAGCAAGTCCTGTTCGGACAGGCCCAGCAACTGGATCAGAGCCTCGATCCCTCCATAACCATCCTGGATTTGCGCATGCTGAACAACGGCGTTTGTCGTAGCCGGAACGCCGACAATGAAAGTGTGCCCGCCCGGGATGCGCTTCGGTGGAGCCACGAACCGAGAGGGCACTACATTCTGGAACGGGGCCGGACAGCGATGAAATGCAGGCATGACGCCTGCCTCCAGCACGTCATTCAAAGAGAGCAAGTGTACGGCTGCCTCCGGAATGTCATGATGGCTCTGGTTGTTCGGTCCAGGGCTGGCCCGTGCGTCTTCTCCCGAATCTACCGGATGTTGCCCTGAATCCAGGTTCGTCGGGCTTTAGAGGCGCCACTGTCGCTCTCCATGTCCTCCTCCTCTTCCTCCTCCTCTTCCTCCTCCTCCTCCTCTTCGTCCTGGTCGCCGAGCTCCTCGTCAGCTGGGTCCACCACCTCGCGGTCCAGGTTGCCGTCAGCACGCTCGATGTCGGCGTCGCTCTGGTCGCCCCCCGCGTTCGCGCCTGGTGCAGCAACCGCAGCAGCCGAGGCGCCCGCCGGAGGGCGCGCTGGAGTCGTCGGCGTCGTACCCGGGGGCGCGAGCTCGCTCATTGGGATCGCTGGTATTAGCGTGCGCGCCAGCGAAGGTTGATTGGTGTGTGACGATTGGATTGTGGATTTCGGCCGGAATGATGTGAAGTAATTCGACTGGGCGAAGGGGCGCAGAAGAGTCGTCAGACTGGGCAACCGTCCGACGGGGCACGGATTCAGGGTGAAACCGTACCGGAGACTGCCAACGTCGCCGTGGGGTCTAGTCATGACCCGTCAACTCGGAAAGCGATGGATCTCGGTGAATGATCAGGCCTAGAGGGGCGGTTGACACGATGCGGCTCCAGATTTCTGCCCGAGCCCCACGTTGACGGTCTGGTTCTAGCTGGATCCAGGATCCAAGTGGCGGGAACAGCCTGGATATGCACTCAGCGCCCTGAATCAGGGTGATCAAGGTGTGTCCAGGCTGGACCAAGATCGATGACCCTGAAGGCTGCCAGCCTGGAACCCCCCCCCCCCCCCCCCCCAGCCAAGATCGAGCCAGTCATGCCACAAGAGCCGAAGACGTGCCCGACCAAGCTCGTCGATGCCTAAGCTGCCTGACCAAAGCCCGTGTATCCTGAATCGACAACGTGTATCCCGAATGGACGACTCTCCAAGCTTCAAGATTTGACCATATAAACCCAAGACATTAACGACCGACTAAGCCGACCGTCCAAGATCTGCTCGGCACATGGAACCTTGAACTCCCTCCCAGCTGTGCTGCCGATCCCCGCTGGGTCTTTGCGACTCAACCGACGACAACCTATACTGAAACCAAGATAAAACTTCCAAGACTGCATGTTACGATTAGTGATAGCCTACAAAGATAAGACCAAACAGAGTTCGTTTTTCCTGCTACAGCGCAAGTGTCTTCGGTTGGGGGCCAGGCTATTCAGAGCTAGTTCAGACTCAAAGGAGCCTTGTGTCTTTGGTTTTCCCCCTGCAGTCAGGGCACATCGGCTAAGAACGTAAGGGTCGTGTGTGGAGCTCTCATAGTAAGTATCAAATCAAGTTAAGGCGAGTACCTGGGCTGTCGTGCGGCCAGGGTTGATAAGCTTTATTTCATATTCTAGTTGGAGTATTTGTCCTGGACAGCACTGCCATTTCATATTAAGCTACTCCTAGGGCGGTTGAGGTAGTCACCACCTAGTGATTTGTCGATAGGCTACTGAGTGATAGGAAGGACTGTGTTTTGTATTGATTCGGCTTTTTCCCTCTGGATTGAGGGTGGTGCGCGATTGATTGAGGGTCTTGGACTTGCCAGTGTCCTGGATCTACCCTCTTTGTTGACTGGTGTGTAGGGCCCACCGTCCAAGGGCCAACCAAAGAATAAGTGACGGTTGTGTGTATTGTATATTTGTGTATAACTCTGTATTGTTAAGGTTATCTCTCCGGATCCAGGCTGTGAAAGCTGCGTTCTGAATTGTGCGTTGGCTCCGTTTTCTGGTCCTAGCGATATTATCCTGTTTCCCGCAACTCACGCAGTGCAAGTCTCACGTTCGAAGACAAACGACACCCAAAGGGATTCCACAAGAAACACACGCCACCCGGTACGACACCAAGTGCTCGTCCAGGGTTGTTTCGAGGGGACAAGTCTAGATCCTTTTCGGGCCACTGTACACCTGGGCGGCAAAAGGCGTTCACCCACCTCGCCTCAGCAGCACGGGAGCGGTCCCCGAGGCCGTGACGGTGGCGGAGGACGGCTTCTGTAACGGGGTCACACGAGAGTTACCCGAAGGGTTACGAAGTGCATACACTGTCTAATCGAAATCAGTAGGAGAATCAGTACATGGCTTCAAAGCCACTGATTATGCATATGACTAGGTTTCACTATGCTAGATAGTGAACCGGATACATTTACACCACAGGCGGCTTTGCCGCGATAAAGGGAAATACATTCAGTTTGGAGATTCACACAGTTAAGGGTTGACTCTTGGAGTCCGTAAGGTGAACGGACTCATACGTTCTCGTATTAGAACGGGCAATCTTAAGTTGAGACTCTGTGAGTCTGTTACGTCTTCCGCTGACGCGAAAGCTACGGCAGCCCCGCTGCAGCTTCTGTGTGGCCCACGCGGTCAAATGTGGCACGATGAGCAGCACGAGCGAGCTGCAACTGCCGACTGCTTTTGTGGCGACATTGCAGGTCGGAGCAGCGGGCTCCGACAGCGAGAGAAGGCCGCACACAACGGATTTTGCTGCCGAAGCTGCAGCGGACAACAGACCCGGACGCGCATGCGGCCGAGGGCGAGACGAGCGGGTCCACGGACACGCACACGACGGAGCGGAAGCTCTACAAGGACGAGGCCGAGGAGGACTTGACGGAAGCGCTGACGGAGTGAGCGACCGGGGCAAGGAACCCTGTGTGGAACACGAGACGAGATTGAAAGTTATTGTTGACAAGGTATTGACATTAGCTTGCGTGGTAGAAGAGGTTTGTATAACCCCCTAATAAATACGGTCGGACGCACTGTGGCGGACGACCCGGCGCAGCGGTTGAGTATCGCTGTCGGCCAGAGGGTGTTCGACTCGAAGTAGGACCGACGCAGCGTAGCTATACGACTTGCTCAACAAGCCAAGCAAGATAAGCGGCCTCTTTCAATTGTTTTGCCTCCCATGTGCAAATGATCTTTTCACTGCTTTAAAGTTGAAAAAATACAACTACACACTGAATGCTTATTTTGAGATTTTTAAGAGTGGGCTTTGTAGACGGTCAAAGGTGAGTTCGATGGAGATACTGAAACCAAGTGATTAGCAGGTTAAGTGGGAGACCCCGTAGTTATACACTTCCTCGGGTCCGATAGCCCCTTAGGACTACACAAGCCAGTCTATTTTTTTTCTTTCAAAGAGGTTAAGTCGCCTCAGCTTCAGGTACTAAGACTGCGGTCACTGGGACCCGCGCTTATAGACTACCCACGTAAATCGATAGCATCTTTGCCAGGGTTTCCCTCCAGGAAGCCCCAGGTATTCATATTATAGCTGTGTAATAATTCTGCCCGGAATCGAGGTAGCGCCGTTAGGTGATTCATTGTATAACTACAAACCCAGCGTACAGATAAGACCGGGACATCCAATAAATCTTTAGTGAGTTGACCTTCTTTCTGATTCAAACAACCGATTCGAAGGGGGTTGGTCTACAAGTTGCTGTTACTGACCGAACCCCAGGCCTCCTTTCTTTCCCATAGTGAGTACTCGCCCCTGAACCTACGGCCCCGAATAAACCCCTGTCCGGGTCGACGGTCTATCTATGATGCGATTCCCTCTCCAAGGGCTCTAGATTATCTAGCTAGGAAACGCAACCCGAGATCTCACGGGATGTCGAGCTTGTTGTAGTGGTCGCGGAGGTCATAAAGATTAATGCAATCAGGGACAATGATTTTTAGGATGGATTAATGCTGGCGGGGACCGCGCATGCTGGGGATGTAGCAAAGAACGTCACGTGAAGCGTAATTTAGGCGTTGAAGAATGAGTAGGTGATGCTGTCAGCGAGCGGCCCGTGTACGACAAACGGTGACACTGACGCAGGATCATATGTACCGGCTGGGAGTGTTCCACGCGAACATAAATGAACTAGAGGCATTGTATGAACTTGTTATCAAACAGACTTTGGGGTGAAATGAATTAAGGTGATAGAATTGTACCCGGGATACCTCAAACAGGGCACTTAGTTTAATGTCATTATTATAGGTAATACAACGCGTTTAAGGTATTTTACTTGTAGTATAGTGCAAAACGGTAATGCTCAAACTAGGTTTAATGTTTATAATCAGAAGTAGAGTGTTTTTATTATACTCTCAGAATTATAACAACAAGCTTTTATTACCAGTTTGTAAGAAGTGGAACATTATATTGTGCCTAAACGATTATTGTTTTAATATTGTACAGGTCTATTTTATCTGCAATTGGTCTACACGGTACGGAGAGCAATAATAACAGAATACACTGCGCTGATCTCTCGCTTGGCTTCCTCTTCACTTTACAGCAGCGCTACACGCCATAAGCGGTCATAGTCAAGCCAACTCATCCATCGTCACCAATGAAGGACCAAAAACGGAGATTTGTGATTTGTCGCTAACAAAGGGAAACGAGCCAGTAGGATTAGAAAAAGTAGGGAGGAAAAAAAGCACACACAATTAGGATACCCCTCTGTCACTTTGGATACTTAGGTTTTTTTGAGAAAAAAACGAAATGAAGGTTTAATTTAACAATTACGGACCCGATTCGGAATTATTTTAAAATAACGGGCCCGAAACACAATTTCCCCTTGATAAAACAACTCGCAACGAACGGCGAATATGCTGTCAATCGTTACATCATTTCAGTGTCAAATTGAGAATCTGAACGATCAAAACGAGAAGCCCTCTCAAATTAGATATAGCAGATCGATATCGACTTGACTGGTGCGTTAGATGCGTCCGGACGAAAGAGATGATTCGGCGCGCAACTTCATTCTAGAAGGCTAGGAGATCCATTCATTGCAGCTCGCGGACTCTCAGCCGCACCCTGCCACCTTATCCACGGCATACCCGAAGCTCCTTCCTCCCACCATTCTGCCATTCGCTTCCTGAATGACATATCGGCGCTACACGGACGAAGACCGCTATCGAATGCTCACTCCAGCCAAGGACCGGGAGGATTAGTTGGTCGTTGCCTCCCACAACGACATCCCCTACAACACGGCATGGCGATGGGTGAGCCAGCCGGAGAAGCCCAACGTTTGGACACCAAGGACAAAGCCGCGCCGAGGCTCCCGACACATGAAGATTCTACCTGAGCACATCACGTATTTAGTGTCGCTGTTAGAATATAAGTGCCAGCTAACGCTCATTGACATGGTGGACGAGCTCAAGACTGTGTACAATGTTGACGTGTCACCTCAAGCTGTTCGACGGACCCTCGAAGCAATCTGCTTCACTCTGAAGAAGATTCACGCCGAGCCAAGCGACATGAACTCGGATCGAGTCAAGCCGCTACGTGAAAAGTACGTGCCCAAGCTTGGTCTACCGCAAGAGGCTTAGATATGTCGAAGAGACCAACTTTAATCTGTTCTGTAGCCAGAACTATGGCTGGAGCCGTCGAGGAACCCGTGCTGGCGTCACCCGTCCAGGCGCCCGCGGTGACAACTTGAACGTCGTTGCCTGCATCTCGTCGTACGGCCTGGAGCATGTGGAGTTTCGCTGGGGAGCCAACGACGCCGAGGTGGTTGACGGTTTTGTGCCCAAGCTCCTAGACGGCCTCATGGACAAGGGTGTATCGCTTTTTGAGGTGGTGGTGGTGTGCGCCAACGCGTCGATATATGCCGGCGTCAAGGAAGAGCTGCAACACTCGGACTACGTAGGTATAACCCTGGAGAAGCTTTCGCCATACTCGCCAATGTCCAATCCAATTAAGAATGCTTTCTCGGCCTTCAAGTCTGGCGTGAAGTCCTACCTCTCCGCGCATCGCGATACCAGCCTTCGTGTCCCTGCTGGTGTATCCAAGGTGGCACACAGCGCCAACTACATGCTACGAGCCGCGCAGTACGGCATGGCAAGTAGGGTTACCCTAGACTTGTGCAACAGTGAAGCGGCTCACACTTTAGCATTCCACACGCTCGCCTTAGAAAAGAGAAACATGCCCGTGGGAGCTTAGAAAAGCTGGGACAGTAGCTGCAATAATGCAAACATTAAAATTACTAGGTAATTGGGTGCCGTAGGTATAAATGATTACAGGCAGTTCTCGTTTTGATCGTACACCTTCTTGTTTTGATCGTAGATTTTCTTAATTTGATATTGAAATGGTGTACCTGAGAATATATATATATATATATTGGTCATCATATCGATATCCGACCATTTGATACCGTTGTGATTGCTCTAAATATATTTGGTATAGCTGAAATAAAACGTTAATTCAGAATAATATGCGTGTTTTACCCCCATATAAATGTCTGCTTTAGCATTGCAATCCGATACGAATTTGGACGAAAGATCGGTTAAGATGCCAACTATGGCAGGTTTTTTTTGTGATCTACAGTATTTCTGCTTCTTGACCCAAAATAACGACTTATCCTACCTACCCCGCCTGCCCCTCGGATGCCCTGCTCGTGAGGCGATCGCGTTTGCTCAAAACTTGTTGCTCCATCCATCGCTTCGCAGCCGGCGCTAATGAAACCATTTCGTTCACCGCTGACGTCAGCACGACTCCAGTCAACGGCGGAACCACACACCAGTAGCTGCCCGCGTACATCTCAGATATCCCCCACGGTCACGTAGCACCGGGTCATTCAAAGGCGTAGGAATTAACGCTGCCGCAGCGGTTTCGAGAAGAACTGGTCTATTGGCCAACGTGATGGGCTTAAACTCGATCCCGTTATGGCCCCCTCTGGGCCAGGGCTCCATCGTATCAGGCGCCAAGATATATGTATTCACCATAGATCCCTGCTTCAGAATAGCGCTGACGTTTTAGTTCCTCTTAGGCTTGTGGAGAGTGGATTACGACCCGTATAGTTGTAAGAGAGACTTGACAAGCTGCGCTCAGATATATAACTGTTTTTTGCCACTTCGTTCTATACTAGGTAGTACACGTACATGCGTCGCTAACCACCCATGTAGCTACAAACGATTAACTTAGTTCCTGTCTAAATATAGAGCAGCTCCGCTGCCATCTTAATGTGAGTGGTATGGACGCGAATTGTAACAAGGCTTCTGAACTCGGGAAGTACATGTCTCAAGGTGCATTAGCAATACAGCTCACCTGGCACCCAATGCTACGATCGAGTTGTTATCTGCTTTTAGCGCATGCTATCTTGCTAGTAGGACTATGAAATGAAAGGTACTACCCTTGACCGGCACACCAAACCGCAGGTGTAAGGACGTCCACGCTCTTCATCTGTGATGGATATAAGTTATTGTCTATCCCGCCGTTCGTTCGATTGATTTAAGAGGTTGTTGGCATCAAGTTGATCGTCACGCCTGCACTGCCATTGAAACGTTTAGGTACGACGGCGGACGTGGGCTGTGGTCCTGACGCCAATCCAAGGGGCCTCGGAGATGTAAGAGGTGAAAAAAAAACGCAAACTTCGGGAACGATTTCAGCCCAGGTGCAGAGCTGCCGGCAGCGACCACGGCGATTCTGACGAGGATTCCCTCGATGATGGCCACGCTAGCGTCGGCCCCCTCGTTCCGCAAACGTATAACGCCATCGACCATATGCAGACAGTGGAGACGGTCTCAAAGAAGCGGTGTCCCGGATACTGCGAAGCTATGCGCTCGATCGACTGCAATCCATGACTAACCAACAGTGCTGGTAAACCCCTGACGTGGCTTAGTACGGAGAGCCACAGGACGACCGGTGTGACACCTGCCGCCGCGAGGAAGCCCGCGGTCCCGCAGGCCTAAAGGGTATACACCGTCTCTTAACCCTTCAACCCCCATATGTTGGACCCACCAACATAACGGGTGTATAGCTTCGATTAACCCTAAAACACTGTTTCTACGCATGTTGGAGCTCCAACATATTGACAATTTAACTAGAAGTTTGTATGGAAAATGTCATCTTACTTTATTCAAGTCATTTTTTGTGTGTTACAGAAAATCCGATGCACAGGTGTAGGGGGAGCCGGAGGAAGATTAGGGAAAAACAGGAGACGGGATAAAGACGGTATACCTTAAAACGAGTGGCCTCTGAGATCCCCCCTCTTCATTCGGGGATTTTACAGCGAGACACGCAAGCTAATGGTAGCGCCTGCTGGGAAGGCGCCGCAGCGCCAAATGACTGCAGCGGAGAAGAAGAAGGTGGCGGACATGCAGAACCGAGAGCGACGCATCCGACGAGCGAACGAGCCAGCGCCCTCGCCCCCCCCCCCCCCCCCCCCCCGTCTATCAAGATTCGACAGCAACTGCGAAATAGGGCGTCATTGGGGTCAACCGGCGAGGCGTTCTCGACGCAGACGGCGGAGGAAAAGGCTTCCGCGACACCGGTGGCAAGGAAGGACACGGTTCCTGACGGTGCTACCGCGTCAGGCAAGACGAAGCAAAAGAAGCCGACAACAGGTATGCATTTTATATTGAGGTTACTTACCATGATCGCTAACATTTAGGGTTATGCTTGTGTTGCAGCCGCCGGGGATGTCGAGCGGATCGTGCGTCGGACCCTGACCGATATGACGTGCAATGTGCAGCTTCTTGCCGACTTCGGATCTAGCGATGATGAAGACGAAAGCGAATCCACGACGAGAGCACCTGAAACTTCAGGTGCTTTCTGTGTCGGTCCTCCAACATCGGCGCCAACATTGAGTACTGTTGCTGCCGCGCCTCCAACATCGAGGCCAACTTCAAGTGCTGGTCCTCCAACATCTGTGGAGGCCCCTACAACACCAACACGTGGCCACCCACGGGAGCGCGCACTGCCAACCAGTACTGGCAAATGGGAGCGGAAACGAACGGGCAATACGGAAAGCAGGTGGCAGATGAGGGTGAACACGTTGGGGATGAGGATCCATGTTTTGTTGGAGACGGTAATGCTGACAAAGAAACCGCATTGGATTCTGAAAGCGAGGAGAGTTCGAGTGAGATCGGTGAATTTGACGAAGATGAAGATGAGGAAGAAGAACTGTGGGAACTTGTTTGTCCGTCGGACGAAGAGGAAGGTGATGCAGCCGAGGAACTACCTGATAGTGAGTTTTTGAAGACCGCGACGAACAAGAAGCTGATGAAAGACATGCGGAAGGGCGGGTGGGAGTATGGTAAGTCGTGGATTTCATTGTTGGTTTAGTCTCTGTTGACAATAATTCTGGTTCTATTGCAGATCCAGCCAAGTTTGGCGCCGACCCTCAGTACGAAGACCTGTATGAAGGCCCGTATGGTCCAAGCCCTGCGGTTTTACGTGTGGCCGAAGATCCGCTGACATTGTTTTCTTTTTTATGCCACCGCAGCTATGGCGCAAGATTCAGAAGGAGACTAACATATACCACATGCAGAATGTCGAGAAGCGCGTGGTGGAAATCCAGAAAGCTCAGCGCAAAGCAGATCCTGATAATGTTAAGTCGAAGAAGGATGTTCGTGCGCGGCTGCGAGCTGTGGAACCTGTCAAGCCTGCTAAGATCTTACGATTCATTGGTTTGTTGATTGCAAGAATGCGGTGTCCTCACGCGAAAGGTTTGTCGGCGCATTGGAGAAAACGACAGCACGGAGCTGTGCCCCTGGTGACATTCGGGCATTGGCTTGCGCGAAACCGCTTTGATCACGTCATGCAGAATTTGCATTTTACGAACAGCAAGTCAAGTCAAGCAAGAGGTGATCGAGGGTGGAAGGTACGCAGTGTTGTAACTACGTTGCAGAAGACGTTCGCGCGAGGCTACAGAGTCGGCCGGGTCATTGCATTTGACGATGCCATCATCCGGACTCGCTCAAGGCGGAACCCCACGCGCCAGTACCTCCCTCAGAAGCCGTACAAGTGGGGCACTAAGTCCTTTGCGGTATGCTGCGGAGAGATATGAGGTACGTGCGGACTACCTTTTTTTCGGCGAGCTTCGGCTCGCCGTTTTTTTTTTGGCAAAGTTCATTATGTTGGAGGATGCTAACTTGACTTACTGTAGGATAATAGTATTTTGGCCGGACACCCCACCCCTCATACAGAGACTACAGAGGCATGGCCCAATCCGCAACGCGTACGCAAGGACTACAGTGAATTATACCCAATCACAGAGTATTAGGGGTAGGTTAAGTGTGTCCCAGCTTATTTCCGGAATTGCTCGGAATCGCGAGGAATTATCTAATAAGAGAGTATACAAACATGTATATAAACTGCAACTTATCCGATAATAGCACTGCTTGTCAGAAAGACAGGCAATTTTAAGGTTCGATAGCTTGCGATGGTTCTTAAATAGATTATAGCTGAGCTCGTGCTCATTCTCGATCGCCCGCAACAGCCACGATGCGGAGGGCATCACGCGGGCTTGACACTCTAGCTGGCACGATCAGCCAGGAGCTAGCTGCCGAGAAGATTTTCGAAGATTTTCTTAACTCCATGAGCCTGACTAAGGCTTCGCTCGATGATATAGATAGAGCGCATAGCGATGATGCTAGTCTACCTACTCAAAACTTTTATTCATTGCTAATAGCTTTTTCAATCTTCATACAAACTCGAAAAAGTAACAGAGCCCGTGCTGCCGACGGATTACTGGCGAAGGCAACATCTCTTGGCTACTTCTCACAAGTCGTCAATCTCCTACGAGAGCGCTACATTACGTCGCTAACCGACTCCAAGAGGATCGCAAAAATCAGGGACAAGATAGCAAGTCACATTGAGGAACGCAATCTTCGCGCCGACGTTCAATCGAATGACGCCCCAGGGTGTACAATTGATGATTTGTGTGGACTAGTGGAATTTCACGTGACTCATGCCGATGTGACAACTGGTCTAAAGTCTGTGCATGATGCTGCGCTTTTGACTATGATGTGGCATACATTTGGGCGGGCTAGCGATACATGCTTCGCACGCAAGCAACCACTTTCAATTGCCGCCTCTGGAGAGCTTTTCCTGCATATCGCCCGGATTAAGACCTCGGTTGTACAGGGCGTGTCAATTTATAAGTCACCCGAGCGCTGGCAGCAGTGCATGCTTGACGCGTTTGGCCTGTTGTTCATATGCTATGATGAGCCCTCTGAGCATCTCTTCCCCTTGGCCCCACGCTTTGCTGAGTCGGACCTTCCCGGAGGCCAGCCTTATTCTCAGGAAGAAGCCATCATGTATTGGGAAAGGCTGCAGATAGAGGACGAAGGAGGCGCCGAACCCCCGCAGAAACGAGAGAGAAAGCGGTCAAACGTAGCAAGTTACATTACCGAGATCATTAGGGATACCTTGAAGGCGATGCCGCCTTCGGCGAGCCAACGTGTTACTTCGGGGATGACCAGCCATTCTCTTCGCCGCGGTGCTGCTTATGCGAACGCATCGCCGAAGCTGGCGATCCAGTGGATATCAACTCGAGGCTGGAATCTTTGACGAAAGCATTTGCCTACATTGGGACAACTTCAAAAGAAGATCAGAGTGTGGCTAAAGTCCTGGCAGGGTTCCAATCTCCATACTTACCCGCGACAACGCCGTCTATTCATGACCTGTACCAGCGACTCTCTGAAGTTGAGTATGGACAGCTCATGACACTGCGCGACGAGCTATACCGCCATGCCCTTGGCTTTCACGATCCTCGATTTAACATCGCGTTGGACGTGGTCGATGCGACGTTCGCCTCCCTCTGGATGCATTTGGAGTCCGTCCTCGAAGCCACGGAGAGCGCTGGGTCTAACGTGCTTGTCACTCGCTATGTCTACGAGCTGAACCGGGGCATCACGGCTGTAAACTCATGATTAGGCTCCTGTATAATAAAGCGCACATGTTGTGAGTGGGGTAAGCAACTGCGAGATCACTGGCAAACTACGAACCACGCGCAGCTCGGTAAAGCTGCTGCTGGTGGTGCCTCGCTGCTGTCCTCGACGCTGGAGAACATGCTCACGCAATTGGTGAGCATCAACGAGCGACTCGGCCGACTTGAAGATGCGCACACCCGACTGCCTCTTGGTTCTGTCGACGCTCCACCTCCTGCCGCCAGCGCTTCATTCACTACTGCCGTCGAGCTTTCAGCTCCAGCGCCTGCAACAGCGTAGACGCTCGCGGGATCGCTGCTCAACTGGTATACTAACCACATCTGGGAAACCGTTAAGGGTAAGAAAGAGCAGAACAAACGAGCTGAGGCAAAGGCTGCGATCAACATCATGGCAATACTTTACCAAGCGCCATTCCAGATACCGAAGCAGCCCAGTCGATCCGACGTCGCGGCTTACCAGCACTGGAAATTCGAGATTTGGACGCTTGCCTTGGACATGGACTCCACCGTCAACGCGCGGCTGCACTCCTTCGACCAAAAAAAAGCCTACACGCAAAGCGTCTTCGTTACGCAAGCGCTGGCGCCAGCTGCGTACCTCGCATCCCGACGCATACCGCACGCTTGGTGCCCAATATTTAGCGCTCAAAGCCAGCGGCGCTGTTGTGGACGCTTGTACGCCTGCATCGCACCAATGGGGGGGCTTCGGATCTGGCTTAGCGCTCGCCTACAAGCACGCACAAAGCACAAGCAACACACAGAGCACGATTGCCCCCGGCTGGAGTCGAACCAGCGACCTGGAGGCATAGCCTTCCGCTCTGCCGCTGAGCTACGGGGGCGTGGAGAGTAAGACGACCTACCTCCGGAGATCCACCGCTGTCTGCGTCACCACTGTCCGCCACGCTGTCGCTGTCCGCTGCTGCCACCACCACCACACCGCTGCTCACTCCATGCCGACCGCATTCTTGCCTCCGTCGATCTGCTGCTGTGCAGTTGTCCGCCGTGCTGCCGCGCACGCTCCGAGTCCGCCGCGCGCGCGCCGTGGGTGTCGTGCCTCCGCCTGCGCATGTGTGCGTGCAGGCCGTCGTGCTGCGCGCGCCGCGCCGTGTGGCTGCCTCGAAGAACGCCGAATGAGGGAGAACAAGTGGAGGGGATTTACATATTTCATATAAGTACGAATTTTAGCCCTTTGCACTCCCGTCCGGAATGAATAAGTCGACGTTGATTGGAACGAGGTTTTTTATGTGGCGTCAGTGTGGCTCTATTGCAGGTTTGACAGGTTTCCGGATTCCGGTCCGGAATCTGGCAATTACTGTTCTCCATCATGTCTCCAACATAGGAGTGAAATGTACGTTGGAGCCAAGTCACACTTAGCCGTACCACCTACCGCCGACAATTCCTGTGCTGCTGCTGCCCTCGTACGTAATTTGGACGTGCTTCTTCCTCGGTCGTCGTGCAGCCCGTATCGCATCGTGGTTACCGATCGGTACTACACATCAATAGTTCTTGCGCTAGAACTGCTGCATCGACGCATATACCTTACCGGTATCATCCAGACCCGGCGAGCTGGGTTCGCAGAAGGCGTCATCACGAAGAAGAAGGTCTACAAAAAGAAGCCGTCCGAGCCTGTACGAGGGAGGTGAAGCTGGCAGAGAACAAGAAGTTCCCACAGATTACCGCTGCTATGTGGATGGACAACCATCCCGTCCACATGATATCGTCAGGCAGCAGTCGTGTACTTGGATCAGTGTGTAAGTCAATTATGTTGGATCTGATGTTGGCTATCGTAACTGTTGAGTCGAATATGTTGTAGGTAAATCTAACTTTTGTGGTTTCCTACGTAGATCGACGTGTGTAGCGAGAGGCAAAATTTCCCAGCTCCAGGGCTCGTGAGAGACTATCAACGTTGGATGAGTGGCGTAGACATCCATGATCAGCTCCGCATGCAGCGCTACAGCATCCAGCATGCCTACAAGCCGAAGAAGTACTCTCGCTCCATATTCTTTGGGCTAGTTGACATGGCAATTGTCAACGCGTTCATTGTCCACCGCCACCACATGAAGAACACCGGTCAAAAAGCTCCTGAGCATTGCAAGTTTATGGAAACCCTACACGAGCAGCTACGTGCCATCGACGACGAAACGATTGACAGCATTGAGGTAACTACAGCTCCTACGCTCGCTAACCACTTTCTACTAACGCATGTATTGATGTGTAGGCTGCCACAAGAGCCAAAGCCCGGACTGCTGCCTCCCCGGGGACACCAAGCACCCGTGCTACAGCGCAGGGGAACGCAGCAAGCAGTGAGCACTATCTCGTCGAATGGCCGGATTTCGTCGACTCCAAGAAAGGCAAGAAGCGCGTTGCGCGCTCATGCAAAGTCTGTGCAGTCTACAAGGTCACGCCTAGGAAATTTACAAAGTGGTACTGCCCTGGATGCTCGCTAGACAATCTACGGTACGTGCAATTAGTGCGCTTCCTCATATTTAGTACTGATCTGTGTGTGCATGGTACAGTAAGTATCTCTGCAATGTCGTGCGCGACGGACGAGGGAAAACATGCTTTCAGATATGACACGAGGGCTGGGCCGGCGGGCTGCACAACCCGCAGCGACTGCCAGACGGCCGTTGCGTCCAGGGCCGTCGCCCGGACCGCAAGCGCGCTCGCACACGCAGACGCGTCGACATGGGCGGCGGAGCGGAGGGGGAAGCCGAGGAGGAAGCGGACTTGGAGAGTGGGGTAAAGGTCGAGACGGGTGGAGCCGACGAGTAAGCAACCCTGTGTTGATTGTGCTGTCTGTGCATGCCCACAGGATACTTGAAGCGTCACGTAATGAACAGCACCAGTTTTAGCCTTTTTTAACTGGCTACGCTTTCCATTTGTTGTCCGTATCTGCACAAAAACTTGCACACTCCAGTAAAAAGGACAATTGATGCTGGCTAATCCATCTTAAGCAGTGTAATGGACATCCCTCTAGCCAACATGCAGACTGCTATGTTGGAGGTGCCAATGCTTTGTTCGTAGAAAGCCTCACTCCTTACACTAGCCCTCCCGCCAACAAAATCGCACTTAGAGCTGACATATACAAACGTTTATGTTAGATGTGTTGGTGGGTCCAACATATTAAAACAAATATACCCCTCACTTTTTTGTCGGGGCTTGAAGGGTTAACCGTGAATTACAGCGGCCAAGAACCATGACTCCGTAACATGACTGGACAGGCAGATAGTGATTGTCGTGTGAATCCATGGTTGGTGTGAGCACTGACAGCACGGCCCGACTCTGTGCGATGCACGAAGGTGCCTCTCGCTAAATGGGTCGAGCAGATTCGGTGTCAAACACCGGATGGTTAATATACGAACCCGGTTTTTGAACCGGTAAGTATTAAATAGAGACTGACAAAATACGAAAACACCGTCGTTTTTATAGACCAACACCCAAAAATTCATATTCCCACTTAGATTGGACAGTGTGAGAGGCCAGGATTTCCGAATGAGAGTGACGTGGTACACCCACACCAGAGAGGCTACGAGTAGATGCGAAACCGTCCAACGATGATGCACGGCAATGGCTTTCTCCTGCGCGCCACAGGGGACGCACAACTTCGAGAAGCGGCTCATTCGCTCCCATTCGTTACCAACCCTGTGCGCATGTACGGCTGAGATGTTGAAATTTTACCCGAAAGGGCAGGCAGAATGCTTGCCCGCGTATCATCCGCTATGTACGGGTATCTAAGCGCGGTCGGAGGGACCATGGAGCGTGCGTTCAGTGCGGACACAAGCTACCAGAACAATGATGGTCGTGCGGGGCGAGTCGCCCGATGCGGTGGTGGGGTATATTGCGAGATGATGGGTGGCGTGTGTCTTGCTCGAGACGCATTGGTGGCGGTCGGAGGGTGGGTGGGTGGGGCCGGGCAGGTATGGTAAGCAATAAACCCATTCGGTTTTATTCGTTACCGAGTAGCTACGTCTCGTACGCTAACTCTAGTGCGGTTCGATTTTTTGTAGGTCGTCCAGCCGGTTGCTGCTCGCTCCGTTCGCGCCGAGCTTTTTTGCAGCCGCGGTAGACCAGGCGCGTACGGTCGAAGAGGTCGAGCTTATCTCGCACTGTGAGGCCATAGCTCAGGTGAATGCTGCCGCCCACCTTCAGGAAGATTCGGTACCCGCATGTTTGGGCTTCCACATCAACTTGCCAGGCATACCCATCGCCTCCATTCTCGCCTTCTGCGCCGACAGTCACCCCGTCACAGGCAGGGCCTCATTTGTGCGTCGTGCCTGTGGATCGTACACGCGGTCGGATGCAGTGTGGGTGAGGGTTTGGGCGGCGGTGCATCGCCAGTGATGAAGCTGATGGAGTGTTTGACCGGCGTCACCTCTCGAATCGACTTAGCCATCATCATCTCGCGAACGCGGCGTAGCATATCAGACAGCAGCTGGATCTGAGTGGCGAACGAACGGCCTCGAACCCACGCAGAGCAGGTCTTCTTCTTTCTTTTGAGGTGATAGGTAGTCGAGACCATCGGTAGCAACTCCTACCACCGGAGGATGATGCAAGGGTAGCAAAGATGGGTCGATTATTATGTCTCCGGGCGAGATGCACGCTGTCGCGATTAGCCTACAAGGCTCTAAGACAAACTGAGAAGGTACTTAGACAACCTGGAGGCTCAGAAGGTCCGATTGGCTCATGGTAGGCTCATTTTTATTTTTACGAGCACGATGATTTCCGGTATCAGTGTTCATATATAGGCACGGAAAACCAGTACCGGGGAAGCAAACAGTAGATCAACTCAAAACGATTAAATGCCCAAAAACAAAATGGGTTCATATTTTGGGCTCATATATAGGCACGGGAAACCGGTACCGAGGAAGCAAACAGTAGATCAACTCAAAACGATTAAATGCCCAAAAACAAAATGGGTTCATATTTTGGGCTCATATATAGGCACGGGAAACCGGTACCGAGGAAGCAAACAGTAGATCAACTCAAAACGATTAAATGCCCAAAAACAAAATGGGTTCATATTTTGGGCTCATATATAGGCACGGGAAACCGGTACCGAGGAAGCAAACAGTAGATCAACTCAAAACGATTAAATGCCCAAAAACAAAATGGGCTCATATTTTGGGCTCATATATAGGCACGGGAAACCGGTACCGAGGAAGCAAACAGTAGATCAACTCAAAACGATTAAATGCCCAAAAACAAAATGGGTTCATATTTTGGGTTAGACAACAGCTTCCTCCAGGATAATGCTTGCCCCAAAGTACTGACGCTCGTGCACAAGGCGGTCTGTTAGGCAAGACAGCTTCCCTAAGTCGGCGACTAATTCGGCAGCAGCGATGCATGCATCGTTTGGAAGCATGCCGCTCTGTCGAAAGCCGTTTGCAAGACTTTCCGTGAGCAGATCGGTTTAGGTTTGACACTCACAGATCTTGGAATAGTTCGGCTGCTTCAGCTTCAACCTCTTCCCGGAGGCTCTGAGAGCCTTGATTTGAGCCTGCATGCCCTCGAACCAGCGCCGACGTAGCTGCAAGTTCAACAGGAAGATGCATGTCACGTACGTCAGCTACAAGATCTGCGTGACTATGGAGGGGGGTCTTCAGCAGCATTACATTGATCGATGCTGCATACAAACGAACACTTGCCTTCCAGGGTCCATTGAAATCGTCCCAACAGAGCAGGATGGGCTCTTAAGGGACGTGGGTAGCGACGTGATGTCTTCGAAACGTAACGGGCAGCTCTGGATTCCGCCACCATGTCACATAATTATTAATAATTATTAAGTAGTAAGCCGTGAGTAATAATGGTTGCAACCAAAGTTAATAAATTGTCAGGACATACCTTTGGCGTTGCCATAAACTTCAAGCCCTGTGTACATGTTTCCAGTTGCCGAGGACACATGACCCACACAATCTTCGGTCCCCGGCGCGCCACCGTCTTCTTGGCTACATATTGAAAAAACCGCTGCCACAGATTTGGTTAGCTCACCTTACATGAAAAGAGGTGACGGCGCTTGAGCCAAGCGACTCACTTGTCGGACGCCTTGAAGTCCTTGTCTTCTGCCTCCTCTGCGACGTCCACCGCCTTCTCCGCTAGCATTTGCGCAAAGACAGGGATACCATCTCCACGCAGCTCATTGACCACACTGGGCGATCTCCGCCTCTTTCTTCGCGGACAGGATTGTGGCCTTCCCCCTGTTGCGTACCTTTTTGTGCCCCCCTTTTCATGTGGCACTTTCGGCCTCCAGCGTTTTGCAATTGCGCACCCAGCGTAGAATTGTCGTACGTTGAGGGTTGTAGGTTGTAGCGGCGAGGTTGGGGTAAAAATGCTACCGTGCGCACACTGCGCACGGTAGCTCGGTACTTTATGACCGCGAGCTTCTAGTTTATGGGCTCTGAGTTGACCCTGTGCACGCCGACGGACGCCTCCGCGGCTTGACCTTCCTATTTGGCTCGCGCGCCATTTTAAAACAACGGTTATCCTTCCGTTTGGCGCGCCCTATCCATATCAAAACGGGTGGCAGCAACGAAATTATAGGTATGCCTTTTATTTTTTATTTTATTTATTTTATTTTATTATATGTTATTGTTTTTTTTTTTTGGGGGGGGGTCTACAAACAGTTTCGAGTACTATCCTAGGGTGCATGTGATTGGTTCAATTCCTAGGCTATCCCTTAAGGTACTGCAGCCCTCTACATGGGAAATGAATTGACTTGAGAAAACGTAAGTCCCGGCCGCCGACGCTTTAATGGAGCGCTCCGATTGGCTAAAATGGACTGGTTAGCGCTGGGCCGAAAGAGGGACGGATTCACAAGCTTACAGTACAAGTAACTTAAGTCGTCCGGAAAGACCTCAAGTGCAATAGATATCCAAGCGACGAATGTACTAGCGTACGCATTCCAGATAAATGTAGGCGTTTGGGCCGTGACAACCGAAAACAACATGAAAGCTGAAGTCGTACTACGATGATGGAGCTTGGCACATCCGGAAAAGGATCGCGTTATGATTTGAGTTAAACACGAAGTGTGATAAGTTCAAAGGTTGAACAAACAGCTGCGGTTATCGCGACTCATGAGCGCCTACTGCTTGACCACTATCGCACAGCGCGCTCACCTTTCGCGATGGCACCCGTGGCGACCAGCCCTCGATCCTATGTATGGCTACTCCTGCCGATGATACTCCACAGAGTAGTGGACCCCCTCCACTCATTCATTCGGCATGCAGCTAGAGACTGTTGCTGCTGCTGTCATTGGTTCGGCCATGAGTGCCACCCGCTTCAAGACGACGTCTACCAACGTCGACTCGGCCGAGACGGAGGAGACGGTGACGGCCACGGAGGCGAGCACGCGGCCGACAAGGACATGGGCGGTGACGTTCACCCGTCTGCGGCTACGCTGTGGCGTACCGCTAAACGAATGGCACGACGCGACCCAACAGTAGCAACAGGCTGTGGAGACTACCGAGAGACGGAGACAATTTGATGTAGAACGAAAATGTGGTCGATGCTTACCCAAAATGCTTGGGCGGCCTCGACCCGCTGAATCCTGTGACACTGTAGCTCAAAATTGCGCTGGTTTTGGTGTACACATGAACATGACATGCAAGATGGCGTGGGCCTGTGTTCGAAAATGAGTTGTTTAACCACAATGGAGCCTGGAGGTCGTCAAAGAATCTCATTGCGTGGAACGCTATGCGTATACTTATAGATTTATTTTGACCAATACGAATATGTGCTTATCGTCGGCTACCGCCGCTGACGCCTTCCCGTAAGGATGCGATCCTAACTACCCTATAGTGGACCTCAGTCAAGGTGTCGTACTCCAAGGGGTAGGAATACACCAATTCCGGAAATCATAAGCCAATCCGCCTACGTTTTGGCGGAAAATCCCATATGTAACTTGCGTAAATACGAGAATGCGGTATGTAGCTCAACCTCCGATCTCTCCAAGAACGACAAGAAGGCAGTCCAAACATGTGTTGCACTTCACCCTACAGTCCGAAAAGAGTGCACTGTATCCATTTCATGGCTGATAAAGCTATAGTAAGAAATGTGATTAGTGGGGGGTCACACTATTTGTGCCTGGTCGATTTTTTCTCCTACGCAAAAAATGTGGGTAAATCTTCTCGCATGCCATAGGGAAACATAAATTGTTTTCTTGGCCAATTTTAAGGGGTTTACTAGTGTAGAACATATTAATTGCGCGCCTACACTATTAGCAAACTCACACTAATTGTTGTTGTTGTAGCGGCAGAACCATTGGTCGCCGTCAATTACAGCGGTGCCCGGGACAGTACATAACAACAAGTAAGATGATCGGCGATTTGCCTAACGCAGGAACAGATGACCATAAAAAAAAACCAATGTTCGATAAAGAGACCTTAGACGACACCTAGGAGGCAAGAACAGTGGCACATCAAGTTGGCAGACACCGCAGCATAAGGCGTAGCTCGTTTCGTACTCACTTTGGCGTTTAGCTAGTAATAGCCTTTGGATATACCTTCAGGGAGATTCGCCGGGTTCCCGATGCGTATTTTCATCCTGTAAACTCTACAACGAATTCGATAGTGCTACCAGCTGAACTAAAACCAACATCATCAAGAGCGCAAAGCTCGAGCGAAGATGCAGATCGGGCCTCAGCCGTAGTTTGTTTTGACACGATGGGATTGGAGATTTCCAGGATCCCCCGAGCCACGCCTGTGATTGGTTGGCTCAGAAGCTCACTCAGGGAGGCGGCGACACGTGGCGTATGGGAGAAGCGGATCCCGGCCGGACTCGCGTTGACAGTGTACAAGATTTAGTGACCCCGGATGGAGATGTAATCAAGGTAGGACCCCGGCTGAAGCCAAGTACCGAACGAGAGGCAAAGCCCAAGGGAACGTAAATGTGCCTCTGATCGGAGGCCGCCTGCTCTTGGTGCACTGTGCATCGCAAGAGGATCCCGACCAGATCGAGTGAAGACCCTGAAGCCGTGAAGTTGTCCAAGATATCCCGGATGTGAAGCCCAAGTGGAGTGTGATCCCGTTTGGAGATAATTCTGGATCCCGGATGGAGATAATTCTGGATCCCGGATGGAGATACCAAGAGACCATCCCAGATGTGAAGATCCAGTATATAAAATCCAAGATGTTTCCGACCGACCAAGCCGACCAGCCAAGATCTGTTCGGATTTTCGGGAACATTGAACTTCGCTTGCGTACCCAGTGATGATTATACTTGCTGGAAGTATGCTACGAGGGACCGCGGATGATTGCGACGACAAGACCATAGTGAAGACAAGTTAAGATGGAGTGCATGTAAAGATCGACAGAAGGTAGCCAGAGAGAGAGGGGGGGGGAGGGAGAGAGAACCGATAACAGAGGTCGTTTTGTCAAGGATCGCGCAAGCGAGTTGGAGCAGCCTACCGGACGCGCATTCCCGGAAGACCGACTAAGTCTACGTGTGAGGGCCCAGCAACTGTGACATCTGGGTCGAGCTCCAGCAACTAAGTCCAGTCCAAGTTGGGGTGAGTACCGGGCGACAACCCGAGGTTGATCCGTCCCATTTCATTTCGTAGTTGCCGTTGAGCTCGTCCTGACCAGGAAGACCCCGCATTTCATATTTCCGATTACCTTGTCACCCCAGTTGGAGTGATGGGAAGTATTGATTTAAGCAATGACAAGCAATGACACACGCCACACCGGTTGGAGTGTACATCTATGTGTACTATCTCCGGCTAGGGTTTGTTCTGGGTGCACTCCTTTCGGGAGTATACATCCAGGGCGCGCTAACTATACGCCTGGGCGGTCAAGCGTTCACCCGCCTCGCCTCACTTTCCTTCCACCAAGACCATAAGCACCTCAGACGCTGTTTTGGTGAAGTATCGGATGGAATGCCGCGAGTAGGAAGAAACTATCCGCAACAACGCAATGGGCGAGACGGACGATCGGATTGCCCCACCCAGCACCACATTTTCACAAGCGCTGTTTAGGCAGTGGTATCGCTTGCGGTGGAAAATGGCCTTCACGGACGATATTATAATCCCTGAGTTCGAATCAAATTCATCTTGGCGGTGAAAAGCAATAGCGTATTGGGCATTGACTAGAGCACCATCGCACCGATTTACCCCCCCCCCCCTCCCCGCACTCACACTTTGTATATGACTACAGAGAGGGGTGGATCAGACTGATTATTTGATTGCTAACAGGAGCGACTGTCTAACGAGGGCCATTTTCAAAAAAAGCCCACATATGTTTTTGGTTATGATGTGAAAACTTCAACTTCGTTGTAGACGGGTAAGATCTTGTAGCGGTATAGCTTTGCTGTTGGAACAATACATGCTTACTGTAAAATCGCCGGTCGTTAATAAAATAATACTACGCCGCTACCGCACAACGGTATAAGAGATAGCTAACACTTTACTGCTAGTGCAGCTCTCACTTTCGATTTAACTTAATCGACCCCACCAAATGTATCACCACCAGTTTCTGCTGCAAGACACCGCTATGGAAGTACAAGACGACGCGTACCCCTCGCTCACTGAAACCAGCCTGCCGACGTTTGTCATCCCGCCCCCTCCTGAAGAAACGTTCCCTTCAGAGGCAGCGGCACTTGCTGCTGTCTACACCTGGACTCGCGATCACTGCTACAACATAACTAAACGCCGAGCTTTCTACACGGACTCGACCAAGACTACTGTGTGGAAGCGAGGCTTGGACTGTGACCGCAAGGGCTCACCCGCGCACCTCCGTGAAGAGGACAGAGCGCGGCCGATGAGGGGCTCCAAGCAAATGGGGTGCAAGATGAAGTAGGTGCTCCAGGCAGTATCGAAGGACGACCCTCTTGGGCCGTGGAAGATCGTCCACACACGAAAGGGTAGTCAACTTCATAACCACCCACCGTCCGAAAATGCTCGAGCCCACGCGTGCCATCGACGGCGTGCGGCGGCTGCGGAAACCTATGTCGGTACCAATCAATCCGTGCAGGCGTTGGTTGAGGCCCAGACTGCTGCTGGAGTGTCCGTAACAAGTATTCGCGCCACGCTTCTCCAAGCCGATCCAACTTCCTTCGTCATCCCTAAGGACATCGCTAACACGAAGAACGCCGTCCGACGCAGAGAATTGTCCACCAACACCGCAATGAAGGCTCTCGTCGCTGACCTCTCGCGCCGCGGACTCCTTTATCGCTACGAAACCAACGCAGAGACGCAGGAATTGCGTTACCTGTTCTGGGCGCACCCAGGCACTGCAGTCTTGTATCGCAGGCACCACGATATCCTCGTCGTGGATTGCACTTACAAGACGAACAAGTTTAAGATCCCGCTGTTCAACATCATTGCTGTGACGGGTTTCAACACCGTCCTCCCGGTCGCGCAGTGTTGGCTCTCTGGAGAAAAGGAGGAGGATTGCGTGTGGGCTCTGAACATGCTCCGCCTTTTCTTGATCGAGAAGGACGTTGAGTTGTCTGGTGTTGTTCTATCCGACCGCGAACAAGCGTGCATGAATGCAGTTGCCCGGGTTCTGCCTGAAGGTCCGTCAATGGTGTGTCGTTGGCACATGAACACGAACGTGGAGGCAACGGCCCGCAAACATCTTGGCCAAGTGACCGTGGTGGACCCTACAACTGGCGTGAGGTCAAAGGAGAATACATGGGAAACGAATGCCGTCATGGCGGCATTCCACGAGGCAGTGGATTCAAAGACGGAGTCAGAATTCGAGACGCGTGCTGTCGCTCTGAAGACACACAGCAGTTATCTGGACACCAACCGGTGGAAGTACAAGACGAGAATTGTCCGTGCCTGGACCGACCGGTACCCCCACTTCGGATTTCGTGACACCTCGCTGGTTGAAGGAACTCATGCCAAGTGCAAGGAGTGGATTTGCAGCAGCCAAGGAGACCTGTTCACCGTGTTTAAAGTCTTCTACCGTGGGGGGACGGAGCTGGGGCTGACACGCGAATGATATCAGCCCAGAATGGTTACGGCACGCCTGCGCTTTTGCAACAAAGCCAATACTCGGCTGTTGTCCGGGTGATCACCGTGTTTGCGCTGACAGAGACTCAGAAGTTGTGGAAGGATGCGAGCAAGATCGTCTACAATCGTCTTCCGAGGGATACGTGCTCCGGGACGTTTCGAGTTGTGCATGGTCGGTCATGCTTACACGACCTCGCAACGATCATAGAATCGAACGGACGCATGCGACTTTTGCCAGAACACTTTGCAAAGCAATGGTGGATCAACCGCCACGTTGGCGTATCCGATCTCAGGCGGGTGCTCGATCCAGCCCCTTTGGGAACTACCACGCGTCGGTCGAAACGGAAATCCTCACACCGCATCAATGCCGGCATTACGGGCACAAGAAGAGGCCCAATCGTTGTTGGAGGGTAGACCTGAATCACCCGGCGACACCCACTTCTTCTACTACTGCTCTTGGGCGATCGGACAGTGTTGTGGTCGTGCTACCCCCCGTCGACAATGTGGATTCGACAAGCAGCTCATTTTCAGCCTACGAGGAGGCGCATCGGCCACCGAGGTCATGGCGTTCAACTTTGGGTTCATGAAAAAATCATTCCAGGGCAATTACGATGAGGGAAGTGGCCGTGATTTACTTCCGTTTGCTGGGCAAACCTTTCGCCGGTTTGAAAAGTTTAAAATGACACGACCATTTACTCACTACTGCTGGAAGGAGCAAGGCCATTCGTTCCGACGGAGCCGTTATAAACGGAGAAACGACAAGTGCCAGACATTTGGGATCCTGGGAGTCACTCCGTGTGGATTCTTGGCGGTGCTTCAATTCATCGCCATCCGGAAATCGTGCACTTGTAGGCATTGTCCCCATATTCCTCCCCGCTTACTGTCCCTTCTTCAATCCCATAGGTACTGGCTAACACTGCCTCGCTTCGAGTACATGAAATCCTTGCAGCACTTCACGGATTTCACTCGGCCAAATGTACCTTGCGTGTTGTAGTAGTCTATCGCACCTTGCACCCAGAGCCAGCATGGATTCTCTCGGCTACCACAGGAAATCTCCCCGAATTGCTATATTTTGTTCTTTCAAAGAGTAGCCACGCTTCCTTATCATTCCCCCGTTGTCGAACCACACCTTGTCTAGGACGACAAGGTTGTGGTGAATCCAGTCGATTTTGCTAATTCATCTACGAGACGAAAGATATCACTCTCGTTGATGTGCATTGCGCGGCGCTCAAGCACCTTGCACGTCAAGCCATAGTCGTGTATAGTTCGCCAGACAGATGGCCGCGAGTTATTCATGCCGCGGGCCCTTTGGGACGCGGCTTGAGCTTACGCTAGTGGTCGCACGGCATAATACAAACGCAATCATTGCTTGTGACCAGCGCTAAACTTTTTTTCTGCTGCACTGTTTGCCCGTTCGAATGTTCCAGTGGTCTTGTACACTCGGGTCCAAATACTGATTGTGCTGTCGCGCTTATGGTATACGTGCGCAAGCTTGCTTCGAGTAATGCCAAGGTTCTAAAACCCATAAAGCCAATGTACCACCATATTAGGGAGAACCTGTTGCTTTGTCACGGCGGCTTACATGCTCTGTGTTAGCAATACCTATGTAAGAAACTATGATGGCGATTACAAATCATGTATGTAACAATAAATATCTTAGCAAACAGTCCACGTCGATGGTGTTCTTCGGTCGCACAAACACCAACCCGGCACGTAACCTGTCTCCTATCACTGTATCTGCAGCAGCGTCGCGAACGCCTTGACCGCGTGTGCAGGGTTCTCTCCACGTTCTTGTGTCGATGAAGCACCACGTAGGTCACGTTGTAGGGCAGCAGCGCGAGGACTGCTAAAAGAAAAGACCGATAGTTATCTCAATATTATCTCAATACGAATGCGGAGCTGGAAATGATAAAAATTGAACGAGTCCATGTATGCATCGTCGGTCTCCGCAGAAATGCGTGAGCAAATGTCATTCTGGTACGTGTTTTCACCGACGATATAAAACCCATCTTTTCAGCAAATATACTTCACAGGTTTTTACTGGTCCATAGAACATACGTCGGCTACACTCATGCAGTTCAAGCTCAAACGCCACCTCGTCCACAACGCCAAGACGGAGCATTTGTGGAACCAGTGACTTGTGTCGGCACGTGGGCAGCTGGTCAAGCTTCTAGTTTACGAGTACGGATTGAGGATTTCCAAGGCACAAGATCTAGATGATTCCCTAAATGATTGCGTCCGCCCTGTTGCAACTGACCGTGCTGGGGTACTGAAAGCTAGTTTCATGAGCTAGCGATGGGACTACAAGAGCGCTGGAGTTACCGGCACCTAGCATCAGCAGTAACGTGGAGACGTTGGGCAAATGCTATCATGCGCAACCTCGATCGGGGTATTTGGGGCGAAGTTATGTCGGCGCCCCCTCCTGGGCATCATCGCCCAATGTTTGGGGATGCACCATCCGAAGCTGAGGAGATACTGACAAACATAACTCGCTCGGCTGAACTGGCGCTCGAATGCGTCACTGGTTCGCTAGCCGACTACGATAGTCTTCACAATGAATATGAGATATTTCGCGATCACTTAAACGGCCACCCGTGCGACCTGAAAGCACGCAAACGTATTATTGAGGGGCTTCTCCGTGACCTCGCGCCTCCCGCGCAGATGCGGTCGTTGAGCCGTTGCCTCGAATGGATAACTTGACACCGAGCACCAAGCGTAGGAGAACGATTCTGTTATCTTCCATTAAACCCAATAAAGTTTCGTCTTCGGTTGGAGTATCCCAAATGTCTGGTACTTGTCGTTTCTCCGTTTATAACGGCTCCGTCGGAACGAATGGCCTTGCTCCTTCCAGCAGTAGTGAGTAAATGGTCGTGTCATTTTAAACTTTTCAAACCGGCGAAAGGTTTGCCCAGCAAACGGAAGTAAATCACGGCCACTTCCCTCATCGTAATTGCCCTGGAATGATTTTTTCATGAACCCAAAGTTGAACACTATGGGATTGAAGAAGGGGCAGTAAGCGGGGAGGAATATGGGAACAATGCCCACAAGTGCACGATTTCCGGATGGCGATGAATTGAAGCACCGCCAAGAATCCACACTGAGTGAGTCCCAGGGTACTGGCAAACACTGCCTCGCTTCGAGTACATGAAATCCTTGCAGCACTTCACGGATTTCACTCGGCCAAATGTACCTTGCGTGTTGTAGTAGTCTATCGCACCTTGCACCCAGAGCCAGCATGGATTCTCTCGGCTACCACAGGAAATCTCCCCGAATTGCTATATTTTGTCCTTTCAAAGAGTAGCCACGCTTCCTTATCATTCCCCCGTTGTCGAACCACACCTCGTCTAGGACGACAAGGTTGTGGTGAATCCAGTCGATTTTGCTAATTCATCTACGAGACGAAAGATATCACTCTCGTTGATGTGCATTGCGCGGCGCTCAAGCACCTTGCGCGTCAAGCCATAGTCGTGTATAGTTCGCCAGACAGATGGCCGCGAGTTATCCATGCCGCGGGCCCTTTGGGACGCGGCTTGAGCTTACGCTAGTAGACTTCTGGGTTGCGAGCACGTTATCGAGCTTGTCGTAGAACTCAGCAGGCTGAATTCCCTCGTAGAGGTGCGACTCCATGTTGTTGTCTTGGTAGAAGTGGTACTTACTGTCTTCCTTGAAATCAGCAGCCACATTCTTTTGGAGCTTGCCTAGACTGATCTAGTACTGCTTCGCTACCAATTTTTGGTTGGTGGGGTGGGAAATGTTGTATACCATGCGCCCCGCCTTGCCACGTACCTTAATACGGTAGCTACTACCCCATCGAATGGGTTGAATATTTAATCTCTTTAATCCTTCGAGTTCGTATGCAAACATGTTGTCTATATATGCTTGACTATATTATTCTCCGTAGATATGACTTTATAATTATTTGACCTTGTATCAGGATCGACTTTATATCTTAGTCATTTACAAAATATTCTGAAATTAATTAATTCAAATATTTGGCTTATACCTTTTTGGAGGTTTTAAGCCATTGTCTTTGACTATATTGGGATTGACTTTTTGAGAAAACAAATTAATTAATTAATTAATGAAGTTCGGTTTCATTATTAAGTTCGACTTCACCATCAATAAGTTCGGTTTTGGGTTTACGCTTGCGAGCTCGAATCTGGTCTCTATTCTTGTCGTCGTAGCTCTTTTGATACGACAAGCGAGCGTCGCGTGTGCGCTGATAGTAGCGCTTCTGTGCTGCTTTGATGCGTTCCTTGCTAGCTTGGTATTGCTCAGTAGAGTACGCCATGTTACTATTTTACTAACTTTATATTTATCACGATCGATCAACAAATACTTGGTAATTGAGAAGTTGAAGACACCATGCTTCCATTAAATTATTCATTTCCTCTTTCCTCCTCCTCTGTTTCTCTTTGTGCTCTGTGAGGGTTGTTGTTGTTGAGGTTGTCGCTGAGCTTCAGTAGCAGGAAGCAGCGAAGTGTGCTCGGTCAATTCTTGATGCTGGGCTTCAGCAGCAAAAGTCAGGTCGGTCATTTCTTGTCGCTGGGCTTGTAACGGTGTCTCGTCCTTCGCTTCCTCGATCATGTTGTCAAGCTTCGATTTCCAATGTTGCGAATATGACAGAATCGCCCCCATCGCAATATCAACACCAATCATCTGACACACGATAAGCGAGCGGCCAGGAACTGTTAAACATCCTTTTTCGTCGGTTGGATTCTCTCCATAGGCCAAAACAATGAATGTAATGACCGCCAATATGACAGGTACGAAGCATTGAGCGTTGATGATCCACCGTCTGAATCCTGCTCTACACAAGAAATTAGCAACAACATATTCAAACAATTAGGGGCCAGAATACGTACGCTTATATTTCAGCGCTCTGGAAGCAGTTCCACCAATGTCAACGCGAACATGACCCGGAACCACCACCAGCACGTGGACCTGTTTCTTCTGCGGAGCTGGTACGAAGACATCGGCAATCTCATCTGCTGGGTCCATTTCCACGTTCAGCAGTGTCTTCACTTGTTCAGGAATGCCTCCACTTCGCATAGAAATCACATCAGGGTCCTTCGATGAGAGCCACGCGCCGTCCGCCGTCTTCGCCAGGGAAAGCTGCAGGTCCTTGGCATCGCACGTGATCGTCGCTGGGTTCTCCGCCTTGATCGCCTTCTTTAAGTCGTCCACCGTGTCGCTCTCATCCACTCGCACCGAGAACGCGCTGCCCGCCACGCCAACGCACAGAAAAGCTTCACCATCTTTCGTCAAGCCGGAAGGGAGGGAGAATTTCTGGCGTACTTAAGCGAACATGAAGGTGTGTGACATAGATTTTCAACCAGATGAGACGCCACGTCGCGCTGGTCCGAACTACTAGTAAAATCTGCTGGCGTAATGTTCTATTGGTTTTATCAATGTAGTTTGAACGAGCGGTCCCGAAACGCCCTAAGATCCAAAAGACGTGGCTCTCGCTATAAAGTGGGCGTCGTCAAATCAACGTCTATTAGATCTGACCGGTTCAGAGGTTCTAAAACTACCCTCATATCGAAAAGACGTGGCTCTCGCTCTCAAGTGGTCGAGAGGGGTCGTCGTTGAAATCGCTGCTGTCCCGAAAGAAGGTTTCGGGAATGTTCTCGGTGGTAAATTACGGTAAGGAAAAAAACTGCCGGCGTAATGTTCCATGACCCACTACTCATGTCGCTCTCGCGCAGCGCCGTGAGGCAGTCGGCGATGCTGGAGAACTCGCGCACCGTGAGCCACCCGGCGCAGTTCTTGGTGATCTTCTTGCCGCTGCTCTTCTTGGGCTTCTTGCTCTTGCCAGTGTCGTCGTGGGTCTTGAGCTGCTGCGCGTTGGCCGCGATGAGCCACACGTGCTGCACGCCCAGCGCCTCGGCGGTGCGCAGCACGGCCTGATGGTTGTGCGAGTCCATGCACTGCTCCAGCACCAGCACGATGCGGCTCGTGCGGTGGCGCAGCACCGTCTCCGCCCGGCGCAGACGCTCGGGCGCCTCGCCCAGCTGCGTGTCGGCGGTCGTCAATGGCTCGGCCTGCTGCGCCTCGGAGCTGCTCGTGCTCATGGTGGTCAACTGAAGTGCCGGTTGGGTGGGGCTCAGCAACGCGTACACAAATGTAGCCATCTACAAAACAGCCGCTGCTGCTGGAAGTGCACTCGACGCTGGCTGCTCCTAGGGCAGGACGACGGACACGAAGCGCGCCTTAGCTACGTCGCGACACCCTGACCGTACTGCTCGTATCTGTCCGGCAGGCCTCGAGTAACAGCCAAAGCTATTCCTGACTATGGCCATCAGTTGTTAGCCCAGCGGCCGCATGAGGGACGACGTGTCGAGGCACAGCATGCCCCGCCTGGCGTCGCGCTCGCGCCGAACGAGCGTGGAGGATGAGCCGGCCGCCACGCCCACCGCAGTGCGGGCCGCCGCGCGCGCGGCGCTGAAGGAGGAGGAGACTCGCCCAGCCGCGGTTGAAGCGCCGCCCCGCCAGCCTCCCAAGCTCAAGCCGAGGCCGCCGCCCTCTTCCGCGTCGCGAGGCTCCAGTCCCGCCGAGTCCAAGACGTTCCTCACAGCGCTGGTGCCCGCACGCCGGCGGTCCAGACGTCAGAGCGAGATGCTGCGGCCGCCGTCCCCGCTGGAGTCAATGGAGCCGTCGGCGACTACACGGAAGGCGGCGCGTCGTCGGAGCCGCCCGTGCCGGCCAACTACATGGGGGCGGAGGCCATGCAGCAGTTCTGGGGCATCTTCCACCGACAAGAAACTGTTCACAACAACAAGGTCGTGCCCCCGACGCCCACCGCAACGGCACCCAACTCTTCTCGGCTGAGCAACGAGGTCGGCGACCGGGAAGCTGTTGGATCTCATCGGGAAGCGCACGCGCGGGGCCTGTATACAGCTCTTCCAGCGTAGGGTCACGCAGCTCATCGCTTTGGCCTGCGAGCGGAGGCAACGCCGCCATGTTAGGGATCAGTGACGAATTTAGGGAAGTGCACTAGAATGCGATCATCGCGGCGGTTGAGCTCGAAATGGACTGGAGTTTCACCGTGGCATTTCCTGTTGATTAAAGCGCATCGATATGCCCACGTCACATCCTACACAACGTGCTCCCAGGCCCCCCCCCTACTTAAACCCCTAAGCAGAAAACTGCAACGCGCTCGCTTGCTTACCAGGGCAGGACGTCGCCCTTCTCGAAGTGGAACATCTTGGCCGAGTCCTCGATCTTGGCGCGGGCGATGATCTTGGTCAGGCCCTTGACGCTGTCCTCGGACGACACGGAGCCCGTGAAGCCCACCATGGCCGTGTTGACGTACCCCGGGTGCAGCAGCAAGCACCCGATCTTCTCCTTCTCGAGGTCCACCGCCAGGCTCTTGGTCAGCATGTTGAGCGCCGTCTTGCTCGCCCTGTAGCCGTAGTACCCGCCGGAGCCGTTGTCCGTGATGCTGCCCATTCCGAAGAGGGGAAAACAGGTCAATCCTAACAGTTGGTCACGGGTATGATGGCCAAATAGGTCACACATCAGGACGCTAGGTCACATGACCAAACTTACCAGGTCACACCCCCACGACATACTTATGATAGAGAAGGTCAGATGCGCGCACACGCGCATGAGAATGGTAGCGAGATGCATCCACGGAAGCAGTTTCAAAACCAACCTGAAGCTATTTGCGCTTTTCAAAACGGACAAAGGCCACATCGCTAGCCGCCTCTTCAGGAATCATAAACCAAGCTTCCTCAACCAGCACACGGCACTTCTTCCGTATCTGCGAGCTCGCTCTACACGATGACACGCCGTAGGAACAAAACGACAACTCCACCGACGATCAACCCATCCTCTCGCTGCTCGAATCGGCAACCACGTCCTCGTTTCTCTCCGCTGACTCGGCGGAGTATCCGTTCGCGACGTCCGAGTCAGCAAGTCCCCGACGTCCATGAACTGTCCGACAACGGTGTTGTGGGGGCCGATTTGCGTCCGACGCAAGCGTCGTTAGATCTCCTCGATGCTACAGCGGATACGACTAGCATGCGTGCGCAGGCTTCGTATGCATCTGTATTGCCTGGACAACATGGCAAGGTCGCGGACGTCAACGACGATGCTACTCGATCCCTCGGGCTCCACAGTGCCCGAGATGCTGTTATCACAACCGGCGGACGGCGGCCACCTGCGGGAAGAAGCTGGAGGAGCTAATGGTGCCCCAACGGGTTGTACTAACGCGACAGTGGGACGGACCCGGGCGACGTCAAAGAAGCGAGATGGACATACGAAGGTGTACTACCAGGGTTTCTCGTACGCTCGGGCGAGCATTACGAGCGTCAAGATCTCGTATCGTTGTAGCTCGTATCGACAGAAATGCAAGGCACGATTTGTGTACATGGCTGCCACGGCATCGTTCGACTTCAGTGAACTCGTCCCCCACACCTGTCGATCGGGCGCTGCACTTCAAAGCAGGACCGCTCAAGCTGATGGGAGCCCCTGTGAAGATGTGAGCGAGGCTGTACTAGAGGAGGTCGACCAGCTCGCTGTTGAAACGAATATGACCCAACGGGATATCTGGCTGCACGTTATGGAGAAATTCTACATGCAGTCGGGGCCTCCGGTCCGTGGGGTATCCAAGAACGCGGTTGAAAATCGAGTGAGGTATGCTCGAGGAAAAGAAACCGGTGGCAACCGCAATCGATCTGTTGAGCTCCCTCCTATGTCAAAAGTGAGAGGATCCATGCAGGGATTTTTTCAGTTCCAGTACTCGTGGCACGATGATATGAAGGCGCAAAAAGACTCGGTCGGTGTTGATCGAGTTTTGGCATGGGCGCATCCTGAGCTGCGCAATCTGCTGCGCTTCGAGAACCTGTCGTGGTTCCTTGACGGCACGTTTCGGTGTGCTCCTGCTGGATACAAACAGTGCGTGACAATTATGGTCCACGATCCATTACCGATCTTTACATCCCTGCTATCTTCACGGTAGCCACCTCCATGCAGAAGGAGCATTATATCAAGCTGTTGCGCTGTATCGAGGACTGCGACGGTCTGAAGTTGACTCCTAAGGAAGTCGTGTGTGATTTCGAGGCCGCTCTCATCGGCGCACTACGAGCATACTTCCCCGACATCCGTATCATCGGATGTTTGTTTCATTTTAAACAAGTGTGTCGCCGAAAGCTGAAGGAGTACCAGATACCAAGAGACGAAGCCAAGCTAGCAATGGCCCCAAATGTCTTTGACATTTTGACGGTGATCGACCCAAGTAACATCGAAGTTCAAGGGATTGCGTGGGTCAAGGCCAAGATTAAAAAAGTTTGTGAGGCGAAGCATATGACCTACTCTCGCAGAAAGTGGCGTAAGGTTTGGGATTACTTCCGACGGACTTGGCTAGAAATGTTTCCGCCAACGTATTGGAACGTGTTCGGCATGCGTCGTGACATTGTTAGTAGAACTAACAACCCTCTCGAGCGCTTCCGCCGGCATCTGAACGGGAAGATCAAAGCTCCACACCCTGCCATGAGCAGCTTCGTCGACACGCTAGAAGGTATTTCTCGCGAATATGTGGCGCAGCGTGTTGCTATCCAGTCCGGACTCGCCAGGCCACCTCAACGGAAACGTTTCCAGCTGCCGCGTGCGCCGCAGTTGCCTGAGGTCGGCGACATCGTGGATTCGGAGGAAAGCGAAGACGAAGACGAGCAGCCTACCATCGCCACGGATGACCCTGCATCCTGCTCAAGTGCGCCGGGTTCAGAGGACGACGTTGCTGAGATGGATCACGATACGGCAGACTACAGTCCAGATAACTCATTTGACTACGACGGCGATGCATCAGCAATTGTATAATGGTGCGGAAGTCGCTATCGTTCAGGATGGCGTTGCAGCAGAATCGATATAATACATTTACTTTGCTTCCAGATCGTTTGTGAATTACATGTGACCTCATTCCCTTAGGTCACGTGACCAAAGTAAGGATTTGACACGTGACCAAAATGTAGGACTGACCTAAAAATCCGGCTACCGCCCATTCGGGACGTGATCTGCGCCACGAAGGCCGAGCCCTCGGCGCCCACCGCCAGCCGCAGGTTCGGCAGCAAGGCCCTCGTCATGAGGAAGGGTCCCACCGAGTTCACCTCAAAGTGGCGAAGCAGATCCGCCTTGGTCGTGGTCTGCAGGTCGTGCACGTCCATGATGCCGGCGTTGTTGATGAGCAGGTTGATGGGCACGTTCTTGAGCGCCTTGGCGGCGGCAGCGATGGACTCCTCACTGCTCGTGTCCAGCGTCAGCAGCTTCCACGGTTCCAGCTTCTTGAGCTGCAAAGTAAGGATTATAGTATGAGATGTCTACTGTATCAAACTACCTCGGGCGTGAGTAGAAAGGATCTCTCGTCATGAGAAGACACGTACGTCCGTGGCGGTGTCGACGTTGCGCGCGCAGCCGATGACCTGCAACCCCTCCTTCTTCTAGTGCGTGGCGAACGCAAGGCCGATGCCGCGGTTGCTGCCCGTGATAAGCACCGTCTTGGCTGCCATAGTGACACCTAAAGCGTGTGGACTTGGCTTGACGGTGTGAACGACTGAATGACACGCGAGGAGATCTTTTAGCCACATCTTTGGGCCCGACGCCACCGAAGATGGCTACTGCCTACATCGTAGGGGGATCCGGTAGGGGTGCACACTTTGGAGGGAATCAGTTGAGGTTTGGCGCGATGGAGGGCAAGCCCAAGGTGACGGTGCTGCTGGCGCATGCGTGCGGCTTCTCCAAGGACATGTGGACGCCTGTAGTGCGCCGGTTGAAGGAGGTTCCGGCGCTGCGACGCGCGGAGACGCAGTTCGTGAGCTTCGACTTCCCGTACCACGGAAGTCGAAGTGACGCGGCCTTGGCGGAGACGTTGACGGTGGACAAGCGCAACCCGAAGGCCGTGCGGGTGAGCGGCGAGTGTGACGACGTCAAGAGCTGGTACTTGAAGACGACGCCGCAGCAGGTGGAGAGCGTGAAGAGGGACAACCCGGCGGACTTCTTCATTGGGGTGGGCTTCTCCATGGGCTCGGGAGCTCTCTGGGCCGTGGAAATCGCGCACCCGGGCACGTTCGACGCGCTCATTCTGTTTGAGCCGACGCTGGACACCAAGACGCCGAGGACGGAGGCTGTGCGGTCGTACTTCGTAGCGTCCACGCTTCGGCGTCTGTCGTCGTGGTGAGAACTCGAAAGGCTTTTGATCCATGTTGAAGTGCTGCTGACTTGTCTAACACTTGTGTGTATTGCTGCTGTGCAGGCCCTCGCGCGCTGCTGCTGAGACGTACTTCACCACCGCTGAAGCGTTCGCTGCGTGGGATCGAGAGGCGCTGGCAGCGCACTTGGTCGGAGCACTCAAGGACCAAGCGGACGGATCCGTGTCACTCGCGTGCGACCCTCGACTGGAGGCCTCACTGTACTCCATGCAGGCGCTTGACTTCTCCGACGAGGAGCTGGGGCGACCCAAGTGTCCGATCCGCTTCCACTGGGGCAGCGAGTCGCACATGTGCTTCGAGAAGATGCTCAAGGCCATCGAGACCAAGTTCCCGCGCATCTACACCACTCGCAAAGGGATGCCAGGCCTCGGCCACCTCGTGGTCATGGAGAGCCCAGAGCAGACGGCGAGCAACATCGCCCAAGAGCTGCAGCAACTCGAGCCGTTCGCTCAGGCCAACGCGAAGCTGTAAGCTCTAGCCTTACAAACCGTATAGGGTCGTTATCCTCCTGCAAGTTGAAGTTGGTCCTAAACAGTGCAAAAGGTCCTCTTAGGTGTGTTCACGTCAACGTTAGCACAAGATATCTCAATGCCACCGACTCCAGCAGCGACGCTGCTCTTCGCCCATGGCGGGGGCTTCTGCAAGCAGGTCTGGGTCCCGATCATCCGCCGCCTCAAGAGCTCCCCACTCCTGCAGCAGGTCGCGACGGAGTTTGTGGCCTTCGACTTCCCTTACCACGGCACAAAACGCGACGAATCCGTGGCCCCTAAACTCGACGTGAACGGTCCCGGCGAACCAAGGGTGTGGCAACTTGGTGCAATCCACGACGGCGGAAGTGCGGCGCCAAGTGCAGTTGTTCCGGGAGAAATACGATGCAAAGGGACCGAGACCCGCGCTCATTGGCGTCGGTCACTCGATGGGGGCGGGCGCGCTCTGGAACGCGGAGGTGCGGGACCCCGGCACCTTCGACGCCCTTATCATGTTTGAGCCCGTGTATGGAATCGACGATCCGCAGAGGACGGACGAGGTCACGAGCTTCCTCGTGTCGGTGACGCTGCAGCGAGAGTCCTCGTGGGCGTCGAGACGCGAGGCGGAGACGTACTTTGAAAACCTCAAGAACTTCAAGACGTGGGATCGCGAGTCCCTCGCTGCGTACGCTCAAGGCGCTTTGGTCGAGGATGAGGCGACGGGGAAGACGGTCTTGGCGTGCCACCCGCACATTGAAGCCTCGTTGTACTGCCACGATATCCTGCGCTTCAACGATGAAGAGCTTAAGCGGCCGAAATGCTCTGTGCACTTCCACTATGGAGACCGGTCGAATATGTTCTTCATGCCCTGGTTCGAGCACGCGGTGAAGATAAGCCCCGACATTTACTGGATCGACGAGCTGATGAACAAATGCACGCACTTGCTGGTGCTGGAAGACCCCGAGACGGCGGCCAGAAAGATTCTGAACGACCTCGCGAAGGTAGCGCCATTCCGCCGCGATACATTGAGTCAACTTTGATGAGATAAATGGGTTTTGGTGGTTATTCATCGCTTTCGATTGTTCTTACTCATCCTTAGCATCACCTGACGGCCATTTCTAGTAGATTCCTACTTAGATGCGCGAGTGTGGCGCCGTTTGCTCAATACTAGTAGTAATGAGCTCCTTCAGGTCCGCCAGCACGCTATTAGCACAGCCGGCAGGGTTCTCCATCACCAGGGCATGCGAGAGTCCAGGCATTAGTGGTCGCGTCCGGTAAATCTGCGGGTACTTGGTGGCCATCTCCCCAAACGCTTTGCTGTTGTGGATCTTGGATCTGCCGCCCCCGTGGAAGTTGATGCGACAACGAGGGCGCTGCTACAGCTCGTCCGAGAGATACATGGGCGTGTGGCAGTAGAGCGAGGCTTCGATGAGCGGGTGACACGCCAAGAGGACGGAGCCGTCGTCTTGGTCGATGAGGCCGCCGCGGAGATATCCCGCCAGAGCCTCGCGGTCCCAACGAGCGAAGTTCTTCAAGTCGTAGAAGTGATCCTCCGCTGCCAGTCGCGTCGGCCATTGGGCTTCGCGCTGCAGTGTTAGCGCCACCAAGAAGTCCACGGTGTAGTCGTTTTGCGGCGTGCCGATACCCGTAGCCAGGCTCGAACAGGCTGAGGCTGGCGAAGGTGCCTGGGTGCATCACCTCCGTCTTCCAGAGCGCCATGGCCCCCATCGAATGACCGACGCCATATATTGGCGTCTTGTCGCTTTGCCCTCGCGCGCGCTGCCCCGCACGAATACGCTGCACCTGCTCGTACACTTCCTGCGGCGCCCAGGTCGTGAGGTTCTTGGCCGGGTGATCCACGCGCGGCTTCTGCGGGTCGCTGTGATCCACTTGAGCTGCCACCGAGTGGTCGTAGTTGCTGCCGTGCCACGAGAAGTCGAACGTGACGAAGTCGGCGCCTGCCAGCAGCGGCGCCGCCTTCAGCCGACGCACGATGGGGTCCCAGCAGGTCTTGCAGAAGCCCCCGCCGTCCACGAAGAGCAGCGTGGCCGCCGAATCTCGCGTCATCTTCCGGGCAAGTTGTTAAATGAGATGATCGAGAGCGTTGAACAACCCCCAGCAGCTTCAACATGACCCAAAACTTGGTGACGTCAACCACTCGCGGCGCATGACAAGGCACACAGTTGTATGCTGTGGCCTGGTCGGCGGCCTCCTGCTGCTCACTACTCGATTCTCCTGGAAGATGGCGAGTGCCAAGACCAAGGTGACGCTGGTGTTCGCGCATGGCGGAGGGTTCTGCAAGGACACTTGGGACCCCATCGTGCGTCGCCTCAACGAGTCTCAAGTGATCAAGGACGTGCCGACGGAGTTCGTCACGTTCGACTTCCCGTACCACGGCGACAGGCACGACCCAGCGGCGTTGCAGGCGTTCGAGGTGGATCTGAGCAACCCGAGAGCTCCGCGGGTCTGGAACGAGGCGCACGACCTGGTCGGATGGGTGGCTGAGGCGGTGCAGGAGCAAGTCGCAGAGTGGAAGGAGAAGACCAAGAGGGGGGACCCCGAGGGCAAGGCGCAGCATAAGCTCATTGGTGTCGGGCACTCTATGGGCTCCGCGGGGCTCTGGGCCACGGAGGTGGCGCACCCAGGGACCTTTGATGGGCTCATTCTGTTCGAGCCTGTGCTGGCCCAGAACTCGCCTGACACCGACTACATGATCAACTTCATGGTCGGTCTCACGCTGCAGCGAGCGGCCTCGTGGCCCTCTCGGGCTGCAGCTGAAGAACACTTTTACAACCTCAGGAACTTTGCCAAATGGGACCGTGAGACTCTTGCTGGATACCTGCGAGGAGCTCTCGTTGAGGCCGTGGACGGTACTGTCACGTTAGCCTGTCACCCGAACATTGAGGCGTCGCTGTACTGCCAGAAGCCGCTGTGGTTGACGGAGCACGAGCTGCAGCAGCCCAAGTGCCCCATTACGTTCCACTGGGGAAGTCGCTCCAAGATGTGGTTCCACGACCGATTCGAGGCTCTACAGAGCAAACTTCCGCACATTTACACCGTGAGGGACCCCATGGAAGGCAACTCGCACGTGCTGGTGCTGGAGAACCCTGCATTGGCTGCGGAGAAAATTGCTCAGGACCTGACAGAACTGGAGCCATACACTACTGAGGGCGAGTCGAATGCAGGAGGAAGCTCGCCATGAGTTGGAGGGGTTTACAGTTAATCCGGACAGGAGGCTGACAAGTTGGATATTAACTATGATGCTACGTGTGCTTCTACTATCTTGGCATTGATCGTTTAGGGTCTGATCATACCTGCAGCTACAAGTTCATATTACTGCTGCACTGTCAAAGCAACAACCCGATTAGGATTGAAGCTGCAATCGCTTGTATGAGCATGGGCTCGATAACGAATGCGGACGAAGTAGCAGTTGTGGTTGAGCTTGCAGGTGCTTTTGTTGCAGGTGTAGCGGGAGACTTGGTGGTAGGCGATGGAGTATTATTTGCCTGGGGCGTTTTGGTCGTGGCTTTGGGCGTCTTGGTCGCAGCAGTCGAGGGTGTCGGTGCTGGCGCATTCGACGTGCTAGCAGGAACGGAAGGTTCTGGTGTCTTGGTCACAGTAGCTGGCGAAGGCGTCGGAGTTGTCCTGGTACTACCGGTAGTTGGTGATTCAGTAGTCGACGAGGGTGTTTCAGACGTTGGTTCGGGAGTGCCTTTGACGAAACATAGTCTCAAGCTGCCTTCGAAGCATGAATACATACCTTGATCAGCCAAAGATAATGTCTTGGTTGATGGTGTTTCGTCCAGGCAATCAATGTCATCGTACAACGCCAACGTAGCGGCACCATTCGCGTCTAAGCTGGCAATGACACCAGTTGTAGCGTCGATACTGGCGTGACATTCTTCATTGGCCAAATACATCATAACACTCTCCAAAACGCTGCAGTCAGAGTCGTCTTCGTAGGACTCCACAACCAAGTAAGAGGATCCGTCAAAAGCATCCGCAGCAAAGTCCAAATAATCACTAGCACAGTCGTGAGATAGAAAAATTGCCGAGCTTCCGGTTTGAACGCAGTGAGACGAACTTGTAGAAGTGCAGGTGGGCTCTCTCGTGAAAGCTATTTGAACCGGTGCCTTGGTACAATCGTTGCTATCATGGACCATGACAGCGGTCCATTGAGTCGTGAGGCCGCCCAAGTAGTACTTACTCGCACCCTCAACGCACGAATGTGACTCGAGATAAGTGTTTGCCACCGGAGTAATCTCTCCAGAGCTGGCACAGTCGGGTTGATCATAAGTAGTGATCGTTGCTGAGAGTTCATCATGTACCTCGACTGAAAAACTCGTGAGTCCATCCAAATTGTTGTGGCACAAGCCATCCGCTGCACGTCCAAGTCGAACGATGGTTGTACTGCTACAGACAAGCACGCTTCATCGCAGAGCGATTGCACTGATGATTATTTGGAGTTCTCCCAGGCTGCATTCGGTGAAAATCACCCGTACGTGGTTGGTTGTCGACAAGTACATCGGCGAAGGCGATTGCTCAGTGCTGGAAATCGTCACGGTGTACCAGCGGCTCGCACGTGAATTCGCTAGTTTTACTGAGATGTTGCTGCAGTCACCATTTTCATACGTAGCAATGGCCTTCCATTGTGGCGTCACTCCGCCGACATGAAACTTAATACTGCTATCAGTAGGACACTTCTTAGCAGCAAGACTGATACGGTCCATTACCAGAACATCCCGAGAATGGGAAAAGTTCGAACGTCACTGTGCCACCTGCTTGCAACTTGATGATGTAACTCGGCCCAGCAACCGCAACACAGGAGCCGTCGGCTGGGTAGATCATGTAATGCTCCAGCTCTGTGCAGGTAACTTGGTCGTAGTACCATTCTTCCACCAGGAACGGGACTTCCGAGCCAAACGTGCTTACCGTAAACGCAACATAGTCCTCTGCACAGCTCCACAAGTCTTGATCGGGGCCAGAGCACACTGCACTGGCGGGATTCTTTTCGGCTTCGCAGACAAAACAACGATTAACTTAAACATTTATGGGCTTCGAGCACTCGCTGTCCTTAAAGAACGTCATGATTGACCACTTGCTGGTCGCTCCACCCATGTAGGCGATTTGATCCGCGTTTTCTGCACAGGATGCCGCGGTAAGTTGTGCAGTGTTCCACTCGACTTGGCTGGCGCTGGAACCCGAGCACTCGACGTTGGTAAATGTTGTGAGTGTCATCCAAGTTTGAGGCTTTGAAGATCGATACTCCATCTTCAGCGGCGTGGCAAAGACCGTCAGCGATGTAGGCCTCCACTTGGTTGAGGACGCTGCATTCTCCCCTAGCATCGCTGAATGTCTCGACAACAAGATAAAGTGACGATGGGAATGCAGTTTGAAGTACGCCCTTGTAGTCCGATGTCGTCGTACAGGCTTGTGCGCTGTAGATGGATGACGCAGCGACTGCAGAGCACGTTGGAGTCGCTTGAGACACACAAGTTGGATCTGCAGTGAAAGTAAACTTCGAAGGGGTCGAGGAGCAAGCAGCGTCGTCGTAGAGGGCTACATAGGAGAGCGGAGACGCAACAATCGTCCCCGCGAACACGACCAGGATGGCCCAGAGAACGAAGTGGGGCTGCATCTTGTCGACCACGGAAGGAGGTCGATTCGATCGTGAACAGAGCGACCCTCGGTTTGTAGACGTTGTATAAGTTTACGTGTAAATTTACAACTTAGGAACTGTCTTCAACTCTGCAGCTGAACATTTTTGTTTTTCTTTACATGAACATATATATATATACATACAAGGATCCCCTGGGTACCGATCGGTCCTCCATCGATCTTACGTTAATCCTACAACTCCGCAAAGGATGCATTGAAGCAAGCGATCTCCTTGAGGTCGGCGTGAATCGCGGCAGCGCAGGCCATCGGCTTCTCCATAATGAGGTTGTGCGTCGTGTTCTTCATGGGCGGATGGTTCTTGTAGATCCGCGGCCAGCGCTCCTCGACGCTCGCGTAGTGCTTGAAGTCAAACAGCCACGTGTCGTCGCTACTGTGGAAGGAGACCGGGCAAGCAACTCGCGCCATTTCTTGGTCGGATGGCCACAAACGCTCTCTGCAGTAAGCCGCTGCCTCGATAGTCGGGTGACACGCCAACACGACAGTTTCCGACCCGTCCTTCTCGGGGACAATGGCTCCCTCAAGCCAGCACGCGAGGCTTTCGCGATCCAAAGTTGCAAGACCTTTCGACCTCGTGAAGTACTCGACGGCGGCTTCACGAGTCTCCCACCGGTGCTGTCGCTTCATGGCAAAGTTGAAGATGTACTTCTGGGTCTTGGCGTCACGAGTGCCAGGCTCCTCCACGACCGGCTCGAAGAGCACCAGGCCAGCAAAAGTGCCGGGGCGCTTCACTTCGACATTCCAGAGCGCCGTCGCCCCCGCCGAGTGTTCGACGCCGACAATGGGGCACTCTCCAAACTCACTCCGAAGTCGGAGGACTTCTCGGCGGAGGGTCTCAGTGTTCAGCGTCACGAACTTGCTCGCCGGGTGCTCCACCGTGCACGCAGCTTCATCGACAACCGCACACACGCTCTTGGATCCGTGATACGGCAGATCAATGGCCACAAACTCCGTATCGGGCAGGCGATGCAAGAGCGGCATCTCCTTGAGGTGGCGCTGGATCGGCCTTCAGATCTCCTTGCAGAAGTTGGTCCCATGCACGAAAAGCAGGATCGGGGTGATAGTTGACGGCGTCGCCATGCTCTTGGTAGCTGTGTGAAGGGAGGGGAATTCCAGACTGCTGCTCCAGCTTACCATCGACCCCATCAATGGACCGGGGTCTTCCATCCCAATGTCACCGAGAGATGGCGTGAGTCCCCCATGACGTCAATTCTTGCGAATCCCCATGTGGCCCACGGATGCCAATGCCGGGATAGTTTGGCTTGTGAGTGCCGATAGGACTCCCTGGGGGTTCAACAGTGTCGTAAACAGTCCGCTGGTATCATTTGTCGCCCCCCCCCCCCAAGCCGATGCCGAAGCTGCCTCCGGTTGTGCTGTTCGCCCATGGCGCGGGCTTCTGCAAGGAGATCTGGGCGCCGATCATCCGCCGCCTGCAGCAGTCCGCGCTGTTGTCTGACGTTAGCTTCGTGAGCGTGGATCTCCCGTTCCACGGCTCCAAGCGCGACAATAGCGTCGCCGCCCAAGTCGACGAGAACGGACCCCACGTGACGCACCCGGCCAACAATGTCATAGCGATGGCGTCCGAGGCGCTGCTGCAAGAGGCTCAGGCGCTGGCTGCTGCTGGTCGACCGGTCGTTGGCGTCGGCCACTCCATGGGCGCGGCGGCGCTCTGGAAGGCGGAGGTGGCCAACCCCGGCACGTTCAAGGCGCTCGTGCTGTTCGAGCCCATCTACGGGCCGCCAATGCGCAGAGGCGGCCCCGACCGCCCGTACAACTTCATGGCCGACGTGACGTTGAAGCGCGAGTGGAAATGGTTCGGCCACTGCCTTGAGTCTGCTGCTTGACGTTATACTGACCGACTGTTTGCTGTCTGCAGGCCCTCGAGAGACGCCGCCAGCAGCTTCTTCAAGAACTGGAAGAGCTTCTCGTCCTGGGACCGCGAGAGTCTCGCGAGCTGGTTGGCAGGAGCCGTCGTCCCGGACGAGCACGAGGACGAGGCTGTAGTGCTGGCGTGTCACCCGACTATCGAAGCTTCAATATACTGCGGCGGTCGGCTGTGGCTTTCATCTGAGGAACAGGCCAGAACCAAGTGTCCGACAACGTTCCACAGCGGCAGCACCACGAGACTCTTCCGCCAGGAAGTGTTCCAAGCCATCGCAGCTCGTCGTCCCGAGATCTTTAAAGTGCACGCTCCTATGGCCGGCAGGTCGCACTTGATGGTGCTGGAAGACCCCGAAGCCTGCGCCGACGCCATCGTATCGGACCTCAAGGCCTTGGGCGGCTTCAACACTGCCCCCGCCCGGCTCTAGTGTAGCCATCTTGCTCTCTCGCTGCTAATTGGTTCGTAAACAGCGATTGTGTGTCAACCTCAGTCATTCACTGTCGGTCTCAGTCGGGAACTCGCCGAGCCATGGCCAAACCGGGGGCGACGCTGCTGTTCGCGCATGCCACGGGCTTCTGCCAGCAGGTGTGGGACCCGGTTATCCGCCGCCTGAAGCTCTCGCCGCAGCTGCAGGGCGCGGTGGAGCGCTATGTGACGTACGACCAGCCGTACCATGGGGTCAACCGGGATGACTTGGTGCCCGGTCGACTGTATCACAAGAACAACAACCCCAAGTCGCCCCGGGTGAAGCACCCGATGAACGACTGGCCGGAGATCAGCGCCGCCGCCGCGTGGGAGCAGGTGCTAAAGCTGCAGTCGGAAGGGGATCAACAAGGCCCGCTGATTGGCATTGGCCACTCCATGGGAGCGGCGGCGCTCTGGGCCACGGAAGCCAAACACCCCGGCACCTTCGACGGCCTGATCCTCTTTGAACCCATTTACGGAGAGGTCGACGCTTCGTACGATGGGAATGCCGACTTCTTGGTGTCGCTGACGCTGGCGCGTGAGAGTAAATGGTACGTTTAATATTGAAGGAGCCGTGTTGGAGGAGATATCTGACCCAGGACTTGTGTTGTAGGCCTTCGATGGAGGCTGCTGTGTCTCACTTTGAGAACTGGAAGAACTTTTCGACGTGGGACCGCGAGACTTTAGCAGGTTGGATCAAGGGTGCGGTGGTGTACGACGAGAAGCAACAGGCTGCGGTGCTGGCGTGTAACCCGCTCATCGAAGCGTCAGTGTACGCTGGTTCTCGGTTGTGTTTGACTGAGAGCGAGCTCGCTGCACCTCGTTGCCCGGTCAGTTTCCACAGTGGAGACCGCACCAAGCTCTTTGACCGCAGCGTGTTCGACGACTTTGTTGCTAAGCACCCGGACGTGTACACCAGCCACCCTCCGCTGTCCAACACGTCGCACCTGATGGTCTTTGAAGACCCGGATGCAACTACCGACGCCATCCTGTCGGATCTTAGGCAACTCACTCTTGCAACAGAGCCTCTGGAGGCCCACTATAAGTTGGACCTCCAGAGGCTCTAGGTGACCTTTAGCGGTGTCCGCGCAGTACAGGCTGCTAATTTTTGTGAATAGACTTTAGCACACACGACTCAAGAGCTTTGGCCTTTGCCATGCCCCAGATGCTAGGCAACATGTATTATTATATAATAGTACCTGCCTTCAGACGAATACTACTTACGAAATACAGTTGTGATGGCTAATACGCTGACGGTCGAATATGACGAGGGTCAGCTTGCACGAATGGATGAATTCAAGCGAGCTTAGATACTACTTCGACGCATGTTTGTCTGCAAGCGCCTCCATCTCGAATAGCCATCGTGATGAGGAATGCACCCAGCTGATTTGTTGATCCATATAGCTGTCACGTGGCTGTTGAATGTCTTGAGCACTTGAGTGTAAATCCACAACTGAGTTTGAATTAGCTGCCGGAAGGTTTATCTACGCTCTTCGCTCTCCTGGATGTCTTCGTAGTTTACTTCAGCATCAACATCAAGCATGTGCCAAGGCTTCTCACCTGAAGCCTGGTAAACGTCAAACATGCAGCCGTGCTGCTGTTCTCGGAGAGTAGCACGAGCGTTCTAAGCAGCACGTCACTGCGGCTGCTCACAATAGCGGGCTCGCTTTTGACCGCTACTGATAGCAGTTTCTGTGAACCGCTTCTCGAGGATGCCTACTGCTGCAACAGCTTCTCAAGAAGAAGAAGAAGATGGTCTATTGTCCCTTTAGTTCTAAGTTGCTGCCTATAGAGAGCGTACCAGGCAAAAAGAACCTGGCTCTCTGAACTTGCGAACAGGAAATAGCCTTCTGGTTTCTTTCCTTCCTTCCGAGATCTCTTCTTCCTGTCCTTGCGCTTGTCGACGACTTCCTAACCACCGGCGGGGCACAACGAGGTGGGTATTGTGTGAAGTCAGCATTGCTAGAAACTGCGAAATAACGCATCAGTAAAAGTTACTCATTAAGTATCAGTGATAACTTATGTTGGAGTTGGTCTTCTCGACCAATTAGATCGCTTCAAATGTATTGTCTTTTTTAGATTTGACTTTGGTGTAGCCACTTTCGCTTAAGTACGATAGAGAATCCTCCCCGTCAGTTGAGAATCTGCCAAGTCAAGGAAAGATGCTCCTCACTTACTGGATCATCGGAGCTTGGGATGTATACACCACACCTTCTACGAGCCCTGGGGAGAGCCGGGCTCCTGGGCTCTTGGGTGAACCCAAAAAGTCGCGAGCTCGGGCTCCTGGGCTCTTGAGTTCAATAGGTTAAGTGAAAGGAGCCCTCCAGAACTGTGAGCTCTCGTTAAGGGCCCCCCCTCACCTGTGTTAAATATCTCGCTGATGATTGGCCGTCATTGAAGTATCTCCAGGTTCTAACCTGAAAAGGCATAGGAAAGAGGGCTTCTCCTTGAGGGGAAGGAAGGACTATCGGCGACGCTGGGGTGGCCACGGAGCGGCTGTACACATATGAGCGGCGCGAGATCTTCTAGTGTGGCGATCTTTGAGCTCGATCTTCTAGCGTGGCGCATCGATCACGCGAAGTTGCTCGCCTTAAGTCTAGGTAAAAGTGGCCAATCAGATATTACTATGAAGAGCCCTTCATAGATTTGAAGCTAAATTTGGGGAGCCCTGGAGGGGAGCCAATGGGGAGCCCGAACCAGGGCTCCTTGATCTCGTACTTACCATGAGGGAGCCTATTTTGTGCGACTTTTGGCTCTCGTTTTAGGGGGAGCCCACTTTTGATGTAGACGGGCTCGGGCTCGTAGAAGGTGTGGTATACACTATCCTCATCGACGAGCGGATGCATGTGGCTATCCTGAAGAAAGCGATCAAGGACAACGACCCGCTTGCAATCCAATGTAGCGCTGCGGACCTGCAGATCTTCCTGGCCAAGACAAGGGAAGGCGTGTGGCTGACGGCAGACGACGTGATGGGCGATGTGCGCGATATCAGTGGCATGAAAGAGCCGAACGTCGGGAACGCGACACTCCGCGCGTGCAGCTTATCGGAGGAGAGCACGCGGGTCGAAGTATCAGATGAGGACCTTGTAGCAGGGAAGGGCCCTGTGCACGTGGTGGTGAAGATCCCATCGGTGCAGCAGCCCCAGTCAAGTCTAGCGCAGCCGCAAGCTGCCCCAAAGCCGCAATGGAAACCTGTGTACGAGACTCTGGTGTCATTGCAGAATGAGACGCTGTATTTTGTCGACCGGAAGCAGGCTGTGAAACAGCTCTGTGAAGTTCACAAGTCGGTGTACATCGGCGCCAACTTCAACCGCCGAGCAGACGCGTGGCCCATAGCTCTTGCGGATAACGAGCTCGGGATCGGGAAAAGCGAATTTGCGAGGCAATACATTCGATGCTGTCGCGAGCAGTGGCCCGAGGGAGTGCTCGCTCTTCAAACCTTTAAAAGGTCATTGGGGGCTTGCAGAACGATCGTGGTGGACATCGACTACGCTGTTTTCGTCAATGCTTGGGATGGCGATGCTAAAACGTTGGAGAAAGCTTTGTATCGAGTCATTAACGCAGTGCTAGCAAGGGCTGTGATTGACGAGTTGGAGCTGCCCGACGGAGCCGAGCTGCCTAATTACCTTTGCGCGCCAGAGTCGGTCGACGCTCGGACGTTTGTTCATTGTTTGGTTAGAGATCTTGGACCTGTGTTCATCGTTTTGGACGAGATTGGTCGAGGGTTTGAAAATATTCGATCGGGGTGTGCTGATATGGCGGAGGAAGAGGCTTCGCGAAACTTGTTTTTGGACTTCTGCTCGTCCGTGTTGAGCACCTGGATGAGCACGCGTCACGTCTACTTCTTGTTGGTCGGCTATGCGCCATTCCTGCGGAATGTGGGGGAGCGGAAAGACGACAGGCCTCACAGCTCCAGTAAGCAAAGGTTCATTCGCCTGAACTTGCAGCTGATTCGTCCCAAGAAAATCGAGCAGATTATCCGGCACACGTGGGTCGACGATTCGAGCACTATGACTCTACAGCAACGATGGGGGCTGCAATCGAAGAAGGATGTAGCCAAAGCTGCTACGAAGATGTACGAGAAAACCTGTGGCCATCCACGCACAATGATCCAGATGTTCATCCTTCACGAGTCGTACAAGGCTTTTCGCGCTGCTAGCGTGAACCGTTTTGACTCAGAAGAAGGTCAAAAGGAGTGGGTAAAGATTTTCCGCGAGCTGCGCTATTGGCAAAAGACTCTGGACGGCCTGAAACCACAACTTCTTGAAAACAAAGTGATCGACTTGAGCGACGACTCTAAATGGCCGCACCTTCCGAAGTCCCCGCAGAAAAAGATTTCGTTTGCCATCATCATGGAACGCTGTCACTTACGGTGGGCAGGCACGGTAAAAAAAGCCCGGATCTACGCGCTTCCAAGAATTCTGACTGCGATCGTCAGCATCGTTCAGCCGCTGCGCCTGTGCATCAGAACCATTGACCCTCTCATCGACGATGTCACACTAGCGTACGCGACCGTGTTTGAGTGGGCGTGCCTCAAGCGGTTCCAAGAGCTTTTCTCGGAGCCAAGTGAACCGCACACCGTGCTGAAAAACTTTTTCGGTACGGACACGGAGTTTGACAAGTGGGGCGAGGTCCACTTTCCGAGTGATCATGTGGATTTACCGAAGATCACAAAAGCGACGACTTGGTTCGTAAGTTGCGCTCTTCAATGTTGCTTGCCATCTTGTCTCTGATCTTAGCAATGCGCTGCGAATCCGACAGGGAACTTGGGTACCGTTCTCGTAGCATATTGAGAGTCTGAGAAAAGTAGCCTAGCGCCGTAGATTTAGCCAACAATCCATCTCCCGAACGTGCTCTGTTGCTCTTTTTAGTTTGGAGAAAAATAGCGAACGCTGTTAGCAAGGAATAAAAATTCTGGGTAGGCAGGCTAGGTCCCTTGGTCACTTGAGCAGTGCATCGTATCTAGCGTTGTCGGAGTTAGCGCAGCCGACTCGAGAAACTCTGCAAAGTATTTCTCAGTTGCTTGTTCTTGACCCATTGTCCCCGCAGGCGTGTCTAGCCCTCGCGCAGCGCGCCGCATGATGGCGGTTGCTCTTCCAGATGCGTTAACTGTGAGAATGAGAGTGACGGCAGCTAGACACCGCAGTTGTAGCTATTCATAGCGTAGTGCCAGGCTGAACTACAGAGCACTTATTCGATAACCAAACTTTGTACTTGGTTTCAGTATGGTTTATTTCACTGTAAGAAATTCATACTACTCTGCTAGTAGCCGTTCTCGTCAATACTTAAAGTACTCATTAACAACTTGACTGTGTGGTACAGTTCAGCTCGACTGCGAATCTACAACTACCAGGCGTCGAGGTGATGCATTTCCCACAAATCCTACTGTATCAATGTGCTATCCCTTCCCTACATGCACTTCTGCACTTTCCGTCTACATGCACAGATCTGTATTCCAGCCCTATTCGAATGCAGCAGCCCCCTCCAAAACCCACCATCTTGAAAGCAAATCAGGGAACGTTTCGTGTTTGGAAGAGGTTTCTTACTGAATCAGTGTCGTCAAACGGGCACGATTGATGACTACGTGGCTCGGTTTCGGCGTCTTATCGCTAGGGTGCGTGACATGAGCCAGCTGGACCAAATCGATCGTTTCTGCGATGGTCTTAAGGCGGAGACTCGGAAGGAAGTCAGCTATCGTCGCTGTTCGACTCTGTCGCAAGCTATTGAGCAGGCCCAGGCTTACGAGCGTACCCATTTCGGCAGTGCTCAAGGTTCGCCATGCGCTAGAGCGGTGCGATCCGATCTACCTGCGGACGAAGAGGGCCCGACTCCCCGGTGGACTCACGCAACGTGTCAACAGACACCTGGGCCCCAGCAGCCCCGACACGCCACCACGGCACGCTCGACCGCACGCCCGGCGGCACGCACCCGACTCTTCGACACAGCGGGCGGCCCCGCTCACTATTCCTACCTCCTATACTGGGGGCAGCTCGCGTCTCCACCCGCGGTACTACAGCAACGCATTGCCTCACCACGACCTCAGGAATGGAAACCGATCAACTAGGAATAGTTTAGGGTAACTCACTTAGACGTCAAAGTGCCAGCTTCCAGCAGGCTCCGAAATAAGGGCCTAAATATACGCCACCAGGTCAAGTACCTGGGGCCTTCTCTCTCTACAGCAACGCATTGACCCAACCTTTTCGGCTGTTGGTCTGCTGCTCGGCGGCACCGTCGTTCTCGGCAACCCACCATCGGACAACAACACGCCCACGCTGCTGAGTTGCTCCACGGTTACGCCTGCAAGGACCCAGCTTCCTACCACGCTCGGCAACAACCAACACCGGCTGCTCGTCCACACCCGGGGCCAAGTAGCGCAAGATCATCAGTTCGAGCATGGGGGGCGTCAACTGCTAGCTGTACCGCAACGGGCACGTTATCCATGCACTACATGCTCTCTCTAGTTCTCACTGCTATCTCGTGCTACTAACGTTATGCGTGTGCTCGGACAGTTGGGCCAGCAGCTCGTTCCCGATCACCTCAGCGAATTATTCGGGGGTAGCCCCAACTCGCACTCCCTCCGTGAGCTTGATGGGGCTCGCCTTCAATAATCCAGAACGACTGCTGACCTCCCAACGTGCTTTAGTATGCTCAAAGGAAAGTCGATTTTTAAGCCTTTTGCGGCAAACCGGTCCAAAATGGCACGTTTGGATGCCTGCCCGTTTTGAGTTTGTCACCACCCTGAAGGCTGCGACGAGTTTCGTAAATTACTAATCTAGACATTGGCGGAAATGCCGTACTCACTTGTCAAGCGAAGTAGACTACGATGCATCCTCGGGCGGATCCTACAGCCATGCGAGCAACAAACGCCGTATAGAAGAGGGACTAAGGTAGATGCAGTTGTCGATGCAGAATATCTTACATTCTTTGAGCAAGTAACAAGGAGAACACGGCGCCCAGCGTAACGCTGTAGTGTGGAACTTGCCCAATGAGTAAACTTACACAGGTGCTTACTCTATACTCACTCGTCAATCTGCGTCGTGGAGCTCAAGTCGCCTGGAGGACCAATCAGCGACGACGGCTCCCTGGGGGAGCCAGTCGTTCCTTGCGACCGGAGCTCTAATGGACGGCGTGCACCTGGCCAGCGTGCTTGCATGCCTGGTCGGGCAGCTTGAGGGTGACGCCTCGGACCAAGCTGGTGTCTGCATCGCTGCGAGCGGTGATTTATTGCGGCGACTTCGTCGTCAGCCGGAAGGTGGGGCTGTGGGGGCCCACGGCAGTCTACATGTAGATTGCCGCGCCGTTTCTCGTTAGATATCAGGCCGCCGTGGGCCCGCCTGGAAGTCATTGTCTACATGTATTTGCAGGCTTAACACTGATATGGCAGGTCACCGGATCGGTGGGTGTGGGGCGCGAGGACGAGATGCCACCTCGCGTGTTATCCCACCCACGTCACTATATCTCGCAGGCCGACGACCTGAGGCGCCGAGCAATTAGTCACCGAGCGCGCGGACGGACGCCACCGCGCACCAGCTCCTCAAGTCAAGATAGCTCGCGGAATGACGACCCCTGGCGCCGAGCAACGCGTCAACGGGGTGCGAGAGTGGACGGATCTCGCTTCCAGCCCCCACCACCTCAAACGAGTCAGCGTGGGCTGTGCCACGCTGGTGATCAAGTGCGCGCTTCACAGTGACCTCTGCCGGCCAGACGTCAGCCCGTAGAGCCCCCACAAGACACCTACTTCCCACTGTAGAATAGCACACAGACAGCGGAGCACGGATGACGGAAAGCGGGGAGTTACGGACGGAGCAAAGAGGACGGAGCGAAGAGAACGGAGCGAAGAGAACGAACGGTGCTGAGGAGGCTTGTTGTTTAGCAGGTAAATTGCAGAGTGAGCTTAATACACGGGACATCTACTTCCACTGGCACCCTCGTAGCAGAGACCTCGTGGGGGAGGGGGGTAGCACGGTCAGGATGGGCTGCAATTCGTCGATACTGAGCTCTCTGCCAATGTCTCGTGATGCACAGCGGCGTGGCGAAGCTTGACTTGCTGGCAGCAAGCTTACGGGGCACTCGTCGACTCGTGACGGACGGTGAGTCTCCGAAGGAGGCCATCGATTTGCCTTGCAGGCGATGACAGTCGTTGACACGGCAGCTACATTACATTCTCCACCCCAGAAGCTTGACCCGATGAGGTCGAACGAAGGTTGTAGCGTGAGCTGCGTGTTGGGGCTTGGCGTTGGCGGTCCCTACGAGCGACTGGGTTTGTCTGTGCTGTTGGCCTCCGCTGCAGGTCCGCAAGTAGGCCATTCCAGTGCGCCAGTATATTGCTTTCCGGTTCCCAGGACTGTTGCGAAGCTGGCTCGTCAAGCCAATCGACCAGAAACTCTCGACGGCCATGGTGCTTACGTTGCTTCACCAGTTTGTTCACAATGTGGACTCGCTGACCAGCCTCGTCGAAGAGGAAATCTGCGGCTTGATAAATCTTGCGACCGATCAAATGAGTAGGCGTTCCTGGTGATTTCTTGAACCGCTCGACGTTGAATACGAAATGAAGCTGAGACATTGACGCCGGTAGCTGCAGCTCGAACGTAGTGGCCGAAAGCCTACGGCAAATCCGAAATGGTCCGATGTACCGGGGCAGCAGCTTGTTCTCCACGTCTCCTTCTACTACGTGGTGCTTTGTCAAGTGCGATGCATCGAGAAATACCCACTCGTCAACCTTGTACTCCACTTCCTTCCTGCCTTGATCATAATATTTCTTTTGCCGCTCCTGGGACGCAAGTTCTCTCGCATATGTTAAATGATGCGATGCCACTCCGACCAAAAGATACTCCCCGCAGACGTCGGTGCTGCCGACGGGACAGGTGGCTGGCGAGGAAGCTGCCCGTGTCGAGCTGGAAATGCGAGTATCCGGAACTGGCCGACACCAAGGTTGCGTGGGCAAACTCCACCAATGGCAACTTAAAGAACCAGTCTGCGCCATAGTGACTGGTGACACACCGTAGACTGTCTTCTAGCGTCCGAATCTGCCGCTCACTTTGCCCGTCCGCCTGCGCGCGGTAAGCGACGGTCATGGAGACCTTGATACCGGTCAACTCCATCAACGCCGTCCAGAACTCCGATGTAAACTTGGGGTCCCTGCCCGACATGATCACACGCGGGAATCCATACTGGCGGAAGCAGTGACGAAACATAAGTTCTGCCACCGTAGCTGCGTCGGCTGTCTTAGTCGTGGGTATGTAGCACGGACGCTTGGTAAGCTTGCACACCACGATTTGGATGGCATCACACCCGTTGGAGGCTGGTAGTTGCGTTAAGAAATCCGTCGTGATGACTTCCCATGCGGCATGGGCCATGCCACTCGAGGAGCTGATATCGGGCGAAGTAAGCCTTGGCGACGTCTCCCGGTCTTATTGCAAAGACACATCTCACACGTCGTCACATATTCACATACTGATGAACCCAGAAGTACCATTGTCGGATAGCGATACAAGTGCGAAGTACACCTGGGTGTGCAGCAACCGCAGCATCATGGAAATCGTGATACACCTTCAGTAGTACGGCCTTCACTCTCGGCAGGCAGACTGGCTTCACTCTATCGCGCGTCTTAAACTGCATCAACCCGGCCGTGTTCAGTTCAAATCTCGCCACGGTCTGACCTTGGGACAAACGTTTCTAGTCGGCTTTGAGAGTCGGATCGCTTGAGTATGCAGCAGGGCGAAAAGAATTGACGACGTGTTAGATCTTGGTGTCGGGCTGACGTTGGTGTTTCTAGAGTGCTGTCTGGTAGCTGCCGCAAAGGTGTAATCCCCACACATCACCGCAAGATCTCGGGTTACCATCGACGTGTCGTGGCGTTCTGCTGTCCGGGACAAAGCGTCAGCGACGACGTTTGCTGCACCTGCGCGGTGTAGGACTTCGAACCGGAACTCCGAAAGGTACCCCAACCACCGCAACAACTTGGTCGACAACTTTTTGCGCGATGGGGCCAAAATGTACCGGCACGCAATGTTGTCCATGAACAGACGAAACGGAGCATTGATTAAGTACACCCTCCAGACCTCAAAACACAGCTTGATAGCGAGCATCTCCTGTTCCACTGCCGACCAACGCCGCTCGGTGGGGATCAACTTCTTGGAAAAGAAGGCCACTGGCAAGTCATGTCCATTCTTCATCTGGGAGAGCACGCCACCAACGCCAACACCAGAAGCATCCGTGGTGACAATGAACGGGAGAGCAAAGTTGGGTAGCTGCAGGACGGGCGCTTGAGTCAGTGCAGCTTTGACGACGTAGAACGAGTGCTCTTGCGACTGCTCCCATCGCCATGTCACCTGGTCCTTCAAGAGATCACTGAGGGGCGCGAGCAGTGTGGCAAAATCCGCAATGAACCTTCGGTAATAGCCCACAAGACCCAAAAATCGCTGTAATTCTCTTCGATTGGTAGGGACCGGCCACGCCGTTACAGCTTCCACCTTACGCGGGTCCACGTGAAGTCCGTGCGAACTGATCACATGGCCTAAGAAGGCTACTTCGGTCTGCAGGAAAACACACTTCTCCAGTCGGGCGTAGAGTCGGTTTGAGCGGAGCTCTGTCAGGACAGCTTCCAGGTGTTGCAAGTGGAGCTCGGCGGTTGCACTGAAGATGCCGATATCATTTAAATACACCACCACAAATGATCCGAATTTAGCGCCACCAAAACTCGATGCCATCAGCCGGGTCCAAGTGCCCGGCATCCCCGCTAGTCCCATAGGAGCAACCAACCATTCATACTCGTCCTGCAAAGTCTGGAAAGCTGTCAAATGGCGAGAGGACGGGCCCATGCGCAGCTGGTGATAATCAAACGCTAAATCAATTGTTGTGAGGACGCGTGCACCCTCCATTTTGTCGAATAAATCGTCAATCCGCGGAAGAGGGATCTTTGGCACTTCTGTCTGCGTGTTGTCATGTCGATAGTCGATCACCCAGCGCACCGGCGCTTCTGGATCTCCACTGCGAATCCACTTAGCCCGCGTCGGAGCCTTCCTTGGCGTGGGGTCTTTCTTCGGTACAGCGAAAATGTTTGAGACCCACGGAGAGTTACTCACTCGCACCCAGTTCCGCTCCAGCATGGAGTTCACAAACGCTTGGAGTGCTTGTTGCTCAACGGGCGACAGTCGATACGGGGCCCACGCGCGCCCGGCTTGAGCGTGATCTCATGCTCGATATCGCGATTCGGGGGCAGCTCGTTCGGAAGCCGTTCGGGAAAGACGTCCGCAAAACGCGCTAGCAATGGCTGTACGCGTTCATCCACTGGGCGCTGGCAGTTTGACGTAATGCGAAGCATAAAAAATCTCCACATAGTGACCGGCGACTAGTCGCTGTCGAAACTCCTCTGTGATAATTGGCTGTAATTCGTCCCGAACCGCAGTAATCGACCGTTGCTGCCAATCAATCACCTGGTTGGACTTGCGTAGCCATTCCTGGCCCAAAATCCCGTCATAGTCGTGGCTGATTGGCCACTCCATGTAACGAACAGACGGAAATCAAACTCGACCGTTGCCGAAACATCAGCTGTTGCCGTGGGCGGGGACAGCTGACCGTCAAATCCTTTCACTTGAACGGTTCTCGGAGTCTTATTGCCTGCCACCACACCGGGCTTGAGGATGTTGTGCGTTGCGCCCGAGTCGATTAGTAGGCGAACCGCGTGCCCATCCACGGTGGTGTTTTGAATGATCAAGCTAGCCGATGACTGGCCGGAAGTCGCAGCATGGACTCCCACCGTACTAATGTCGACCGGATAACACGCCGGATGCTCGACTTCAGTCACGTCACGGCTGGCTACAACAACAGGTTCTTCGGAATGCAGCAGATCGTTTTCCACCCGGACTACGGCTGCATACACCTCATTGCGAGCAGACTTCGCCTCACCACGACGTCGCTGGCGGACCGGACAGCGGTTGATGCTGTGCCCTTTCCGCTTGCAGTAGAAACAGAGCCCCAGACGGCGGCCTGCGCCCGACGGTGCAAACTCTTGACTGTCCCAGTCAAACTACACTACTGCCACGTTCGGCTGGGGACAAAACATGTACCGGTTGCCCGGTCCAAGAAAACCGCCCGCTTGAATGGCATACTAAACCTACTGGTGACCGCGCGCGGCTTGGTGTGCGTGTGCATCTTGGTGTCCACGTGCGCCTTGGTGTCCGCGTGCGGCTCGCCGTCCACGGTCACCTCGTCCTTCTTCAACGTGGCTTTATCCTTCCATCGGAAAACATAACAGTAGCGCGTCTCGAGTCCTCTTTCGAGGTCTCTTCGCGCATGAGATCTTTCACCCTACTGCGAACTAGGGCTACGCTTAGGCTGGGATAGCATTTCACGCGAGCAGCAAGGGTCTTACCACAGTAGTAGTATGGCTATCAAGGCGCGTGAGCGCAATCCCAAAGGTTAACTATCCGCCGCCTCTTTTGTCTAGCAAGTGAGAAGGAGAGCTATCAGCTTCATAGACGATAAACCTGGACCATTATAAGCTCTACTAGTATGTATTATCCTGGGGGGCAGCTAGAAGAGCTGTATGGACAGCCTCACACAGATTAATTCGTCGAAAAAAGTTGCTTGTACCTCAGGCAACATTTAAACAACATCTCGCCACACCATACTCACACAATCGTACGCCATACCTACACAAATATAGCCATATTGACATCCCGACCGCTACCATACAAAGTCAATTGACAATGAAATGAGGACAGCGTTAGCGACAAGAGAATGCAGGATGACCAATCAGCCTACAACTACACTGTATTCCATAGTTCCTAGTTACTGGCGGATAACTGAGGATGTCTTACGTCCACGCAGCTGAGCTCTTGGCCTACAAATTAAACCTGTCCGCCTGGATCTCGGGCAGCCTCGCTGGCATTACACCTTTTCAGCTTCAAAATGGCAAATTGCTAGTTCAAAATGACAAAACGTAAGTTCAAACTGTCACGAATAGAGACAGGACCGTCTTACAATCTTATACGAGCACAATTGGCTGATACAGCTCACTGTCAGCCAATAGATATTCGACACTCTGTATTTCTATATATCCCACTATTACAAACAGGTCTAGGTATCGGTTTACAAAGTATTGTCGTTTTGATTTTACATTTTGACGGATTGAATTTTCTTTTTGCCATTTTGAAGTTGAAAAGGTGTACTTCATAGGCTCCATATAAAAAATGGCGCTGCAAACGCTTACGTTCTTAGCTCTTGGCCTACAAACCAATCTGTCCGGTAGGCAGCTTCGCCGGCAGTAGATAGTTGGCTCCATATAAAAAAAGGAAAATTCCGGAATATGACTCAAAATGAAATTTTGTGCAAAAGGTGATACAAGGCTTTGTGCCAAGCGCATTTGGCCACCGATAGCGGCCAGCACCTGAATGCCATGCACATCGCTGAATGCACCAATTGTGTCAACGCGAAGGCGGTGCCGGTGTAGGCATCGCCCTCTGCTGATAGTTGTTGTGGTGGAGTACGGTCGCCTTCTGTATCGCTTAAGCGACACTGCCCACACTGCATAAAGCATCACCGACGGCTTGGATGCCTTACTTCCCATGTCGCCGCTGGAGGCAACAATGTCGTGGCCCAATGCCCTAGCAAATGCTGCTGAACCTGAAATATGTGCTCTCGACACAAATCCTTCTATCACCTTTTGCACAAATTTTATTATTGAGTCACCTTCCTGAAATTTCCCTAAGAAAAATGATGGTAGGCGCTGCAAATGCGGGGCTATGCCCCTCATTTGCTACTTGCATGTGAACATAGTACGTAACCACTGTTTGGTACTGCTATTGCATGTATTGATGGTTGTTGTTTTGGATTTGGCTTAGCTTTGTACTGGCGCCAAAACACGGCGCCAAAACACTCGACCACTCAGTAGGCGAAGTATTAGCACAAGACTTGGCTACTTCGTAGCCAAAGAAGACATCTATTAGTTTCTTCAAAGTGTTCCAGTATGAAAGATATAGTTGTACTCGAGTTGGTAAAATCGAGCTAACGTTAGATACGACCGAGCAGACTTTTTGGAATTTAAAGCAGTCCTCCCAGCCTAACGCAACGCACCCTTGTAAAACCATGGTTTCTTTCGTATTCTATATTAATTGTTTTTGCACTCGGCAATTATCTGTGAGCCACGATTTCTAGTCGCCAAGATGCGCGCCGTATACACCCTCCTAGCTGCAATATTATCTAACCTAGCAGCCGTGGTGACAAAAACATTAGGATCCGCGGTTTTCGAGTGAGTCAGCAATGTTGTCGCACCAAATAATCTGAAATTTAGGGGCTCATAACAGCCTGCAGTACCTACCGGACTGAGCTCAACCTTTAGATCTTTCTTGTAATCAATGAAAGCCCAAAGGCTTCTCATGATAACGTAGAGCCTCCACTACAGACAGGGATGTTAAGAGTTCTTTTATTGAGTTTTCTTTAATGTTCTTTTATATTAAAAGAAGAAGTTGCACCACAGCCATTTTTTCCTTTTATTCTGGGGTTACAAATATTACTCGTTTTAAGTTTGTCAAGCTGTAACTCGGTAAAACTAGCTTCACCACCGCGTCATAAGACTGCCTCGAAAAGCTAACGCAAAGTCCTTACGTTTAACAGGTCATTCGAGGACCTTCACCACCACCATCTGGTAGATTTATACTGTTCATGGCACATAATAAAAGAAAATAAAGAAGATTTCTTCTTTTAATGGCCAAGAAAAAAGAAAATTTTCACTTCAAAAAAATCGTTCTTTTAATATCCCTGACTACAGACCGACGTCCCCGCCCTCCAATACATTCATCAATGACCATGATCATGATTATGTTTTGTAGTTAAGTGGAGAGAAGCAAAATCAGAGTCTCAGTTTAACCCTTCCAGGTCATAGAATCGATAAATAATAGCAACCCTAGTTGGTCTGCATGATGGAGTCTTCATTCTCAGCAACGACTCTATCGCTAGCTTAATCCGGGGGGGGGGGGGTTGCACCGTATCCAGCAAACATTCCAGAATTTGACGGGTCGCGAGCAAGTGTCTGCCAAGGGTCGCCTCCAAGGATCTCCGGGCCCTTGGCCTTCCTGGGGGGAATCCTCCCTAGGGAGCCCAGGAAGGAGCATGGCGGCTGCAGCGACGGCTTGCGCGTGACCATGGCCGACGACGGGAGTCGGCACAGGAGCAGCTCGCGCACGACGACGGCGATGGCGCTCTAAGAGGGCGGCGACTCTATGGGTCGTTGTCACGGTGGTGGGAGGCCCAGTCTTCGACCACTCTTTCAAGCTCGCGGCAGGCGACCGCGGTTCAAGCACTCAAGCCACGCCTTCACGGAGGCATTTGGGCGGTGTCCTTCGGGATGCTGCCGTCATCCGATGTTGTTAAAGCCTAGGCTCACGCATCCTTCAGCACGCGCCGGACGAACGCGATCAACGCTCAAGTCAAGTCTCCATGGGACAGCGGCCGACGGCCGCACAACAGGAGGTGCAGGGCCCCTGTCCTATATCTGCCGACCTCGTGGGTGGCGAGTACGATCCACCTGACCTCGCACCAGACTCTGCTCCAGAGAGCCCCCTCCCTAGTGACGCTTTGCACTGGTGAGTCCCCCGGTCTTTAGTAGTCGTTAGCGATCGTATTAGGTAAGTGACAATAATGATCCTCAATTCAAAAACAAAAACAAAAAACGTATCCAGCAATACAACAAATAGCTCCTAGTTGTGGCAACGGGTTCGTTTCCTGGAATGTTGGTCGCTGGGACCAAAAATTATTTACCTACATTCCTCGCAGCCGCTCACTACCGATATAATAGATACGAAGACCGAGCCGAGCTACGTCACTACCAGGAGCTCTCCTGTAGATCGACGAGCTTCACAGAGTGCATACAACAGAGTACCTGGGTCGTTTGGTTGGTTTCCGATTCGCCTAAGACGTCGAAGAAGTTGCAAGGCTAAAACGGAAACCCCTCGGTTTCCCGATCACGGAGGAAGAAGTATCCATAGTCTGTTCGTGCTTAGATTTCCTTCCTAGCTAAACCCACCACGCCACGCCCTGAGGCGGTCAAACACAACTACATTTTCCTCACGAAGTGATTGTTGGAAATCCTCCCTGGGGAACGTCGCAGTTCGTACAAGCCGCCTCTACAGCGGCAACCTATGTTTTATGTGTTATACACAACGATGTGGCGCACCTTAGAAAAGCTTTAGATTTTAGAAACCTACCGGAAAAGTTCAATTGAAGTTGAAGATAACGGTTGAAGTTCATACAAAACTCATACTGAACTCAAGTGACTCAAGCGACCCCGCAGTGCTGCAAGGCCCCCGTAAATAGGGCTCGGACTCCATTGGCGCAAAGGCGCATGGTGTCAACTTGAACAGACGCACAGTGGATACTTCGCGACCCTTCGCGAAAAATCGCAGTACCGTTAATTTGCGTGTATTTTCATTTCTAATAGCTTCTTCACACAATATTGTTCCAGCCCTAAACTTACTCGAGAGAAATACCGTGGATTGCTGAAAAGGCTACACATTAGGAATTAACTGAGATCTGGGAGAATTTGGCCACATTCACAAACCCGACGCTGTCCCTTGTGAGTTTTACGGACCTGTTCCGCCGAGCTCCTTCTTACAAAACCCAAATGAGCTGTACACCAACTACACATAATACGGTGTTGCCACTACCCGTTTTGTTGATAAACGTTTTGATGACAAAAAAACTCTAAATATACGTTTCTACAGCCCGGAAAAGCGCTTGTGCTTTCACATGTCCTGAAAGAATTTCCCCGCTACACTCGGAAATCACAAAATGCCGCGGATGAAACTCCAGTCCATTTCGAGCTCAACCGCCGCTACGATCGCATCGTAGTGCACTTCCAAATTCGTCGCTGATCCCTAACATGGCGGCGTTGCCTCCGCTCGCAGGCCGAAGCTATGAACTGCGTGATCCTACGCTGGAAGAGCTGTATACAGGCCCCGCGCGTGCGCTTCCCGATGAGATCCAACAGCTTCCAGCCGAGGACACGGCGTGCACATTCTGTGGCGTCAGCTATTTCGTGTTTGCCGAGGTGCAGACACTGCAGTCCACAGTGAAGCAGTACAAGAAAGTCTTTCGAGTGCGCGTGCTGCATTGTTTTGAGACTGAGTGAGTATCTGCACTGACGTTGCTGTTGTGTACACGTCTGTTACCAGGACTTCGTGCGGTTCATGGAGCGCGAACGCTCCGTGGCGAGAGATCTACGTCAACAGATTACCGAATTGAAGGACAGTTTTGAGGAGGTGGTAGCGACGTGCAGTGCTAGCACCAAGCAGCTCGGAGATGAGAGTGAAATCCAGCGCGCTGCAAAGCGAGAAGCATTGGACCAGCTTCAGAGAGTGCAAAGAGAACTAATGGCGTCGGAAGAAGCGTTGAGAGAGCTACAGATGTTGTCAAAACAACACGAAGAAGAGCAAAAGATGGCACATGCTCTTGTCGAGCAGAAGCTGCGCAACGAGATTTTGCACCTGTCGAGCCAAGTTGAGAGCTGCAAACTACTGTCCGAGACGCAGTTAGCAGAGTTCAAGCAGACCCAAGAGCGTGATCAGCTCCGCATTCGGGAGCTCGAGGCGAAGCTGGTGGAAAGCCAAAGCCACTGGACTGCCGCTGAGAGGCAGATGATCACCGAGCGCGACGTGTTAAAGCAAAAGCTCTTGGCGGCGAATGAACGAGTGGAGCTAGAGTCAACCTCTGCGCAGCAGCTAGAGACTCAGCTGACTGCCATTCGCGAAGAACTCGCTCGTGTCGTGTCTGCGAGTGACACAGAACGAAAAGCAAACTCGCAAATGAGCAGCGAAGTTATTCAGCTGAAATACCAGCTACAGACTCTGGAGAAGACTCGAGCCCAGCTCTACTCGGAGAACGGACGGTTCAAGGACGAGAAGTACAAACTGGAAGACGAAATCAAGGCTCTGCGTGTTCGCGCGGACCAATTGCAGGGCCAGCTAAGCGTCAGTACGTCGTCCACGGTGAAGGTGAAGGCTGACTATGCTCGGGATCTGGAGAAGCTTCGTAGTGAGCATGGAGTGGAAATTAACCGACTGCAACGGGATCACGGACGAGCGATTGAAGAGCTCAAGGCGAGTCAAAACACCTACCTCGAGTACCTCAAGAAAGAAACTGCGGAGCTTCAGACGCAAGGAGAAGAAACATCTCGCCAGGCGATTCTGACGCTAGAAGAGAGAGTAAGATGGATGTACTGATGAGAATTTCACGAGTTTGTTGACACATTTTGAATCTGTTATTGTGTGAATAGCTCAGCGACGCAGAGCGCAGAGCGAGCGAGTGGAAAGACCGAGCATTACAAAACGCCAGCGAGCGAGAGGTATATAGTTCTTGAAGCATTGTTTTGCATGCCGTACATAGTATATTGACCTAGTGATGGCTTCTACAGGAGGCTAAGCGCAACACCTCTCACTTCGAAAGTATGGTTCAGATGCTGCACGACAAACTCAAGTCGAGTGAGCGCGACAAGGTGAATAACAATATATATTTTCAAGCTATTTAACATACTGACCGAGTTTGTACAGCAAAAAATCTCGGATGAAGCCAAGACCACCAGCGCTTCGCTTGAGAAGAAACTGATGGCTGCTCAACGCGAACTTGATAGCGTTCGGCAAGGTACTGACCAGCAAAAAGCCCTCAGGGACAAGAATGCAGCACTTCAACAGCATACCCTTGATCTTCAGAGTCAACTCGGAGAACTACGAGAACAACTCGCTAGAGCGCAACCTCAAGCTGCGTGGCAAAACGATCCAGCAAACGGCAGCAAAGGGAGACGCGAGGAGTCCAGCAACCAGGATAGCCACGACAACGACAAGATCATCGAGCAGCTTCGGCATACACTCAAGCAGAAAGATCGCGTAAGTGAAGCGTTGTCTGCCAGCTGAGCGCGAGTCACAACGCTTGAACTCATTTACGTGTGCTTGTTTGTGCCGTCACCAGGAGATAGCGCTGCTTCAGCAGACAGTTCATCGCGAATGCATGGAGCGAACCTCGTTGCTGGAGAGGATGAGGAGCGGCAAGGTGCTTCCAGGGACGGTGGTCCCCGCAGTTTTCAATAACTCTGAGCGAGCAAGTGCGATGCAATCGGCGACTTCAAGTAGTAGTGAGGATACTAGTGGGAGTACCGATCGCGCTGAGCATGCTGCAACTGAAGAGCAGCAGCCCAAGGCATCGTTCTACGAAAAGCTCAGGCGTGCAGGTTCCAGGAAACCGAAGGCCAGAAAGTAACGCGCGCTACCTCTAGCAAGGGGATAGACCTCAAGCTTAGAAGTAGCAATCGTCATCCGTCTCCTCTTCGTCACTCTCTTGATCATCACCACTGTAGCTGCTGTCGTCTTTTATCCAGTACTTCATACTTCCCTGCATGATCCGCGCGATTCGTTCCGTCTCCGAGTCGTGGGCAAATAGAGAATGGGCAGACAAATGGTCATCCTTTTCAGATGCTTGACGACTGCACTGTGCCTTCTTTCCCCATGTGATATCCGACGATGAAAGCCAGCCTCGATTACCACTGACGCGGTAGTGATCACCTCCACCGGAGACATCAAGTGAAAAGAGTAACGGAGTACTGCTCATGTCGCGCCTGATAGTCTTGCTCTCGGCATTTCGTTCCGATCGCAGTAGTGGTGAAATCACTCTGGAAGTGTCTACGAAGTCTTGCTGCCGCAGTCCAATCGAAGATGGTATATCTTGCGCGATACTTTTATCGAGAATCAAACGCTCTGCCTTCGGAGAAATGGGGCCTCTAGAGGCCGTCGGAGTGGAACAGGTACAAGTTTTGTCACCAGTGTCCTTGATTTCAGATGAAGCAAAGCTTGCTTTAGGCGATAAGGTCCCGATGTCACCCTCTAGATCCTCGTGGCATCTAACATCCTCGGTAGATGCAGGTGGCTTCTCCAACGACTTGGCAACATACAAGTCACGCATCTCACGCAGCATTTCGTACATCAGCTCCAGTTTCTCATTTTGCAGAGCAGGAAGAGGAGTAGCTTCGTAAGCGTTTTCGCAGTCTACGGTTAGCTGCTCTGGGCTGACCAACGTGGATTTAGGGGAAGGTACGCGATCTTCTCTCCTGCCGTCGATGCCATCAACGCTATCTCCAATATCATCAGTGATGACGCTGCTCAAGTCATCACCCATTTCCATACCATCGCTGTCCTTATCAACCTCCAGACCTCCATTGTCTGCGGGTGCCTCCTCCTCGAACGGAGCTTCGCTACCAACAGCAATCGAAACGCGTGCCATCGCATCACAACCAATGTCAACAGTTGACCGTTCACCACCGGCGCTTACTTGAGACTCGTCATTCCTACGTGTATCTCCACAAACGTAGTTACCACTCACACTCGGCGAGGATTCGTTGTCTGTCTGAGCCAATTCACAGAGATCAGTCTGAACACACTTATCAGCATAGTCGACTGTACGCGCAGGGCTAGAAGGGATACACCCAGGAAGACGTTCTGTATCCATATCGGCACATCCGGCTGGCTTCTCCAATGACTTGGCAAATTGTGAGTCACGCATCTCGCGCAGCATTTCGTACACCAACTCCAGTTTCTCCTTTTGCGGAGACTCGTGAACGCTTTCGTTTTCTACGACGCGGGGAATTAGCAGCTCTGGGTGACCCACCGAGGATGTAGTCGAAGGTACGCTCCTGTCGTAGACACTATCAGAGCTATCCGCATCATCGTCAGCAAAGTCGCTTTTCGAGTCATCATGCAAGTCCATATCATCCTCGCCAACCTCCGCACAACTGCTTTGTGACGATACCTCCACCTCGTACTGAGTTTTGCTCTCATCAGCAATCGAAACGCTTGCCATTTGCATCTCATCGCAAGCAACATCAACAGTTAACCCCTCACCACCGGCGCTTATTTGAGCTTCGTCACTCCTAGGCGTATTTTCACAGACGTCGTCACCGCTCACGCTTTGCGGGGATTCGTTGACTGCTGGAGCCCAGATATTCAGTTCAGAGATTCCAACCAGAGCAGACGTATCAGCGTGTCCAACTGGTTGGGCAGGGATAGAATCAATACACTCTGGAAGGCGTTCCGTGTCCATAAAGTTCCCGACATTATCTTCCAGCGATGAGCTCTCTGCACAGTCATTTGATGCGGCATCATCAGCACTTAAACCACTCCCCATATCGCCTGTCGAATCAGCCGCCACAATGTCACTCACAGGAGTCGCCTCTTCACTCACAGCAGCCCAATTTTGAGCATCGTTGCTAGAGGAGCCGTAATCAATTTCAGGACAAGGAGATTGGGCACTCATAGGTGCAGTTTCTTCTCCCGCCTGAACTTGCTCCTCCTTAGCGAACGCCACTGCCTGTGGATCAGAGATAGATTCATCGCCGCTTACTGCATCGACAGAAACTCCACTGCGGTCCAAGCCGCCACTCGTTTGCGGGGAGATTGCTGTTGGTGATGCTACCGGGTACTTCTCGGATGATTCTTCATCTACCCTAAGCGGCGACAGCTCCATTTCTTCAATTCCAAACGAAGTTAGCGTAATCGGCTTGAAAAAGTCGTCCGTCAGCTCTAATGAACTGCCGTCTGAATCGCCATTGTAAGGGCGAGCGTCGTTGGCGCTTGCTGTGTCGTCTTTCTGGTGAGATTCACAGTCTGATTTCGAGTTGGCGATCGGTACATTCAGCACATTCAGCGCATCCACCGGGTCTTCTCCATCACGGCTGACCTTACCAGACTTTATTAGGTCAAGACCAACTTCTGCGCTCTGGTTCGCTATACCCGCTGAAGTGTCAGCCGTACGCGATGACGTATTGGTTTCGAAATCCGCTATGAAATTCTTAGCCTCAGTGCTTGTAGAATCACCCACGTACTCGACGCTGCCAAAGCAATCTGAGAGCACGATATCATCACGATCGATCGTTCGCTCAAGAGTCGACAATGGCACAGTGCTGTACAAGATTTTCAATGGTAGCACAGTCGGGAGTCGTTGCGACTCGTCATCTTCACTATCCCATTCGATCGGTACGTCCACGCTAACTGATGATGCATCCATCGTACTTCGGCGCATCGTGCTCTCAGCAACCACAGTGCGTTTGTCAACTGCTTGGTAGAGATTCAATCGCGCCTCGCCCGTGGTCACTTGACGAGACTGCGTTCCAAAAAAGCCATGTTCCACTTGAAACGAGAACACCACCTGGCTTTGAGGCCCCAGCAGCGGCAAGTGCTCATTCAGTTGAGAGCCTCGAAAGCTATGAACAAAGGAGGAGTTCAAGTTCTTGTCCACTGCATCCCACCACAATGCAAACGGAATTCCCTTTTGGTAGCGCGTGCCCCCAGTTAACACCAGATGTCCCTGCAGTTCACACCCCAACGGCGAGGGAGATTTCACACCGTGTTGGTGACGAGTGCCACCCGTGTGGCCCTCATGCAGAATTGCAGACCTCCAACTCTCGCGGATGTTAAAGCGTACTTTGCGTAAGACCACACGATGCTCGCGATCACCCAGATCACTTTCAACGACATCCGAGTTCTCAGACAAATTCTCCAACCTTTGCTCCATCCTATCATCTTGAGTGTATCTGTCCACAAAATTCACCCGCGCGGTTTCAAGGGTAGGTGCTGTCGATACGGAGTCTGATCGGCTATCCGCAGTTGACTGTACGACGCTCCACGAATCGGCGGTCGGTTCGCTTAACTCTTGCTTTGTTTGGCTATCTCGGAAGTTGCTGAGTTGCTTTCGGCAGATAGCTCCACGCGCAACTCCTTGCAGCCTGACGATGGCTCGAATCGTCGATGCCCATACAAGAAGCTGAAACACAACAACAAAATGAGAGTAAGGCGAAAAGTTAATGAACCCGCGCAGAAAGAAAACTGCATCGACTGTCATACCTGTTCTGCTGTCCCTACGCACACTCGAACCTGAAGATACCCCGCTGCATGTCCTGTAAACGGATTTTCGATGGCGAACCTGCCATCTACGCTGACAGGAGGAATAGTGTTCTTACTGTAGCTGAGCAGATCAACTTCCCCACTCCTGTTATAGGTAGTCGATCCAAATACTAGGTTAGACCCCAAGTCAAGAACGGTTGACATGAACTTAGCAATTGCTCAATCGAACCTGAAAACCTTCGTGAACTCATTAAGAGGCACCTTCGACAGACCTAAAAGGGTAGACTCAGCATCGCCGCTATGCAACCACACTTCAATAATCTTCAACAGCACGGATCATGAGTTAGTCCAGCATAAACATTCGATATTCTCAATTGAGGACGTACCAGGTACCCGCTCGAAAAGTATTCGCTGGCATCGTCGGCAAACATTGACTGGAAAACGTGAATACTACCCATGAAGTCGGCTGACAACGACGCTGAAAAGTCTGAGCAAACGAGCTTCCGCTTAGCAGTCCGCTCAAACTTGATCGATGGCGGAGGTCTTCTTGTGAATACTGACGGCACCGAATAATGAAGAGAAATACTTGTCCCTTCCCGCCATGCCACCACCGCGTCACTTCCTCTGGATCCTCCGTTGCTGGCAGTGAATTGGGCTCGATCACCTTTGGCCAGAGGCGATCTATTACTAGGAGATTCAAAGAGCTTTACATTCGAGACGCCGTCGATCATCACACCAAGCTGGAACAATTCAGAGCCACCAAACTTGGAGGCAAATTCCATTTCCCCGACCAGATGCTGTACCAGTTCTCTAGCATTTGACAAGGCAATCTGACCCTTTTCGGAAATTCTTTCGCTTGGGTTCGAGCTCACGAAAGAGAAGTCGAAATCTTCCGCACTGTCCTTGGCATCGCTAGAACCTCCACTTTCAGAGAGTGGGTTGCTGGGGGTTAGATCGGAAAACTCATACTTGACCTTGAGATAGCCGACAGGTGGTGCTTTCTTGTGTCGTGGCAGCCTGTTGATCCGAGCACCTCGATGATCGCCATGAGCGACCTTCCTTGAATCAAGCCCGTTGTGATCTCCCACAACAAACAGCGGCACTGATGTTTGCCGATCGTGATTATCTCGCTCCGTATCGAAGAGCGCCGTACCAGGTAAGACCCCCTCAAGGAGAATGCATTTCGACGGACGAGGAAACAGGTTCTTTGCTTCTCTCTTCTTGCTGCGCCGCGCATCACTTTGATTCTCGCATCTGACAAGAAAATGAAGCTGTTTTATTCCGTCACATTTGCTTGGGGTTGAGGTGTCGCCCCCAGGATGAAATGATGGTGGAGTCAACGTCATTGTACTGCTGCATTCGAGTTGCCAATGTCGCCTCCGCAATGAAGTGGTCACCGAAAAGGCAGATACTTCAGGAAAATCGGTTTTATTCGCGTTCCGGTACAGCAGAGTAGCCACGTGATCGTGTGAGACGCGGATCTCTATCGGACTGAATCGACTTGACACTGACGACGAATCTCGCAGGTGATGGAGTTGATGGGCAACGAAATCGCGTTCCAGCTCCAACGATTGAAATGTGAGCGTCAACGCATTAAACTGATCAAGAAACCTGGAATCAATGCCGCCATTCAGTTGTGCAGTCATCTTGTTCTGTAGTTTAGCGATCGGTTCAGACTTTAATGCGAAAGCCTGTGGCTGGTCCTCTTCCCATTTCCCCGTAGTATTCGTGAATTCTGTGTAGGGGTCACGCCCATCACCCTTCTGCTCCCCAGCCAGCTCGTCTGGAACATTGAAATAAGCACCTCCTTGATCTCCTACTTGCACCACGTCCAACTCCTTTCGGTTCTCAGTCTCCTCGTCCTTTACAGCTCTCTCCATCGACTGCTGCAGTGCTTTGCCCTTCAACAAGAGTCTCTGAATCCACTGGGAATCATCACTCGGCGTACGCGATTCCACGCCCACGCCCTCTTCCCCTGTCGTCCTCTCCATAATAACAGTGTTCTCCTTCTTATCACCCTGTCGAGGCCCTACGATCAACACCGGCCTCCTCGCCTCCTTCTCCGTATCCACAACCGTCGCCCACTCTCGATTCGACGGCAACGACGCTGACGACGCCGAGCTCACTTCATTCACATCCTCATCGCTCTCCATCTTCTTCTCCTGCGCCTGCACCTGCTCTCTGGTCCTCACTTTCGTCTCGTCCGTCCATTGAACAGCGAAGCTCACGGCCAAATAGCCGAGCACCTCGTCCTGCTCTCCTCCTTCACTGGGCTTGATCTCACACAGAGCGTTTTCCCTCCTCAGCGCCACCAGCTTCTCCTCCGCCGTCATCTCTGCGTTGTCCCTCTCCAGCTCCAGACTCAGCCTGCCCTCGCCCACCTTCTTCCTCGAGTCGCGGTCGATCACGTCGAGCGCCAGGTGCCTCATGTCCTGGAAATATTCCACCAGCTGCTCCGGCTGCACCGTGACCGGGTAGTTCATGGCGATGGCGCGCTGCGGCGCGTCCTCCGCCTGATGCGCTTGAGGGCCGCCGTCTCCTGACAGTAAGCTCGGGCGGAAGAGGCTGCCGGGCGCCTGCTCGCCCCACCAGCGCACGCGCACGAGCGCCACGCGCGGCAGCGGCCGGGAGCTCACGGCGCTCTCGAGAATGTGCGGCACACAGAGCGTCACGGCACCGCAGCGCTTGCCAGACACTTGAGGGGGCAGAGAAGCACCTGTGAGCTCCTGTGGCAGCGACAGGAAGCGCCTGGACAGCGACATATCGGCCAGCGGAGCGCCGCCGCCGGCCGGAGCGGAGCTGCTCATAATTTTGACAGTTGAAGGCTGAATTGTGAATTTTCGCGTTGGAAAACGTGAAACTTGAAGTTGTAAGTTGTAGAATGGATTAGTATGTTACAGTACTGTTATAAGGCGTGCACGACGTGGGTTCTTCTCGAGTTGGTGCGCTCCGAGCTCTCCGAGACTTCACTGATGGCTGTTTGACTGGTGCTGTAGAGCGAGGTGGTGCTGATTGTGAGACTTGGCTTGAGAGTTGCTGAGGTCGGGTCCGAGTCCGTTAGTGTGGTGAGCTCGGACTGGCGGTTCGCGATAGCGTTGACGTTGGTGCTTGCGACGGTCACGCCGCAGGCCTGCTCTTTCTCCGCTAGCATCTGCAGCTGCTTAGGTAGCAGGTCGGGAGACCACTCGCTGCTGCGTCGCTTGTAGAGGTTCGCCATGGCCACTTTGCCGAGGTCTCGGAGTTTCACTTTAGCGTGGTTGTGCTCTGCCACGGCTCGGAAATGTTGACCTCGGCGCAAGGCAAACTGGACGTTGGCTAGTTGGTGCGGCAGCAGGGAAATCGTGTCGTCGGCAACCAGAACTGACGCCAGTTGGCTCACAAAGTAGGTGCTCACTGCAGGCGAGACATCCTCTAGAGTCCTGCAAGAATCAAATGTGAACTCAGAAGTTAGTCGGTTTGTAGGATCCATACCGGCGATGTGATGTACGACACTTACTTGAAGTCGTGGATAGTGAGGGAGTACAGTATGCACTTGCTCGTGATAGCAGTAGCGGTCGAGACGGTTCGGTAGAGCTCTTCGGGTTTCGCCATCAAGGCATACTGCTCGAAGACGGAGTTTTCACCGATTATACGGCCAAGGCCAGTCACGGAGTTTAGCAGATCACACTCGCCCTCGACGAGGAAGAATGTCTCGGTGCCTGGACTACCACAACGGCAGACGCTTTCTCCCCGCTGGATGCACACTGGTTTCATGAGAAAGAGCGCGTACGACACAAAACCCTTGAAGGCGTCTTCCATAACAGTAATGAGCGGGATTGCGAACAATGTCTCCACGGCTACAAGTCGGGCCACATCGAAGCGTAGATTCGGGGCCATCTTGTCAAACAACTACAGCACGATAACAGCAACTCAGTTAGCACACCCCACTCACTGATCTACATAGTCACTGGTTGCTAGCGTGCCTTTTGTTCGGGAAAGAGGCTGGTGCACGCTATGTGATGTTGGTAGTGCTGCAATAACGTACGCTCAGAGTTAATTTAAGTGTCGTTGTCAATTGCCGTGCCGCGTGCCCACTTACATTTTTGACATTTGTGCAGAGGCGCTCACTGACAGAAGCGTCACGCAGGTAGTCTTTCATCTCTGTCATCAGCAGCCGGTACTCGCGATCGCTCGGGTCTAGGTTGTGGATGAGCGTCATCACCGACGAGATGATGTAACCAAACACGGTGGCATTCACAACGATGAGGATGATCACCACGACCAGCTCGTACGGTGAGTGGACGCTCGGCTTTACATCGCCATACCCCACTGTGGTAAGAGTGGTGAACGCCCAGTAAAGCGCTGCGATGTAGCGGTCACCAATCGGTACGAGTGAAGAACACTCCAGCTGATGGGGGTCATCCGGGAAAAAGGCATCGTCACACCAAGTATGGTAACCGGCCGTCTCGCTCGCCATCATCACTCCATGAAACATGCACGCGTTCCAATGGCAGATGATCGACATGATCGCCAGCAGCTTAAATAGTCGTTCGGTGGATGGGCTCAACTGTGCAAAACACAAGCCCAGCGAAGTTAGTCCAGTGCGCTGAAGATTAGTCGAATAACTGCGTCTGACGAACCTGAACATGGTCACGGATTCGGCCAAAGACACGACTGAGCTTGATCAAACGCGTAAGCTTCAGCAACCGCGCAACTCGGAAGAGCCTCAACAACTTTGTCGGGAAAAGCCGCACGGTTTGGTTTGATGTGCCCACCGCAGCTCTAAAAAATGCGTAAAACGTTAGCAAACCAAATTTTGGTGCTAAGAGATTGCAATACTTACTGGAAAAGCTCGTCGATAGGCACTGTAGAAATTAGGTCAAGGACGAACCAGCCTTTGGCGTATCGCCAAAAGAGTGCTTTTGGATCGTAGATGAGTCGTCGCTCGTCGTCAAAGTAAGCTGTGCGGAAATTGAGCAGTATATCCACGAGAAAGAACCCGTCGATTATCATCTCCAGCACATACCACCCACCAGTCGCGTCGACATCGTAGCCCAGACGAAATGGCACGACGATGATTGAATACACAATGCCGATGCCAACGAAGAACTGCCAGAACACAATCGCTGGCTCCTGCGGGTGGAACAAGTAGGTCCCTCGCAGCATCACGCGCTCCGACTGGAAGTTGCGCTTGGGCTGTTCATGCGGTGAATCGCGGATCTTGACGATCATGTTATGCAGCTCGTTTTCGTCGGCAGCTCCAGCTAAGGATGCACGCCCTCCAGGCGAACTATCGTCCAGAGTGTGGCCTGCTTGCTCAGCCATCTGCTCAGCTAACTGCTGGAGAGCTAGAGTTTTCTCGTGATGTCGCTGTAAATCCTCTGGTGTCATCGTTGGAGATGGCTTGTTCTCTGCTATGGTGGTCATTTCGGTGGTAGGGGCATAACGTCGTTCAGCTGCTGTACTTGAACTAGAAACATGATCTTGTACAGCTTGATCGTTGCTCATGGCTGTTGACAACGGAAGCTCCTCGTTCTGGACTTGACCGTACCCGGGTTCTTCACTGTGGGTTTCGTTTGAATCTAACGAGTCCAATCTGTCGAACGCCGCTACTTTGGCCCCAAGTTTCGCTTTAGCGGAAGGTGTCGGCGGCAATGCCTCCAACGTCACCTTTCGACCTTGAGCCATCGAAGTATACGGCCTTGTCAATGGATGTACAGCGATTATCGAAGGAGGCTCACTTGATGATTCAGGAGAAGCCAGCCATGCCTGGTTGCCATGCTCTCGCTCGACTGGGGATTGAGGCAAAGCTGCGGGTCCATCGCTCGGTGAAGGGTTGAGAGGTGGCGACACTGCGCTCTCGGTTACGGTATTTTTCTGTTGGTCTCCTTGATCGATGATCTCCTCCTCAATCGTCTGGGGTCTGGAGTGCCCTGTATCAATCGCACTGGGCATGAAGGGTATTATACGCGCTGGTCTGCTGGGGGTAACCTTGCTATTCACCACTGCAGTTTTGGTCATGGTCACTACTGCCGGCATGTCGACGTGTTTGTGGTGAACCGGAGATCGCGGAGGCTTCTGACTCGAGTCGAATATGGAGGGATCTACGCGTCGCCGCATGCTGTTGGAACTGGTCGCAGCACTGTCACGAAAGTGCTTGATAACTTCTGGCCAGCTAATGCCTGGGGTGATGCAGGTGAAACAGTTAGGCATCAACCAATAGATAGATATTGAGCGTGCTAGGCCACCTACTGATTTTCTGGATGGCTTCTCGTGAGAGGAATGTCAGTTCACAGTAAGACTTTGCGACGGCCGAACAAATACGCACGCCATTGCCGTGATCATGGTCATATACTTCCAGCTACGTTAGCGACGATAAGGTTAGTAATTTCTCGCTTAGGACAGAGTTTCTGGATAGCGCGTACAGTACATTACCTCGCCGAAATGGTCGCCAACACCTAATGACGACAGTCGCGTGTCTTCCTTCCCGCGTTTCGCTGTCTTCACGAGTTGAACCTTGCCTTTGATGATAAAAAACACGTGGGCTGCAATTTCGTGCTCAACATAAATGTACTCGTCCTTTAGCATTGCAAACGGACGCATTGCCATGACGATGTCGCTGATCAGGCTCTCGGGGCATTTGACAAAATATTTCACACTTGACACGATCTTGGCATGAACGTGATGAATCTGAGCACAAAGGCAAAAAAACATGATGAGATCGTCTAACCGGCAACATGATAGCGCTCTCTCCAGGACTTACCATTTCGTTCCGTAGTGCGGATGGCAGCCGGTTCAGGATCAGACTCTCGTTAAAAACCGAGCGGTTTTGGTAAAAGTACTCAAAGTGGTGGCGAATTTTGTTGCCAATGTACTTGGGCATCCGGCGCGAGATGATGTATTCCTTGACCACCGTCATGCGCTCATCGTACCGCGCTGCTGCCACATCCAGATTCGTGACGAGAGTTGAAATGGTTCCGATCACATAACCAAAGAAAGACACTCCCACGGCCATCACTGCGATGTTGAGCATCCTCTCATAGTTGTTGTGCCCGACAATGTCGCCGTATCCGATAGTTGTCTACAAAGCATCTCCATTAGTTGACTGGGTCTGCAAAATCAACGAACGAAAGCGGCAAAATCCCTTACCATGGTGACGATGGCCCAATACACCGAACGGACGTATTGGAGAGAATTGGTATCAACAACGTGGCCTGCTGGGTCGTTGGCAAGGACGACAAGCCACGACTCAGTTGAGTCTGCTCTCCCAACTGCGTACCACAGGCAGGCCACCAGATGAGCGATGAAGAGCATCGTCAGTGCCAGCTTGGCTAGCGACACACGACTCTGGTTGGTGTAGACGGCATCCTCGAGATTCGCGAAAACTTTGCCGAGACGGCGGATGCGCGCGAGCTTGAACAGCCGAAGTACCTTAAGTCCACGGAGCAGCTTCGCTGATAACAGAGCAGCGTGAGCGTTGTCCCCCACTCCAAAGAGTTTGGCAATCGACTCGAACGGAAGAGTCGAGCAAAAGTCCACAACGAACCAGCCACGCAGGTACGCCTTCACAATCACTCGGAAGTTGTACGACACCTCGCCAGAGGGCAACTGGAGGCCGGTTACGAAGTTGAGAACGATGTCAACGAAGAAAGCCACATCCATGCTGGTCTCGAGGATGGCGAAGCCTCCTGCAGCTTCCACTTGAAAGCACACTCGGTACGGCACGACCAACGTGGTGTACAGCACAAGGCCCGTGAGTAGGAGGTCCCACATCCTCTTGGCATTCGCCTCAGGGTCGATGAAGTACCGTGGCTTCAGCAGTCGGCGGACAACGCGCCTTCGTCGACCAATGTATAACGGCATACTCCTCCTGAGCGCAAGCCACAGCGCATGTCCACTTCTAGGGGGGTTGGCCATTCGGTGGCGATGATGTCGGAACCCTGTCATCTTGGTCTACCAACTCTCTCCAGCACCCTCCGGCATAAGACTTCTCTTTGCGTAGTGAGCGCACGATACACGGCCGCGGAACCCAGGAAAGACTGCGGTGGACTCGGAACAGACAGCTGGATGGTTAATTCCGCAACATTGACGACGGGCGGCGCCAGTGAGAGGAACTCGGGGAAGATGCAGTCGAGACGACGATAACGAGGCCCAGCTAGCCGCGCAGGAAGCAACAAGTCAGAGCAGTAACTGCTGGCAAACTTGGTCTTCCGCTGGTGCCTGCTCGCTTCCAGTATAAATAACACTCACCTGGCGCTCATTTGGTGCGGGGTTCGCCGGCGCAGTCTCATTGCAAGTGAGCACATGCTGAGCCAACAGAGAAAAGAGAGTAGCAGAGAGGAATGGATCTATTGATTCACCAAAACCGAGCTGGCGAAAGCGCATCATCTGCTTGACGAGACTTCGTTCGACTGACGAGACTCCTCGGTCGGGCGCCGTCTTACTGCGTCTTCTTCTCACCAGACGCAGAGCGACGCTGCGGGAAGAGGTTGAAGAAGACCAGCAGGCCAATGCTCACGACGTGCGGGAGGAAGTACCAGGCGCTCCAAATGGCGAGGCAGCGGCGCACGTCCATGATCTCGAATGCAACGCCGGCGTACTGCATCGCCACCCAGGTAAAGAACATGCCCGTGATGTCGTAGAAGAACGCGAGCGGGCTGGAAGTACCGTTGAAGTACGAAAGGAAAATGGCGTGCGGGTGCGCCTTGCGGTCTTCCGTGTAGTGGAAGTACGGCCTCAAGCGACGGCGAAGATCTACATCAATGAAATAGTGACGCGTCAGTTTACCTCGGATGTATGCACTACTGCAGTCGATGTACTTACGCTTTCCAACTTCGATGTAGATGCCTCCCAACAGGAAGAACAGGTAGTAACCCGGGGACAGACCCTAGAGCAAAAACGTTATGTTAGTCGGCGATCATTTGACTTGATGATGCAAAACCCCACTGCCACTTACATGCCACAGAGCACTAACGAAGAAAGAGGCCATGGTCGACAGCAAGCCCGACTTGCCCGACTTGGACAATCCCACACGCTGGTAAATGTCTGCAGGAAAAAAAGTATGACGAGTTGTCACGTTAGTATACGATAAGATAGATACCACCAGCAGCGTGAGAGAAAAAAAACTTGTGTCGTACAGGTGTTGATCCAACGAGCGACTCCCCTGTTCCAGTTGTTAATAGCCACGCGGAAGTTGGTAGGAAGCTCCACGCAGAGAAGGTCATTGTTCGTGATGCCATCCCTACGAGTTTTGAATGGGTGAACGTTAATAAATCTATGCACTAAATGAGACAGCAACACCTGCAGCGAGCGAGTACGTACCACTTGCCAGTAGACTGCACATAGCCAACGCCGGCAGCAGCGCTCGCCGCCTCGGCCAACGACCACGCAAGGTACTGTCAAACACCACAGGCAATGTCAGCAATTAAACTGCTAGTACAGTATACAACAGTACAGGTATCACTTACGAAGCGGAAACGGAACAGCACCACAGGAATGCACATGCGGAGGCAGCGAACTGCCCACGAGGACTTCGGATAAAAGTCAGGCGAGTCGATCTCTTCAACCGGAAATTGCAGCGACGCGAAGAATCCGGCAGCCGAAATCTAGAGTTGAAAACCGAGCATTTGGTATGGTAAGAAGCATATTTTTTTAAATTGACGAGCATGCCAAGATACGTACCACAATCACGAACAGGTTACGGACGTGGACCAGGAATGGGGCGACGCGGATATCCTGGTGAACAGGTATACCCGTTAGAACAGTATAGCATTGCAATCAACAAAACATGTCGCCTTGTACCTTCATCCAAAAGATGTAGTCCTTGTACTCAAACGCGGGGCCAGCGAGGTACGTGGGGAAGAAGAAAATGAAGCCTGCAATAGAAGCATCATCACCAGCATTAAGTCGCAAGCTACTACAACAGCAACAAGCCATGCATCACCACCCACCGAAGTACGGGATCAACGCCGGGATCTCCTGCAGCTCGTTCTTGAGCATCGTCGGCGTCTTCTTCTCCTTGGGCAGGCCGCCATCGCTGTAGTTGATAGCGACGCTGCTGAGCTTCAGCGTCAGAATCATCTGCGCCGAGTCCCACACAAGGTCGGGGCTGTGGAATTCACGGTAGTAGTGACTGCAACCACAAACGATCCATCCATCAGTACCCACGCAGCTCAATGAGTCACTGCGACCAGCATCACTTACACTCCCACGAGGTACGCCAGCAGCAACGGCAGCACAATGCGACCCACCAGCTTCCTGCACCACAAAAACGCCAAAAGCATCAACACACTACTCTATAGATTATGCCATTTCTAGTAAACTGTGCCGTACCTCGGGGCCACCATCATGAGCAGATACACCGCCGCAGCCGTGCCAACGGTGTGCAGCACGGCCGTATCGAACACAAAGGCGCCGGCGAACAGTCCCGCCGCCACATTGAACAAGTGGCCTAGCAGAGCCAGCAGTAGTAAAAGTACTAACATCAGTATCAATGCTGCAAGTGTACCATTCATCTATTCGTTCGTACGGGACGTCTCGCCGCGCGTGAGGTGGATGAGCGGCGCCACGAGGCTGCAGCCAGCCAGCGCCACCATGAGGCGGAAGCCATTGACGGGGAAGTTCTCGCTCTGGGCGATGCCGTCCACGGGGCCGCGCAGAAACTCCATGCTCTGCTCTGCTGCGCGCCAGCTGTACACGATCCAAGCTTCGGCCAGTCTGCGAATGCGCCGAATGACACGCATGACTGCGCAGGTGACATCATGGCCACAGGTTCTATGTTCGACGGCCTGCGCCCATTGGCTGAAACTTGTGCGATGGATACATTTGGTGTGAAGGTACACAAGTGCAACTGCAACAAGCGGCAGCAACTTCCTGCTTCAGCTTGTTAGCATTGAGCTCAGCCCGAAACCAAGCGGATAATACGAAATGACGGATACACTTAGAGCTGCTGGAATGCTGCTGAACGCGTAGGAGGTGCGAGACTACTGGTTGTGTAGCTGCCGATCGAACGATGCAGTGGCAAAGGCAGGAGGATTTCGCACAACGTACGAAAAGTTGACGATCTTCTTGAAGAGAAGCAGCGGGCACACTCTTGACACTAACTCAATGGAGTTGACGTCTTCATGCTAAGCAAGTGCTTCAAAATGTCAGTTCACACTGGGGGGTCTTTGCTCGCAGGCACAGCGGGGACGATCCGGCGCTCGAATTCAGCCAATCGTCGTGCGGTTGTGCTGAGCCTGAACACTTTGGCTCAGTTCGACTAAAGGAGCGTTGGAGTGATCATGTTTGCACGGGCGATTCGGAGCCACGCGAAGCTGGGGGCAGCGGCGCTGCTGGGCGCCCCCATACTGCTCTCGCAGCAACAGGCGCGCGCGGAGCAGCGCGTGTACGCGAGCGGGTACGCAGTCGCAGAAGCGTTTTGGATTCCGGCGAGATATCTCGATTTCTGAGATTTGCGGGTGGGATATCTGTCTAAAGTGAAGCGCTGGGGCGAGGAGTGCGTCTCGAGCTGTGGAAAGCCCAGGTTCGTTGTGAAGATACTGCATTGAGGGCTCTTGAGGGTGGGGGCTGACGGGGGTGCCCATTGCAGCACGAGAACGTGGTCGTCCTCGACCTGGAGAGCGAGCTGATTCAGCTCGGGATGACGCGCATCCGTGACTACGAGAATGCCGGTAAGTGCATTAAATACTGTTGGTGGGGGTGGTTTTGGTGGCTGATTGTTGTCTGTGAGTAGGAGCAAAGTTCACGCATGATGCAAACGGCGTGCTGCGCTCGACGCTGGATTTGGCGCTGACAGAGCTCCCGAACGACGAGGAGGTTTGTAGCGGGGAACCTTTGTGACCGGTAGTTCGCCATGATAATGGTAGAAGTGGTTGGCTTCGTGTAGGCTGTTGTCACAACCCCGCGTGGATACAAAGTCGAGGGCCTCGTGTTTGAGGATGATGTGAAGGTGTGCGGTATTAGTATCGCCGCGAAGCCGGAAGCCCAGAAGGGGTGAGTCCAAATAGCGGCTTGGCTTGTAGATCCTGTATCCGCTGTGCATGATAGCAACCATCATTCTTCTTACCGTTTGTACTGTTGACTGTGTCACCTCGCAGCCTATCGCAAGTTCTCCGCACATCGCTGCCGTATGACTCCAAGTACGGCGAGGTCCTGGTACAGCAGCTTCCGAAGGGTGGAAACAAGGTGCTTTCGCTCCCCGTTTACTTTATTTGCTTAGGTCTTGTGCTGACAATCTTTGTATTTACTACACAGATCACGAAGGCAACTCTTCCGGACGATATCGATGGCCACGAAATCCTGCTTTTGTTGCCTGAGCTTGCTTCGGTGTCCCAAGTGGACAAAATCATCCACGTACGAATGCCGTTCTGAGCATGATCTCTGCTATTTGCTCCAACACTGACTCCGTGCATTGTATTCGTAGCTCCTGATGCAGCAAGGTGCAGAGGAAGAAAAGATCACCGTCGTGACTCTTGTGACGTGCCCCGAGGCTGCCGACGGCTTCTGCAAGGTTTGCCTTGGTGTTGCTAATTGTCATCGCCTCAAATCCAGTTAGCTGACGTTGTGCATTTTTCGGCTAGGCATTCGGCGACGCTCGCCTGGTGACTGCTTCTTTCGACTCAAGGCTCAACAATGACGGACACATTGTGCCAGGTATCGGCGCCTTCGAAGAGCGCTACCTCGGTGCCCCCAGCGCTGTCATGGAGCTAGCGGACGACCCCGCCGAGGACGCAGGCGACGATGAGAACGGTTTGAAGGCCAAAATCACTCAAAAGCTTTCATCGTGGTTCAAGAAGGACTGATCATCGCGTCAGCACTACATACACAACCCTCTCTACCCGGTGAGGAGATCAGTAAAGGTGAAATACAGGCTGCACGTTGGCATGCACCTGTTCAACAAGTCCTGACTACAAAATATTGACTACCGGGTCGTCAATAATAAACACTACGTAAACATGGATACGTAGTAAGTGTCCCAGGAAGCCAACACACGCAAGCGTTTCGCTTGGCATAACGGAAATCGCGGACGCGTAGCCAAGATGCCGATGAACTTTAAGGTGACGTTCGCCAATGGCACGTCCATGAAGCTCATGGGTCTGCCGGACGACATCACGCTGGACGGACTGCGCGCTCAACTGTTCGAGAAGACGTCCATCCCGCCGCAAGATCAGCATGGCAAGGACACCAACACTCCGAGTGTATCATTCCTTCATCGACGGTATCACTAACCAACTTGTCGATTTGTGCTTCTCTACAGTGATGACGGGTTATCCCCCGAAGATGATCGAGGGATCTGGAGTACGTGGCAACCATAACTTGCTATTGCATCCCACTGGTACACTTTATCTGACTTGTACTTCGCAGGACAGCACGTTGTCGTCGTTGGGGGTCCGCACGGGCTCGGTGCTAGTGCTCAAGGAGGCGCCGGACACTGGCGGCGCTCAAGCCAAGTCGACGACTGTGTTCATGCGACGTGTGATGCCGGCGGACAACAGTTGTCTGTTCCATTCCATCGGGTACGTGTATGTGCGAGGATTTACTTTGCTGAAGACGCTGTGCCTGAACAAGCCTTTTTTGGTGTTTAGATACGCTCTTGGTAAGGGGAGGGAAGGCAACGGCCCCGCGATGCGCCAGCTGATCAGGGATACGATCCTTGCTGACCCGGAGAAGTACTCGGAGGTGTTTCTGGGGCGCCCGGTGTACGAGTACTGCGCGTGGATCATGGACGACAAGTCCTGGGGCGGCGAGATTGAGCTCTCTATTCTGTCCACCTACTTTAAGGTGGAGATGGTCGTCTTCGATGTAACGAGTATGAGCCGATTGTGCTACGGCGAGGACCAGGGCTTCACGCAGCGCATGTTCCTGCTCTACGACGGCATTCACTACGACCTGGTCATCGAGGCGCCATCCGCCACCGCCTCGGAGAGCCAGGATGTGACCCTCTTCGTGATCAATGATTTCTCCAAGGTGCGGTCTGATTGTTGCATGAAAAAGTATTTCGAATACGCTGCTTACGTTTCTCGATGTGCAGGTCGAACGCGCTAGCGAGGTCGCGGTGGAAGCTCATCAGAAACACGAATTCACCGACGTCAGCCGCTTCAGTATTATGTGCTTGGTGTGCAGGAGTACCTTTGTTGGACAGGTGCGATAAGGGGTTGCGCCAAAGTTTGTGTCGTGGAATTTGCTGATGCGTATATGTGTTGTTTTGCTGTTGTTCGCACAGAAAGAAGCACTTGCTCATTCCGAGGCTACCGGTCACCAGCAGTTTGGAGAGATCAAACCTTCATCTACGCGCTGATTTAGACGTGAATTCGGCAAATGCACTACTTCCATTTTGAACTCGATGAACGAGCTGATTAGAATGCTAAACGAGATGAAACAGAAAGAAGAAGAAAAGAGTTTTGCCCTTGCAAGCCTCACTTGTCCGGGAAATCCACCTTGTCCGAGCCCAAGGGTGATCTAGGATCGTTGGGAGCTGATAGCAGCTGAATTGCGGCTTCCGCATCACTCAGCGTCTGCAACTTTGTCTTGTGGACCAGTTTGCTGTACCACCACAGCATCACAATACTGAGAGAGCAGAGCAGAATGTCGATCCAAAATACAGGAGTCAGCGTCGGAATAGCTGCTGGCAGCAAAGGCAAAATGATGCGCGAGATCGAGGCGGCAGACCCAAGCAAGCCCATGAGCGTGCCTTGAGGGCGTCCACCCAGTAGCTTCGAAAAGGCTGCAACCACCACTGCAGTTGTGATGGGGCAGCCCACACTCCACACCAGGAACTCCGCGACTGCGAGCTGTGGAAACGACAAGTCCACCGGCACCATCACCAAAATCACGTTACCTGCCAGCAACATGACGAATCCAAGCTGCACCCAGCTCACATCAGACAGACTGAGTCGGAAGTACTCGATCGAGAAGTACGACAGCAGCCCCAGTAGTCCGAGATAAAACTGGAAGTTGGATGCATCGACCACAGCACTCACACTCTCGGGATCACTGCCCGTCACCTGGAGGAACAACGGGATATTCACCGTCTCAAAGACCGACAAGATGCCGCGCGCGTTGAAGTTGAGGAAGATAAACACCACCGCGCCGATGTTCACAATGCGTTCCGGCATCGTCGTGATATTGCTCAAGGTTCTGCTCGACCCCGCTTCTTGAAGTGACTCCCGCGGTCCATCTCGAGTCTCGATTGATCCGTCGTACAATGTCAACATGCCCACAATGGTCAGCACATCGAAGATTATCAGGATCAACCCCGGCGATGTGAACTTGTTGAAGTGGATGCCCAAGACATACACGTCCGTGTTGGCTACCAGACTGCCCAAACCAGGCGTCAACGCGTAGCCGAAGAACACCACAGTGGCCAGCATCGTCAGGTATGTGAGTCGCTGGTTGATGGTCGTGATCGACGCCACGTCGGCGCGGCACACGCTGCGGTTGCCGGCCCCGAAGCCGACGATGAACCGACTTGCAGCCAGCGCCGTCAAGCTTCCGGTCACGTGCTGGTCGGCAAAGACGTAGATGAGGTTGCCCACAAGGCAGATGGCCGACGACCACAGGTACACCGAGCGGAACGAGTAGTGGTCGCACATCCAGCCGAAGACCGTGGACGAGATGAGTCTCCCCACCGAGAAGAGCGACGTGAGCATGCCCATGAAGGCTAGGTCTCCGCCCAGCGACTTGGTGTAGAGGAAGAGCGTGGCCAGCACGACGCCGCGCGAGGACTCGGCCGCGAACTCGACGAAGTTGATCATGGCCATGTTGATGTACCATTGCGACAGGCGGCGAGGCGGAGCAGCCTTGGCCTCGAGAGTGCCGTAGCCCGAGCCGGTAGCGAGCGGAGGTCGCGCCATCGGATCCGGAAGTGGGCGAAGAGGCGTAAGGGATTCAGGTGGGTCGTTGAAATTACCGGTGGTAAGTTACCGGCGGTGCGTGTATCGCTGTTTTACGAACACAAGTTTCGACTAGAGAAAGCTCACAATGACAATAATGCAGGCTCGTTCATGTATTATCAAGATGCTAGGTTATTATACGAGTACAGTTTGCTTCAGGTGAGCGAGCGACTCACACGAGTGCAGCAGAGAACGATGGACAACCGATCCATTAGTCGTTCTCCGGGAAGTCCGCTTTGTCCGATCCGAGCGGGGAACGAAGGTCATTTGGTGGAGACACCGCCCGGTACGCATTCTCTACGTCCGCCAGCATCGCCATCTTGGTCCAGTGCACGAGACCAGTGTACCACCAGAGCAGCACGATGCTGCTGGCGCACAGCACGATGTTGATCCAGAACACTGGCTCCAGCGTCGACACCACTGCGGGGAGCAGCGGCAGCACGCTGCGGGAGATGCACGCCGTCGAGCCGAGCAGACCCATGAGCGTTCCCTGCGGGCGTCCGCCCAGCAGCTTCGAGAACGCCGCCAGCACTACCGTGGTCGAGATGGGGCACCCCACACTCCACACCAGGAACTCAGCCAGCGACAACTGCGTGAGCGTCAGACTCTCCGGAGCCTGAGCCAGCAACACGTTGCCCGCCAACACCATCGCGAAACCGAGGTGCACCCAGTTCTCATCGCGAATCTTGTGACGGAATAGCTCGATCGACAAGTACGAGAGCAGACCCAGCAGACCCAAGTAGAACTGGAAGTTGGAGGCGTCCACGACGGCGCTCACGCTCTCGGGGTCGCTGTCAGTTGCAGCGATGAACAGCGGCACGTTTACGGTCTCGAACACCGACAGGATGCCGCGCGCGTTGAAATTCAAGAAGATGAAGACGCCGACGCCGATGTGGACGATCCGGTCGGGCATCAGCGTCGGGTTGTTCAGCGTGTTGCTGACCGGGCCTCCCTCGGTCTCCTCTTCCTCCGGTCCGTCATTGACCGTCACGCTGTCGTCGTACACAGTGAGGATGCCGAAGATCGTCAACACGTTCAGCACGACCAGGATCATGCCGGGCGACGTGAACTTGTTGAAGTGCACGCCGCAGAAGAGCAGGTCCGTATTGGCCACGAGGCTGCCGAGACCCGGCGTCAGCGCGTAACCCAGGAACACGACGGCGACCAGTATCGTCAAATACGGCAGGCGCTGGTTGATCGTCGTGATCGACGCGACGTCAGCACGGCACACGCTGCGGTTGCCGCCGCCGAAGCCCACAATGAAGCGACTGGCCGCCAAAGCCGTCAAACTTCCGGCCATGTGCTCGTCGGCGATCAGGTAAATGACGTTGCCCACGAGGCAAATGAACGTCGAGATGAGGTAGACCGAGCGGAACGAGTAGCGGTCGCACATCCAGCCGAACGCGGTGGACGACAGGAGCCGACCAACCGAGAAGAGCGCGTTGATGAAGCCCATGAAGGCCAGATCGCCGCCCAGCGACGACGTGTACAGGAAGAGCGTAGGCAGCACGATGCCGCGTGACGACTCGGTCGCGAACTCCAAGAAGTTGATCATGAACATGTTGGTGTACCATTGCGATAGCCGGCGCTGCGGCGGTGACTGGGAGGTCTTGAGGAGCGGCGCGGACTCTTGGTATTTGTTAGCGCTGGTCGTGCCGTAGAACGTCCCTCCACCGTTCACTGACAGAGCTTGGTTCACCATGTTGAGAGCTGGTGGTGGGGTGGGGTGGCGATCGGGGGGCTGTTGGTTGGGTGCCGGCTGAGCAGAATCGGAAATGACCTCTTGCGCTCTGTGGATCGATCGGCGATCCGTGAGGCCCGGACAAAGTACGCCTACGGCATTCGGCCCGAGAGCTCAGGCCACCGGGAGGAGAGTGGCGGCTTCGGAGGTGTGGGGAGGCGGATTAGGTGCATTCAACGTCGTGTTGGGGGGGGTATCTCGAGCCTGCTGTCCGATCTTTGAGGGGGATCGCGCCTGCGGACTAGGCGACGGAACCCTTTTCGATGTCGATAGCCTCGTGCACTTCACGCCTCGCACTTCACACCGGCGTGTAAGACGGAGCCGGGTGTCGCGGCAGAGCGATCTAGTTGGTGAAATTTGCCAGCAGGAGCTCTGTGCTACAAATTCGGCGCCTCCATTGGCCGCAGCCAACACAAAACTCGGTTTATGCTTTCATGGTTTAGGCCACGACGACCAAATGTCCTGAGCGATCCGAGAAACACATGGAGGTTGGCTGGTGCAGTGTGCAAATCTGCAGCACCGATGGCATTTCCTGATGGTGGTTTTGGCTGCACTCAACTTGAGTCTCAAGGGGTTCGATGATTGAAGAGAGGCTTGGTTCTTCCCCCGGCACTTCCAAGGGAGGAGTTCCCGTGCAGCTCACGTCGAGGATGTCGCCTCGCCGCTGGTGGTTGAAACTGCAGAGGGCAGAGGTGCTGGTTGAGCTCTAGTCCACCAGTCCAGCGGTGCAGCCAAGCCTTTTTGATCGCCACGACTGTAGCCCGACACGGTCCCATGCGCCACGTTACATGTAGCTCACCGCAACGCGTCTTCTGTTACTGCCGTTAGATCAACCTTTGAGCACGGGGTTGTGCCGATGCAGCGCACCCGCAAACCTGGGGAGGGAAGACATGTCTGCAAACCGATGCTCCTCTGTCGGCTGTCGCCTTTCGCACGGCGGGGTGAGTGTCCGACAATCTATGATTCCGGCTGAGTATCTCCTCGGATAGGATACAGCTGATACCACTCGCCCAGAGCAATGAGTTAGCACTTCACGCCGCCGTAGGAGCCCACGCCTCATCCAAGCGCTAAGGCCTCAAACAGCGACCAAACATGTTAAATACAATGTATACTCAGAGCAGTGCAGGGGCGCTCTTGCTTTGGCGTCAAATGCCAAGAGGTTTGTTTAGCAACTTCAGGAATCGAGCGTAGAAACTTCGGGGTCGGACCCCAATTGGGGATGGTAGCAATTGGAGATGGTAGCAACGCTGAGAGGGGCAAGCTTATTCAGTTTGTAACAATGACTGGCAATTCTTCAGGACCTCAAGCAGAAGCCCGAGACTCATCCATTTCAACAGGAAGTCCTCAAACACGGCGAATCTCGTGACGCGCTGCGGGTCGAGCGCCATCTGCTGTAGGCAAAGCGTTGTGAAAAAATTGCGCGGCAGAAACAAAAATTGCAGACGAGCGGAGACCATGAGAGGGAGCCAATGCCTACTCATACGGTTTGCTCGCTCGTACAAGTTGTGCTGGCACTACTCCGTCGAGATTCGACTCGAGCCCGTGGGGTTTAAACCGGCTGAGGAAGTGTTTTCTTCGTTGCTGGGGAGAGAGAGCCAAATGAACGAACGCAGCTTGAATACGCAGCCTGGCATGCACGACATCCTATGCTCATGTTCCGGCGCAATGGATCGCGATGGGTGCTTTGCAGGCAACTTCAACTTTGAAGATCTGCGATCTCAGCTCACCACACCATGCGAATCCAAGCCGAAAGTACAGTATGTCGTATGCGTAGGTAGGGTAGACGCTAAGTGCTCAGAGATTCGTAAATCTTGCTGTAAAACAGCGCCATGACGATTGACTACCATACTATCAAAGAAATGGAAAACTATTCATGCCACTCACTACGCCGGCTTCAGTTCTTGCCAGGCGCGTTTACTTGTCCGGGAAGTCGGCCTTGTCCGATCCTAGCGGCGACCGTGGGTCGTTCGGCGGAGACACAATTCGGAAGGCGTTTTCGACGTCGGCCAGCATCGCCATCTTCGTCTTGCGCACTCGTCGGCTGTACCACCACAGCGACGCAATGCTCAGCGCACACAGCACGATGTTGATCCAGAACACTGGGGTCAGCGTCGGAATGGCGGCAGGAAGCAGCGGCAGCACGATGCGAGACACCGAGGCAGCAGAGCCCAGCAGCCCCATGAGCGTGCCCTGTGGACGACCGCCAAGCAGCTTCGAGAAAGCGGCTAGCACCACCGCAGTCGTGATCGGGCAGCCCACACTCCAGACGAGGAACTCAGCAACCGCGAGCTGTGGGAACGACAACGCGCTCGGCGCCACAACCAGCAGCACGTTGCCCGCCAGCAGCACGACGAATCCGAGCTGCACCCAGGTGACATCCCTCAGACTGTGTCTGAAGTACTCGATCGAGAAGTAAGACAGCAGCCCCAGTAGTCCGAGATAAAACTGGAAGTTGGACGCGTCCACCACGGCGCTCACGCTCTCCGGGTCGCTGCCGGTAGCCTCGATGAACAGCGGGATGTTCACAGTCTCAAACACTGACAAGATGCCGCGCGCGTTAAAGTTGAGGAAGATGAACACCGCAGCACCGATGTTCACGATGCGCTCGGGCATTGTCGTCGGGTCACTCAGCGTGTTGTTGACACCCGCCGTTCTCGGAGACTCGATCGGTCCGTCCTGCACGCCTACCGACTCGTCGTAGATGGTCAACATGCCAATGATCGTCAGCAAGTTGAACAGCACGAGGATCATGCCAGGCGACGTGAACTTGTTGAAGTGGACACCCAGCAAGTACGAGTCCGTGTTGGCTACCAGACTGCCCAAACCAGGCGTCAACGCGTAGCCGAAGAACACCACAGTGGCCAGCATCGTCAGGTATGTGAGTCGCTGGTTGATGGTCGTGATCGACGCCACGTCGGCGCGGCACACGCTGCGGTTGCCGGCCCCGAAGCCGACGATGAACCGACTTGCAGCCAGCGCCGTCAAGCTTCCGGTCACGTGCTGGTCGGCAAAGACGTAGATGAGGTTGCCCACAAGGCAGATGGCCGACGACCACAGGTACACCGAGCGGAACGAGTAGTGGTCGCACATCCAGCCGAAGACCGTGGACGAGATGAGTCTCCCCACCGAGAAGAGCGACGTGAGCATGCCCATGAAGGCTAGGTCTCCGCCTAGCGACTTGGTGTAGAGGAAGAGCGTGGCCAGCACGACGCCGCGCGAAGACTCGGCCGCGAACTCGACGAAGTTGATCATGGCCATGTTGATGTACCATTGCGACAGGCGGCGGCGCGGACTCGCCTCGAAGTTCTGGGGCTTCGGCAGCTCGGCCGTGCCGTATGTGGCGCCAGCGTTGACAGACAGCGCGGTCATCGTCGGGAGGGCGAGTGCGCGCGGGTTTTGCTTCTGGCCGGGGAGAATGCGGAATGAGAGCTCGTGGCGGATCGGCGGAGGCGGCCGGGGCGGGGCGACGTCCACAGGCGACAGCTCAGCCGGCCTCAGTTGAAGGACCTCCTTGCCTGCGAGCGTGGCATTTCGTCGCACAAAAAGGACGCGGTCAAGGCATTGCCCTTTGCTGTGCTGATACCGAGATCTGCTGGCGTGTCGAGGGCGATTGTCGCGCTGAGACCGTGGCTTTGGAGACCGAGCCGCCCATAAGATCTGGCGGGGCGGCAAGGTGTAATAGCTCGCGCGTGGCGGCCATGTTGCTCGAGTCGAATCTCCGGGTTCCAGCTGGCGCCGACGCGGCGCGCGTGGGCGTTTCGATGCATGCACCAGATGATCGAGCACGAGGGACGAGGGTCTTGCAACAACGCATCGTCCGCCATGGCGGCACCTCCACCGAGCTCAGCCGGACGGAGGTCTCCTTCAACGGCCACGGGGCCCGCGCACGCTTCCGAGCTCTCGATGCAGGCGGTCATTGGCAGGTTGCCAACGACGTCCGGTGCACAGATGGTTGAGTGTGCGTTATAGGAATTTTGGCGCCGAAAAAGTATCTTGTCCTTGTTCCGGCCTTGCCATCCATCTCCATGTTCCGGCCTACGTCACTGATCTTGTTGATTTGGTCGAACTTGGGTGCCTCCGAGGCCTCCTCGAGTCTCTGCCAGGACGGCTGCGTTGGTCTCCGCGGCATCACCGCTGGCGCGACTGTAGTCCGCATGATAGCAATGCTCTCTCGTTTGATGGCCTGAGGTGAAGAGTTCAGTATTTTGCCAGCACGACGCCAGATTGCAAGCAGACTTAGCATGAAAGAAACGTGTATTTATCATGCAGTACTCCAGCTCATTGCTGCCAGCTAGCAAGGCTTGCCTTCAGCAGACCCCTCAGAGCCTGTCTTTCGCGACGACGACGCTGGGAGGGTAAACCTTTTCGGTGTCGGCCAGCAAGTCCATCCTCGTTTTGCGCTCGAGTCCATTGAACCACCACAGCATCAACAAGCTGAGTACGCTCAGCGAAACGTTGATCCAGAACACCGGCGCCAGCGTCGGGATGGCGGCGGGGATGAGAGGCAAGATGATGCGGGAGACCGAGGCGGCCGAGCCGAACAAACCCATCAGCGTGCCTTGCGGGCGCCCTCCGAGCAACTTCGAGAAGGCCGCCACGCCCACCGCAGTCGTAATCGGGCACCCCACGCTCCACACCAGCATCTCAGCTGTCGCGAGCAGCGCAACCGACAGGTCTGCGGAGGGCACCACCGCCAAGACTGCATTGCCAGCAAGTAGTGACAGGAATCCCAGCTGCACCCAGCTGACGTCCGACATGCGTTTGCTGAAGTACTCGATCGAGAAGTACGACACCAGACCGAGCAGGCCCAAGTAGAACTGAAAGTTCGAGGCCTCCACGACAGCACTCACCGTACTCGGATCTTTTCCTGTGGCCTCTAGGAAGAGCGGGATGTTCACCGTCTCGAAGACCGACAGCATTCCCCTCGCATTGAAGTTCAGGAAGATGTACACTGAAGCGCCGATTTTAACGATCCGATCCGGCAAGCTGATAGTGTTGGCCCGCGCGTTGCTTGCCTGGGTTGTCGGTGCAGACTCTTGAGGACCGTCGTGAACTTTCACTGAAACATCGTACGCAATGAGCATGCCCACAATGGACAAAACATTCAGGACGACCAAGATGACGCCTGGGGCTGTGAACTGATTCATGTGGATGCCAAGCACAAACTTGTCGCTGTTGGCTACGAGGCTGCCTAGTCCGGGTGTGAGCGCATACGCGAGAAACTCGACCGTTGATAGAATTGTCATGTACGGCAAACGCTGGCTAACCGTCGTCATCGCGGCGACATCCGCACGACAGACGCTGCGGTTGCCGGCTCCGAAGCCGACGATGAATCGACTCGCGGCCAGCACCGTCAAGCTGCCGGTCACGTGCTGGTCAGCAATGAGATAAATGACGTTGCCCAGCAGACAGATACCCGACGACCACAAGTAGACCGAGCGGAACGAGTAGTGGTCGCACATCCAGCCGAATAACATTGACGAAATGAGTCTCCCCACCGAGAAGAGCGACGTGAGCAGACCCATGAAGGCCAGGTCTCCGCCCAGAGACTTGTTGTAGAGGAAGAGCGTGGCCAGCACAACACCGCGTGACGCTTCAGCCGCGAACTCGACGAAGTTGATCATGGCCATCTTTGCATACCATCGAAAGACACGGGGATGCTTCTGCACGGGGTTGCTTTCGATTGAGCCATAGGACACGCTGGGGCCGCCGTCATCTTGCAGTGGCACCGTTGAGTAGTTGCTCATTCTGCTTGCCACTGGGCGGGCGAATTGTAGCGTGATAGCTCCGTAGAGCGCGCTAATGGCAACTGTAACCACTAAAAACGGAATCTGAATCTCGCACATGCGATGCAGCACTTTGGGCGACCCTCCACAGCATCAACAGCTCCAGCAACGATCTCAGGAAAGCTACTTTTCAATTACAATCGAGTTACTATATCGTGCAGGGCTTAGTTGTTTTCAAAATCCACCTTGTCTGATCCCAGCGGGGATCGCAGGTCGTTCGGCGGTGATACGATCCGGAACGCATTCTCGACGTCAGCCAGCAGCGCCAGCTTCGTCCTGTACACGACGCGACTGTACCAGAACAGCAGTCCGATGCTGAGCGCGCACAGCGCAATGTTGATCATGAACACCGGGGTCAGCGTCGGGATAGCCGCAGGCAACAGCGGCAGAATAATACGCGACACCGAGCCAGCCGAGCCAAGAAGGCCCATGAGAGTGCCCTGCGGTCGTCCACCAAGCAGCTTCGAGAAGGCAGCCACCACCACCGCAGTCGTGATCGGGCAGCCAATGCTCCACACCAGCAGCTCCGCAAACGCGAGACGACCAAACGTCAACGAAGCGGGCAGCACCGCCAGCAGGACATTGCCCGACAGCAGGAACATGAATCCGAGCTGCACCCAGTTGACATCCGTAATACTCTTGCGGAAGTACTCAATGGAGAAGTACGACACGAGGCCCAGCAGGCCGAGGTAAAACTGGAAGTTGGAGGCGTCCACAACCGCAACGACGCTGTCAGGGTCGCTGCCCGTCACCTGAAGGAACAACGGAATGTTCACCGTCTCGAACACGGACAGGATGCCACGCGCGGTGAAGTTCAGGAAGATAAACACCATAGCGCCAATGTTCACGATGCGCTCGGGCATGGAGGTCAGGTCCGACAGCGTGTTCTTCGTGGCCGCCGTGTTCGGGGACTCGAGCGGGCCGTCGTGGATGCCAATGGACTGATCATACGTAGTCAGCATGGCGAAGATCGTCAGTAGGTTGAAGATCACGAGGATCATGCCGGGCGACGTGAACTTGTTAAAGTGAACGCCGCAGAAGAACACGTCCACATCAGCCACGAGGCTACCGAGTCCCGGCGTCAGCGCGTAGCCGAGGAAGACAACCGTCGCCAGAATCGTGAGGTAGCGCAGGCGCTGGTTGATGGTGGTCATGGCCGCAACATTTGCACGACAGACGCTGCGGTTGCCAGCTCCGAAGCCGACAATGAACCGACTTGCAGCCAGCACTGTCAGGCTGTCCGCAACGTGGATGTCCGCCATGAGGTAGATGAGGTTGCCCAGCAGACAGATACCCGACGACACGAGATACACCGAGCGGAACGAGTAGTGGTCGCACATCCAGCCGAAAACCGTGGACGAGATGAGTCTCCCCACCGAGAAGAGCGACGTGAGCAGGCCCATGAAGGCCAGGTCTCCGCCTAGCGACTTGTTGTAGAGGAAGAGCGTGGCCAGCACGACGCCGCGCGAGGACTCGGCCGAGAACTCGACGAAGTTGATGAGCGCCATGTTGATGTACCATTGCGTGAGGCGCCGGCGAGGGCTCGGCGTGAAGTCCTTGGGCGGCGCGTCGGTGGCCACGGCGCCGTAGGACGACGCACTGGTGCCGGAGTTGAGTCTGGGATGCTGAACCATCGCGGGCACGGGGGCAAGAGTGACTTGTGCGCTGCGCGGAGGATGCTGGAGTGATGAAAAACTGAGCTGTGGTGCCAGCAGCGAGCTTTGGGTGGCGCTGACGTCGGCTCCGTGTGCACTCGACAAGCATTCTGGGCGCGCGTGTCTATTGCGAATCTTGCTGGAGTGTTCTGGACCATACATGCAGAGCCGGGCGCGGAAAGTGGCTTGGTTTCAGTATGGGGCGAGATCCCGGAGATTCAGGATTTTCGTCAGCGCCGCCAGCAGATGTGAACCAAGCGGCAAAACATCCAAAGGCTTGGGCTTTGAGTTTCCGCTCGGCGTGGCTTGGGCGGTGGATTCTGACGCAGACAACACAGGAGAGCTCGAAAGCTCGGCACTTTCTGCTATCATTTGGGCATGCGTGCGGGCTCCACCATCATGGGACATGGCAATGCTCGGCGCGTGCAGAGGCCGAGCAGCAACCTTGCTGCTCAGGTTGCAGTGCTACTACTCTGCAGCTTGCACTGCAGGTTGCAGGGCTTGTGGCAAGTTGCTTTGCTGCCAGCAACTTCGAGTAAACTCGATGGCAGGAATGGATACTGTGTTGATTGGTCCAGACAGATACTAAACGCTGGAGTCAAGCATGACACTGCGCATACGCCAGCCCGATCCTGGTTGCCCCGATGGGTGGGATTCCCACTGGGAAGTCAACGGCAGCCTACAGCTTCGCCCAAAGGTGCAGCTTGAGCCCATTGTTGCAGTCTTACACCCTGCCAGGGTCCCTGGGGCCCAAGGAAACAGAGAGAAATCGATGGAAAGTGTCGCCTGTCCACCATCCGGAGCTAATGCGGTGCTCGCATCCTGCGCCATGCATGTGAGAACGCAGTGCAGGAGCCATGCTTGCACGTTACAGTACGGCTCGTCCTACACGTACCCTACGGAGCTACAGTCTTGCAATGTGAGCCCCCTCTTACACAAGGTTGCTGCGGTTTGCCTGGAGGTACCATTTCCTCTGGGTAATTGCTGCGTGGACAACTTCACATGGATACCACGGGTGCTGCGGCTGCGAAGCACACGGAGCTTTTTGTCGCCGTCGTGTCACCTTCGGTGTTGGTCTTTATCTAAGTACCTTTATTGCCTTCGCTGCAGATAAGCTTCTCAATCGCGATTCGATGTGGGCCGAACGACTGGGACTGCATTTCGTGACGACTGAAAGTTTGTACCAGTACGATTCATCGGCGAAAGGTCATTTTCCATGTACAACACACAAATCTACGTAGAAAATGGTGTACCATAATCCCTCTTCAAAGTTCGATCGACTGAGCATCCGCACAGTGTCCCCGAGCACCATGGCGCTGGAGCTGGCCAAGACCGCGGAGGTGCGTCGCTCTGCCTACGCAGCCACCCGTCTGCATCCCTCTCTAACGACACCTCTACTCTCTCCAGAACAAGATCTTCGACTTTTTCGAGCGCGAGGACGCGCTCGCGCGCCTCGGCCGGCTGCACAGCCACACGCTGGGCGTCGCGGGGGACGTGCTCAAGGCCCCGAAACCGCAGGAGGTCACGCACAATGTGCTGGATCTGGCGGTGCAGAAGGTGGTGGAGAAGCTCTCCTGGAAACTCATGACCGAGGCCCACGCCACCCCCACCAGCGTGGGAGTCCCGGCGCTGCTGGACCTGTGCATCGCCGGCGTGACCAGCAACTTCCTGATCAACAGCACGCCCTACAAGGTGCTGGAGGACCTGATGGAGGGCCAGACCATCAGCACCTGCGAGATGGTGTGGGAGCTGCTGGAGTCCCGCAAGGACAAGCTCACGACGGTGGGTAATCTAGTTGATCTTCTTCTTCTTCCTCGTCTTCGTGGCTGACTGGTGAGTGGCTGTATCTTGATCGCTGTAGCCGGATTTCATTGCGGAGAAGGGCCGCACGACCAAGGCGTCGCTGTGTTTACTGAGGATGTGCAACGCCCTGCTGCGTCGCTTGTCCAAGACGCACAACAGCGTCTTCTGCGGCAAGATCCTGGTCTTCTTATCGTTCACGTTTGCCCTGTCCGAGCGCTCTGCGGTCAATCTGACGGGCAAGGCGAACGTGACTAATGTGACTGTGTTCGAGGATCAAGACGCGTTCGACTTGGCTGAAGCCACCGATGCCGCGAAGGCTTCAGAGATTGTGCCTGGCCTCGAGGTGGGTACAGCGGTGCCTATGTGAGTTGTATGGTTCAGAGTAACCTGTGCTCACGTTGAGACTCGTTATCTTTTTTTTATTTAACGTGCAGATTGACAATGACCCGAGTGCGGATGTTGGGCCGATCGACTACAACCTCTATCGCACATTTTGGGACCTGCAAAGCTTCTTCCGTGAGCATCAAATGGCCACGCACTCGGCGGAAAACTGGGAAAAGTTTGTATGTTTTGGTCGTTGACGCGTTTGTATTTATCGATGTGAGCCCTTCAACTAATACTGTGGTCTGTTGAACGCAGTTCACCGAGCTGAATGTGGTACTCGCCGCTTTTGAGGGCAATGCATTCTCCCCGGATGACCTTGAGCGCTCGCGAGACTTGAGTGGTGGTGGCCCCATCCACTCGGCAGATGTGATCATGCACGAGGATTCTAGCACGAACCCTGCAGAGCAGGGCTCCCAGGAACACTTTTTCCAGCCGAAGTACCTGACCAACAGCCGCCTCTTCCGACTGCAGCTTCGCGACCCGATTCTGCGAGAATGCATGCTGACTCAATTCCTCATCCTTTTCAACGACCTGGCGAGGGCCAAGCCTCCAGCAGGAAGCACGACTCCGAAAGCCAAGTTTGCAGACCTGACCGAGCGTGTTGTTGCACTGCTCAAGCAAACGCCGTCTGACGGCGAAGGATTCAGCGAGATGGTCTCGTACGTTCTCGAACGCGAGCGCAATTGGGTCAAGTGGAAGCAGGAAAAGTGCCGGGAATATGAGAAATATCCGTCTGCGGCGGACAAGGAGGGATCTGCTCCTAAACCCGTGGTGAAGCGAGCTCGTCGGCAGCTCACGTCCCCTCTGCTGGAGCAGATTCTATCAGAAAGCTCAAAGCCGTCACAGATTCTGGAGAAGATCAAGGGCAAAGAACGAGGTAATCCTGGATCACTGCACTGCTTGAACGTGTCATTCAACTACATAACTAACATGTCGTGTTTGGCTCGTGATGCTTCAATAGCCTCAGAGGTCCCTTTGTCAGCGTACACGGAGCGCTTCAAGGAAGCTTGGGACCCCGAAAACGGAATCGAAGAGGAGTACTGGCCGGACAAGGATGAGATGGTTTGCTGGCGAACTATGCGCGCGGCAATGAAAGGTAGTGTGGATCATCTCGACTGGGCGGTCAAAGGTACTGGGGCCCTAGTTAAGGCTGTCCTTGGCATGGAAACCACCGATGCAAATAAGGACACGACGGACGCTGCAGCCTCAACACCCCGGCAATCCTCGTCTAGTGGAGATGCTGAAGTTGTCAAGAAAGAGCAGGAGTCTGGTAGGGAGGCGACCAAGGACTCGTCTGGTATCAAGCGGAAGCGCAGCGACTCACGTGGTGAAGCATAAGTGCATTGTTAGGCTCGGAGCTGCAGATTTCTTGAAATGATGAATGTACTTTCATTTTCATGACGCAACATACATCAGGAGATCTCGTATACAGACAGTTTTAAGCTGCTCTTATCACAAACAAGTACAGGGAAACCCTACGATATGCAGTACAGATATGTACTAAGCACCAGATATTCCAATAGTTGGAGCTGGTCGCTATAAATGGTGTTCGAGCTGGTCCATGAAGAAGCATGGACGAAGAAGACAGCGACAACGACTTCGATTTTGAGCAGTTCCTGTTGGCGGAGCAAGTGCGCAAGTATTACTATCGGGGCTTCTATCCTGTTGGGATCTTTGTGATTTGGTGAGAGAGGACTTTCAAATTGGGGTGGCGAATTTGGCGAGCTGACATCGTACATGTTGTGCGCAGGACCCTCCTACGCGCGAATTGCTATGATTTGAGCGGATGTGATCGTCTGGGCAACCCGCCCATTGTGTACGCTAGTAAAGTGCGATCACGTGGTTGCTAACACGCTCTGTGTTTTCATGCAAGTCGCGTTAACACACTATGCGAACGCTTTTCCCCAGTGTGGCAATATTGTTTTGTTAAGAATGCTGCTGCACTGCAAGGCTGATATCAACGCAGTTTCAAAGGTGAGTACTACATATCTCGCTCTGTGTAGCTGATACTTCGAAGTACTTCAATCAACACAGCAGTTTGTATTTGTGCTTTCGCCGCTTTTGTGCTAGCTACGTGAAACTGCACTCATCGTGGGGTGCCGCAACAAGCGGATGCGGGCGATCAAACTACTCCTTAAACGAGGTGCGCAGACAGATCTTGTAGATCGAACAGGGTATTCAGCACTACGGTGGGCAGTGATTCATGAACGCATCGATATGGTGAAGCTTTTGTTGCGCTACAACGCTTCCGTCACCACGGTACGTCGGGCAACTCCTTGCAGTCGCACACGTATTCAACTAACCGACTGAGCTAGGATTGCTACACCGCTGGCTCCGCGTTGGATATTGCGAAACGAGGCACATCTGAGCGCCATGCGATCATTCTAGAAGAACTCGAGAAAAAACTAGGTCGTGCATGTCTGCCTCGAACACGGTTCTTACAGCGGATGCGCTAACAATTGTACATGATGTAAATGCAGTCACTGAGCGTGAGGCTCTGGAGATTGAAATCGCCAAGGAAAAGGGTGAAGACGCAATTGCAGAGATTGAGGAATACCGGAGAACTCGCCAAGCCAAGGAAGAAGCCAAAGCAGAGGCCAAAACATCCAATCCAATAGAGCAAACCACACCAAAGGCGTCGAAAAGATCCCAGCAGTCTCGACGGCGAATCCTCGCGGGCGAATCGGTTGGCACTCGGTTGCCCACCCTTCCTGTAGAGCAGGTCGCGTGGAAATCCCTGGAAAGCAGCAGCGACAGCAGCAGCGACTGGATAAAATCCGCGACGGGCAAGTGGCAGACTCGCCAGCATCTGCTGGAGTCGGGGGCCTCCGTCGTCTCCACCACTGCGACAACCATGGTTGAGGCATTCGCACCTGACCAAGTAACAGTCCGCAAACTTCTCACGAGCGAGGGCAAGTGGCAAGCCTTCATGCGCCAGCATATGCCACATGCTGGAGCCCAAGCGCCAGCCCAGCTGACCGTCGAGGATCTGGACTGAGAAAAGCTTCAACCTGGGTTGAAAGGCCTGCGGTGGTCAAATTGGGAAGCTCATTCCCACTTCCGCCTCTTCAAGCTCACCAGCTCCAGCTCCACGACACCCTACCTACCGCCTCAAACTGATGCTCAGCATGGACTACAACACTAAAGACGGTGGCCCTCGCGTGATTCGCCTCCCGCCGTACAAGTATGTTCATGTCCTGGACACGAACTCGAACGTGTCGCGCGTGCTGGCGGGCCCGCTCACCTACACGCGGCAGGAGCACGAGCACGTGATGACGCCGCCTCAGAACATGATTGTGTTGCCGGCGCAGCACTACGTCGAGGTGCGCAACCCGGTGGTTTGCTCCGAAGACGGCAAGATCGTGCGCGACGCCTTCGACCAGGCCAAGCTCAAGCACGGCGAGATCGAGTTCCGCATCTTCGACAAGTACCCGGAGCCGTTCCCGTTGTATCCAGGCGAAGAGCAGGTTGGCGAGATTCGACAGCTTCGAGTGGTGGCCGTGGATACTGCGCTTCGCATCCGCGCGACGCGCAAGATTGGCAAGTACGTGGCCGGCGACGAGTGGCTCTTTGTAGGTCCTGCAACGTACTACCCACGCGTGGAGGAGGAAATCTTCGATGTCGTACACGCCATTGTCGTGAAGAAGAACCAGGCCATCAAGTTTCGAGCTGAGAAGAAGTGCACGGACTCGCAGGGAATCGAGCGCGACGCTGGAGAAGAGTGGCTTGTCCGCACGCCGGGCGCGTACCTCCCGCAGATCGACGAGGTGCATGTCGAGACGCTCCAAGCACACATCTTGACTCTGGATACTGCGCTGCATTTGCGGGCGCTGCGCACCTTCAAGGATGTATATGGCATCTCGCGCCGCGCCGGTGAAGAATGGCTGATCACGACGGAGACGACGGAGACGCATGTGCAGGACGTGCACGAAGAAATACTCGGGTACGTTCAAGTCACAATTCTCACCAACCGCCAGTACTGCATTGTGGTGGACCCCGTGGTGAACGGAGTGCAGCGTCGTGGCACTCGTGAGCTGCGCAAGGGTGAAGCTAGCTTTTTCTTGCAGCCTGGAGAGCAGCTAGAGAATGGCCGCGTGGAGGACATTTGTGTCCTGGCGGACGACGAAGCTGTTTTGCTCCAGGCAGTCGAGTCGTTCGTCGAGTTACCCGAGCAAGACGGTGGTGAGCCGGAGGGTGAGGATGGCGGCAACGCTCTTGCTAAGAAGACACCCAGTGGCGTTCGGCGTGAAGCTGGCGAGCGATGGATGGTGCACGGCCCACGCGAGTACATCCCACCCATCGAGGTGAAAGTACTCGAGACCCGTAGGGCTATCCCACTCGACGTGAACGAAGGCGTGTATGTGCGCGAACGCAAAACAGGCCACGTTCGTGCCGTCAAGGGCGAGACGTACATGCTACAGCCAACCGAGGAACTCTGGGCGAAGCAGTTGCCGCCGGCAGTGGAGGAACTATTGTCTTCCCAGGCATGCGGATCAGCCTACGTGACAGATCCTACACAGTCGAACAAGGTGGCGGCGAGCCTTGGCCGCACCTGGCACCCCACGAAGAGCGCAGCACAACAACGTGACCCCACGCGCGTAGTGACTTTCGAGGTACCGCACAATGCAGGCATCCAAGTGTACGACTACAAGACCACATCGTCGCGTATTTTGTTCGGCCCGACGCTTGTGATGCTTGAACCGGACGAACAGTTCACCGTCTTGCGTCTTTCTGGCGGCGTGCCGAAAGAGCCCAACGTGATCCGCACACTGTGTCTTCAGCTCGGCCCGGACTTTATGCGCGACCAGATCATCGTCGAGACATCGGACCATGCGCGGCTGTCACTCACCATTGCGTACAATTGGCGCTTCCGCGTCGACTCGACCAAGCCTACGGATGCTGCCAAGATCTTCAATGTCAAGGACTTCACTGGTGATGCGTGCAAAACGCTGGCGTCGCGCATCCGCGGAGCTGTCGCCGTGCAAGACTTCGACTACTTCCACAAACACAGCGCGCAGATCATCCGGACATCCATCTTTGGGCTGGACGAGAACAAGAAGCTGCGCGACGAGCTGGTATTCCCTGCTAACAACCTCTGCATCACAAATGTGGACATCCAGTCGGCCGAGCCCGTGGATCAGCTCACGCGCGAAAGCCTGCAGAAGTCTGTGCAACTGGCGATTGAGATCACGACCAAATCGCAGGAGGCGCGCGCTAAGGCCATCGCAATGAAAGAGGAGGAGGCGGCCAAGGGAGAGCTGCTAACGCAGCAGCTCGAGAACCAGTCGAGCGCAGAGCAAGCGCGTAAGAACTTGGTGCAGCTGACGGCCGAGTGCAAGGCCGTTGAGGAAGAGGCTACCGCCGTGAGTCGAGCACGCGCCCAAGCCCAGGCCGCGGAGATTGAGGGCCAGGCAGCCGTGCGGCAGGCGGAGCTGCGGGCCAAGGCCGAGCGCATCGAGCACGAGGCGCACGTGGCGCGCATCAAGGAGGATCAGATGCTGAGCGTGGCCCACGCCGAGCGCCTGGCCGAGGTGGAGGTGCACAAGAAGCGCGAGCTGATGTCCATCGAGGCCGAGAAGTTCCAGCAAATGGTGAGCAGCGTGGGGCAGGAGACGCTGGTGGCGCTCGCGCGCGCGGGCCCTGACGGCCAGGTGAAGATGCTCGAGGCGCTGGGGCTCAGCGGCTACCTCATCACCGACGGCAAGAGCCCCGTGAACCTGCTGGGCACGGCCGAGGGCATCATCCGCGGCATCTCCAACGCGGAGCAGTGACCGCCACTCGATTCGAAATGGCTGCAAAGCGCGCCACGTACTTGAGGTGATGGGCCGTGAGCCAGTTCGTGCCCGATCTTATGCGACATGTCAATCTGAAAAGGTTTCAAATTGAAACTCTCAGTTTTGCGCGCCAAATTCGACGGGCCTTCGCTTCGCGAGGGTGAAGCTGTTGCTCTGCTGGCGCAGCTCCGTTCGCTTCACCGGCAATAGCTTCACATAATTTACACTTGTATATGTTGCACTCTTCTATAAGAGAGATTTGCCCGTTTTTCAATAAGCTTTGAGCGTTATTTTATACTATAAAATTTATAGTGTACTGGAGTATCTCGTTCGCGCCGCGCGTGGCGCCGCCACTCCAAGTTGCAGGGCAACCGCTGGTGTGCACCTAAGCCAATCTTGGCAGCTGTTGTTGGGATAGCGCCTTCGAGCCCTATCGAAGCACCACAGAGTGGAGACGCATTGCAGCATGCTGTTGCAGGCAGCACGTTACTGAGTCAACCTCGCGCACAAGCCAGCGAAACGCCCGATACTAACAAAACAAAATCTTGAGTAGGGTCAAGGCATGGTTTGCAGGTAACGTTAGGCAGCAATAGGGCTGCTTCCTTCCTGGTTGAGAGCTGAGCGCTCGTCGTGAATGGCACTGTTGCAGCAAGTGCGCCACGAGTCTGGCGTTGCGAACGAAAATCGTCAAATTTTCCTCCGCATATTCTTTCTGAGTATGTTAAACGGCGCGTGGCTCGCGGGGAAGCTGCGCCCGCATTTGCCTGGCGTATCTAGCGGTCACTATGCGCCTCCAGCACATCCGCTGATCACCAGATGGGCGTTCTCTTTGTGTAAGCATTGTGTACAGTGCCCCTCTCCCCAGTTAGCCAATCGGCGTGCGCCATTTTATAGGCGGCCAGGCAGTCGCGCCATTTATTGGCATCTCACGTCGATCGAGTCGGCAGCGAGGGAAGCGCTTCGCGTCGGCCTCCTCCGCTGTGTCTGCGCGCCCCCGATCTCGCCGTCGGGCGGCTGGTAATCAAGAGTTTGCGTCCGTGCACCCTCCGCTGCAAGTGCGGCGCTCGGACTCGGCGTAGAGCCTTCGTTAGCGTCCCAGCAAGAGGCCGCACGTGCTCGTCCCAGCGTCTCGCGTTCTCCAGCGCGTTCCTGGCGCTGCAGCGCGTCAGTCTCAAGCCACACAAGGGTCTGAGTGTATTGCCCGCGTATCGTCTCCCCGCATTCCTGCTAGAATGAGCGACAACTGGCGGCTGGACGTCAAGTTCCAAGGCCACTCCATTGACCTGGTGGGGCGCTTGCCGGCCGAGAAGCGCTCGCTGCTGCGGGACTTCCCGCGTCGCCTGGCAGTGAGCACCAAGGCCAAGCTGTCCGCCATCCCGCAGAAGGGCTTCTTCTGCAAGTTCTTCGCCAAGAACTGCGAGGAGATGAAGGTGTACATGAAGAAGCACGAGTGCGCGCTGTGTGTGCAGTTTGTGGCTTCCACGTACACTTTCACGCTCTATCTGCTGGTGCCGGTGGTGCTGAAAGGACTCAAGTGTTTGCACCGACTACGGAAGAGCGGTAAGTGCTGTGCTAGAAGTGCAATGTTCTGGATTGCCGGTGGTGGATCGTGTTGCTGATATTTTTTTTATCTTTGTGGCGTGGGATGCAGGGGCGAGTCCGGATTCTATCAAGTCGCTGTGCACGGATCGAGATGGCGTGGTGATTGGGTTTATTGTGTCGGAGGTGAATGTAGAGATGGAGGAGAAGATGCACGAGCGGATGAAAGTGATGGAGGAGCTGGAAACGACTGCGAAGGCCATTTCGCACACGTTCGGCGACCCGATGCTCGAGTTTGACCTGCTGATTGATCAGTTGGATACGAAGCCGTCAGCGATTCAGGTGCGTTGAGTTTGTGTGATGAGTTGCGTGTTGAATGCAAGATGATTGCAATGCAAACGAGTTAGTGTGAGTGATCAATGCGTCTGACCGCATGTCCGTTTTATTTACATGAACAGGTCTGCTCGAAGTTCATTGTTCGTCATCAGCACTTGCACAATGCGATCTGCCAGAAACTGGCCCAGGCGATGGAGACGATGCAGTCTTCGAAGGCAAAAGCGAGCATTGTGTACGTTGTACACGATGTTGTCAAGTCGGTGAGAGCGAATTATCCTCAGAAGGAGCGAAATGCGAAGATGCGCGAGTCGGGATTGGTGCTCTCACTGGAAAAGATTCTGTATCAGCTTGTGCAGAAGCTGGATGGCGATGCGAAGCACAACGTACGTGTTATTTCTCTCTTTTTGCATCTTTGGCTGTTGGTATGTGTGATAGCAAGATTGCCGTGTTGACAAGCTTGATTTCTTTGTTTGTAGCCGAATGTTCGGGCAGTGTTTGAATTCTGGACGAAGTGGGGATTGCAGTTTTCAGCGCCGTTGGAAAATGAGTCAAGCTCGCGTCATGACCCTATGCTGAAGATTGATGAGACTTTCGAGATCTTGGAACGTGAGGTCTCCTTGGTATCGGACGCTTCTTCGTCGCCAATTAAGCCCACTGCTCCACCTGAGGTGGTGGCATTTATGAAGAAGCACAGCATTCAGCCGGGACCATGGGAGGTTTATCTCGGACGTGCCTTACCCCAAGAAATTGAGGAGCTTGACGCCGCGCTTGACCTGAACACGAAGTATTTTGGTTTCAACAACTGGCATCCGTCCGAGAAAGGAGGCAGGAGGGGTGGCGAGCTGTTCTTGCACCAGTATACCAAGGCAATGATGCCGTGGCTGCTGCATGCATCAACGTCGTCACCGAGCAAGAGCTCCGGAAAGCGCAAGCGCGTGAAGGACTCGCTGACCCTGCTGCGAGATGCGTTCCTATGCACGTGGGACCTCGATCCCACAGCAGCGCGAGCGGTATCTGACGTCGATCGCTCATTATTAGACGACATGTGGAAGAAAATGGAATACGTCAAGTGCCAGAATCCCTCAGCATTTGTCTTCGGCAAGGTTAGGCGGGTGAAAACTATTCAGTTTGCCAATAGTCCTGCGACCGACGCATTGCTGAAGACAATTGAAGACGAATCCAAGGTAAAATCGAGTGAGCTGGTCGCAGAGCTGACCAAGGTATTCAAGCTCGATACAATGGCTCGCGAATCCGTCGCGAAAGTGAAGTCGAAATCCGATCTGTGCTACATTGCGAAAGAGCTCTGCAACCGATGTCGGCATCACATGGTGGCAAACCCGTCAGTGCACATGGTCAAGCTCTGCCAAAAGGTTCTTGCAACTAAAAACCCGATGAAGGCGTACTCGTCCGCAATGAAAAGCATGATCTCTCGGCAGATGAAGATGTCCGCGGTGTTCGACAAGGAAGCAAAGTACGTTCTCAAATCAATTTGCTATCAAACGACTGATGACATGACGGCTAACCTGTGTGCGCCTTGTTGTGTTAGGAAAAAGCGGAAGCTGGAGAGTGTCAGCGCTTCTTCTTCTCCAGTCACTGAAAGCGAAGCCTCTAGCTCTCCTCACTCCGAGCTTACAGATGCCGAGCTGGCCGCAGTGAAGAGACGTATTCCGAAGCCCCCGAAGCTGCTGTTCAAAAAGGTTGACCTGAAAACGATCACATACCAGGAGACGAATGATAATGGTACAGTGGGTGTCGCGGTTTCCGGCATCCCCAACGCGGGGAGAGGACTCTTTAACCTCTCGGCACATCCGTGGCCAGCATTTTCAGTTGTCTGCATCTTCGGCGTTCGCCGGATTACGAAGGAAATGCATCATGACGGACTCAACAAGGTAGCCCGGTGCGGTGAGCTGGGCGAGACCTTCGTTGTAGTCAATGGCACTGTGCGCGACGTAGACAAGTTCCAGACTCAGTACGGCCACCGCTTGATGCCTTTCGACGGCTTGGTTGATGCAGATGGCTCCGTCGGTGGATTCCCGAACGACCGTGTGTACGAATACCCAGCGGACGTCTACTGGGATGCCTCGGGATTCTACAACAACTGCATCCTCGTGCCCGGCTGCGTGATTGAGAACCCTCAAGACACAACAAGCCCCATCGTCCTGAATCAGCTGTACATCGTGACGTGGAAGGAAGTAGCAGTACACGAAGAGTTCTTCCTGGCGTACGGAACGTCGTACTACGAGGACGACGAGAAGACCAGCACCACAAGCGAGGGGAGCAGCACCTAGTTAGCGAAATAGAAGCAGCGAGACCAAGCAGTTAGTCTTGCTACACCGTAACCTAAGAAGAACGACCCTATAGAAATCATCGACCAAGCAACTCAAGGCATCAGCTACCTGCTTCAGTATCGTCGGCCAGATATGATCCGACTGCACTCTCGGCCACTTACCCTGTCGGTCTCACCTTATCCTCACCCCCACCGACACGCTAGTGAAGTGAATGAACCTCGTACTGAACGGTTGATTGATTCATTGTTGTCTTTACTGGATCGGCCGAATTGGCCACTTCAGATACACTGCGTAGTTCTGATTCATATATACTCAAATACATTGCGAGTCGACGTGCGCCACTAGCACGAGATGGCGCTCATGTCAAGACGACACACTGGGCACGTGTGCTGAAGGTTCAACCACACGCGCACGCACCCAGCGTGGTAGTTGTGACCGCACGGAAGTCGCAGCGTTTGGTCGTCGGCCAGATCTCCGCAGCAGATCGGGCACTCCGAACTGTCGTCGCTCGCACCCCCGCAGTCTTGTCCAGCTTGGCAGGACTCCAGGGCCACTGGCGTCGGTGGCGAGGCTGGATTCTCATGGTATAGCACTCGGTCCACCGCGATCGCGCGGTGGTGAGCGATCTCCAGGAAGTCCTCCAGAAGGTGGCGCGTCCGCTGCATGTTCTCGCAAGAGGTGTCGCGCGTGAGGACAGCGTGCACCAAATCGTTCACGAACGCCTGGAAGGCGCTGCACTGGTCGTACTGAGTGCCGGTGCTGCTCGAGCTCCATACCCGGCGTGTGCTGAGGTTTGGAGTGCCCTTGATGAGTCGCCGCAATGCGCCGCAGCACTCCGAGTCCTTGCATCCGCTGCTCCCGATGCGACGGATGCCTTTGCGGAGTTGCGCGTGGTCGGCTGAGGTTTTGCTGAGCACCCACTTCTGGCGCATGACGCTGTCCGAGACGTAGAGAACGAAGAATAGCTGCGACGAAGACGCCCGCTGCGTCGAGGCCAAGTGGAAGAATCCTGCGCGGGCGAGGGGCGTGTTCTGCTGCTTCGCCGGAGAGCCCGGGGTCACCACGACGCTGGTGGTCGGCTTGGGCAGTTCGAACTGGGCCGACTGCTTCGCTGCAGCGGCGAAATCGCTCGCACCGACGACGTCTTCCAGCGAGATGAACACCATGAAGACGTTGCACTCGAGTTAAAATCAATCACAAAAGACAAAGTGAGGGAGGGTGGACTCGGCGAGCGCGAGATCCGACCGCCCGAACGCAAGGAACGGGAGGGTGGAACCTTCCGCCTGTCGGCGCGCCAACCGAGCCAACGGATCCACTGCTGCGGTCCCAGCCGGAGCCATCGCAATGCAACGACAACATCGAGGAGCTGCTGAGACAAAGCGATGTTGAATATAGAGCCGTTTCGCGCGCAGCCAATCCGAGGCGCCGACGCCCGACTTGCTCCATTCGCGGCTCGACTTTGCGGTGATATGAGCACTTGCACGAGAAGCGTGGAGAAGCTTTATTGCACGCGCGTCGCGGCTCAAGAAGAAGCTGCAGCGGAGATTTTCTCCCCGAAAGCTGTCGCGCGCCGCAACCGCGCTTCGAGACCTGCGACCACACGCGAGCTCATTTGTCGCGCTGCACCGACTGCCAAGAGCACATCTTGGGCTGCAGTCGTCGCGTCAGCCTCGCCTCAACGCACCCCAGAGAGCTTCGGCCACCCGGAAAGCGACAGAAGCCCTTGTCCACCATGGTCGTGGGCGATGTACTGGTACTGTTGGGTCGTCGTCCTCAATGCAACATACGAACGATCAAAAGCGAGAAAATTATTGGATACGTGCCGCGCTCAGCATTTTACTTTACGCAATAGAACCTCAGTCGTCATTGTCATTGTTCAACCCACGGTGGTTGCCTGTCCCCCGGCCATCAACGGCTGCATGGACGTCACTTCAAGCGTCTGATAATGGTTCATGGCTGTTGTGAGCCGCCCCCGTCCTGCTGCCGCTGCTGCTCCTGCTCGATCTCGTCTAGAACCCGGCGGTTCTCGATGTCGCGCAGCTTCTCGCGCAGGTCCTCGGGCGTGTAGCGGCTGTTGAGCGTCCGGTACTTCTTGAGCTGGATGACGCCCACCATCTCGCGCACCATCCAGCGGCCGCGCTTGATGGCCTTCTTGATGGCCACGGGGTCCGTGAGGTCGCGGTTCTGGAAGAAGGCGGCCTTGGCCTTCTCGCGCACGTGGCTCAGCCCCAGCGGGTAGTCGCGCCCCACGAGCAGGAAGCGCTTGTACAGGTCGCGCACCTTGGGATCCATCATCTCCGCTGATAAATAAAATGTGGAATAATCGACCAATCACAAGCCAAAGAACTGCCATTTATTTCTTGTTGTTGTTTATCAGACGGGAGCCACTCGTTAATAAGAGTTGTCATCGATCATGAGCGCCGTTAGCTCCGAGGTGGCACCGGACCGCCGCGCCGTGCCCGACGACTGCACGGCGCTGCTGACCGTCAAGATCGGCGACGTGTCCCGCACGTCTCGCAAGCACCTGACGCTCGTCACGTTCCCGTTCCTGCTGTCCGAGGGGCTGGACGTCTTCCGCGCCAAGGTGGACTCGTGTACGGACAAGGCGCTCGACAACTTCCGCGGCGAGAAGCATGTGCGCGAGGACACGGCGCTCTACATGCGCCCCGGGGCCCACTCCAAGCAGGCGGAGCTGGTGGAGATCACGCACAGCAACTTCGAGAGCCGCGTGGCCAGGAGCTACAAGAACTACCTCAAGCGCAAGACGGACGAGCCGTTCCAGTGCGAGGTCTACGTGTACGTCAAGAAGGTGGCGCCCCCGCGGCGTCGACGGCTGAAGGACGCGGACATTGGCGCCGCAACGGCGGGGCAAGTGGCTCTGCATGGGGATTTCACGCAGAACCAAGCGGGGGAACTGGCGGGGAGTGCCGTCCCCGACTCGAGGGACCTGCCGGTGGGGGTGAAGAGGAAGCGGTCGCTGGGCTCTGACGAAGGGGAAGAGCAGCACCATGTGCAACGGACTGTCCAGGTGCCGCACGCCGATGACGGATACTACCGCACGGTGCGGATGGTTGTGAACGGAGCCATTGTGCCTGTGCAGGTTAATGTGGCGGACATACTCGCGTGCTTCGCGGTGTTCCAGCAGCAACCGACGAGTGACGAGGTTCTGCGCAGCCACGAGGGTAGCGTCAATGGAGCTGCAGGTGCGGGGGCGGATGGCCTGCACGGCTGAAGTGACCACCGTAAGATGCGTTGTGGTCGACTTGGTAGTGCTGCGAGCTTTGTGCGTCGAGGAGTTAGTGGTTTGCACTTTACGTAAGAGAGAATCGAACAGATAATGCAGCGTGCATCACTCTATCGTATATATTGGGCGGATCACCCTGGCGCTTGCTTTTCTACAAATGTACTTACTACTGCTACTACTTCTCGCGTGTGTTGATGCTGCTTGCTTTTTCTGTTTCTTGTGCTTGTATACTTGCGCGTCCATGTTGGGGCTTCCGACTTCAGTCTTGAGCTTCACTTCATCTTCATCGTCCGCATCTGAGCTTGAGTTTCACGCTCCGAACGGGAGGCGCGGGCGATCGCGCGGCCAAGTCGTGGCAATCCGAATCAAATATCATACCATGCAGCTATCTCACAATCCAAAACTCGATATGCAAATCCAAATGCAAGAACGGCAACGGGGAGGTCGTGCACGCAGGAGGTTGCACGGATCGAGCAAGGCGAGCAAGGCACTCCGTCGAGCGCAGCCCTTCACGCCTTGCTCACTTCCCGGCTTAGTACTCCGAAGGCGGCAGTCCCGAAGCATCGAAGCTGCTCCATGACGACCCAGAGTCCCGTCGCGGCGGGCGTCCACCCGACGTTGACCGCTTGTCGTCCATGCTCTTCAGATACCGAAACTGGCCGGGAGGCTGCATGTACAGGTTTTGCTGCTGCTGCGCCATGTCGTACTGCTGGTGCTGGAAGCCGAATTGGTGCGCAGCTCCGCCAGCTCCTCGCGACGAGTGCTGCAACTGGAGCTGGTGTTGATGTACAAAACTCTGTTGCTGCTGGGCGGGAGGAGGCTGCGGCTGGAACGGGTGGTGCTGCTGCTGAGGGATGGAAGGTGGCTGGTTGTGCTGGTGATACTGTTGCTGGTACTGGTGCTGCAGCTGCAGTTGCTTCTCCATCGAGGCTGCAGGAGGCGGCGGCACGGGTGACGTCGGGAAGTCGCCACCAAAGCCAGAAGCTGCTGCGGCAGCGGCAGCAATATGCGCCGTGTTGCTCTCCACCGTGCGCAAGTCGCTTTGACCGTGCGCGAAGCGGCACTCCTCCTTGGTGTAGTTGCAGTTGCCCTTCAAGAAGTAGTAGCACAGCTCGGTCTTGTAGCTTTGCAACCTTGGGGTCGCAGCTGGGAGAATCTGCTGACTGCCACTTGCTCCGCTTCCAGAGCCTCCGTCACGCAGATCGTTCACACCGTGTGCCATGGGACAGTCGCGACGAGATTTCGTGCATGTTCCGTTCTCGTAGGCTTGGCAAAGCCGAGTCTTGTAGTTGGGTCCGTGCTTGCTGCTACTGCTGCCACCACTCGAAGCGCTGGGACGTACCAGATCGCTTTCACCATGGGCAAACGAGCAGGTGCGTCGCGTCTTGTTGCACTTGCCTTGCATGTAGTACATGCAGATTTCGGTCTTCCAGTTGCTCGACGATCCCGGAGGCGGCCCGCTCGGCCCGCTCTGGCTGCTGCTACGGTGCAAACTCGTTTTGCCGTGACCGACCGACGACGACCGAGACGGGGAAGGCGATGCCATCGAAGTTAGGCTGCCGCCGCTCTCTGCTCGTGCTCCAGCTCCAATCGCTGGGTTGAAGCTCGGGTGCGTGTGCAAGATGTGATCGATCGCTGCGGACTCTTGGCCGTCAAATTGCAGCAAAGTCGACTCCAATTCCTCGACCGAAATCGAGTCGAAGAGCTCCGACAGCATGGACAACTGCAGAGGAGAGACTGCCGATCTCGAGGACGTCGAGGCCGGGCCACCCGAAGCAGACAGTCTCCCACCCTCGCTCTGGCTTGTCTCCTTGGGCTCATTGCTGGTGACTTCGGCGTTGCCCTGTTCCACTGTTGAGCTAGTCGCGCCTTCAGGAGCTGGTGATGCTGTCAGCGATAGAGACTCCATGTCGTCCTTTACTTCAGAAATTGGGGGCGGCACTTTGTCTTCGCCGAGAGTGTCACCGGGGAAGGGCCTGGCGTGTTTGGGCGTGACTTGAGGCGAGTCCAGCAGCGACGACGGCAAGAACTGGCCCATGAGCTGGCTGCGGAGCGTCTGCGTGCTCGAAGACGGGGACGGCGGCTCGTCTTCATCGCCACCTTCGTGTTCACCTTCACCTCTGGACGAAGCAGATGAATAAAAGTTAAACGCCATGAGATTCGTGCCGGACGAGGCTCCACCGGGTGCACCAGACCCGCTTCCACCACTACCGGAGCTGGCCAGGGGCTTGTTGGGCGAGGTCCACGGGTTGTCACTCTGTTCCTGCAGCGATGGCGACTGCGGAGAGCGGCCACCACCAGACCCAGTGTCGTCGCCACTGCGTCTGCGCCGCAGCTCCTTGATCTCGTTCTTGGCGTCGATCAGTGCCAGTCGTTCGTCTACAAGATCGCGCTTCAACTTGGCCGAGAGCGTGCTGAACAGCGCCACGCGCTGCTTCGAGAGCCGCTGCTCGTCGCGCAGCTCGTCCACGACCTGCTGCAGCTCTCGCACTTGCAGTCGCGAGGCCTGGAGCTCGCGCAGGATGCGGCGCACGTCGTCGCTGAGCTCGCTGTCGCCGTCGGCGGCCTCCTTCCCGTGCAGCTGCTCGTCGCCCGGTGCCCCCGCGGCGCCGCCTTTCTCCATCTTCATAGACATAGCCAGTGTTCAGAGACAGCAGATCACATCAGTCAGTCGTTCGTGAAAGCGAAGGCGCCGGGCGCGAGCGCGAGGAGCGCGGCCCGGCAGTTGAGTTAACACATGCAACATGGCTAACTAATTGATGGTCCACCGTTGGCGGTAGTGACGATCCGACTAGAAAGTTCAGCAAACGCGGCGAAAATGCTTACCCATGCAAACTTGGCGCTGGGCTCCACGCTGTACTCGCGGCCGATGTCCGACACGACCTGCAGTTACCGCCGCGCCACGCAGGACACGCCATATACGCATACATAATAATCGTCAGTGATTTGAGCTGCAGAGTGTCATTGGGGAATCTGGAAGGGTCCGCTCGCCGGGCAACTCCAAACGGTTGGCACCAGAGCAGCAGCACCGGTGTCTGGGGCACAAGGACACCGGAGGAGCTCCCGGCCAACGGACCCCTGAGCGTTGCGAGCTGGACACTGCTGTCGTCACCACGCACCTGGGCGAGGGACGTCTGGAAGGCCTGGCTGATCTCGGTCGCGACGCGGCCCAGCAGTTCGCCGGTGTCGGGCGTCGGCGTCTGCTGCTCGGCGTCCGCGACAACGGCAGCTTCTCCTTCTTCGGAGACGGCGTCCACGGGCGCCGGCTCGTGCTGCGGCTCGGCTGGCGAGCCTGCTGCGGCCGCCATGGTGTCAATTGCGTGCTGGGGGCTCTGGGCAAGCGTCCGTCTGGCTGTCGGGCTGGGTTGCGCGGGCTGCTGGCTGATGGTCTGGTGGCTAGCTGGAAGGTTTGCGGTTGCGAAGTTGCCTGGGCGCTGGCTGCCCGGGCAGCAAATGCGCGGGTCGGGCGGCCGGCCTGGCAGATGCTGTTGTCAAGTGGCTCGCGGGAGCAGGAAGCCACTTGGGTCAGGACGCGACGCCGTTCGCTTTTTTGCTCAACCTCGGCGTCCTGAGCGGCACCAGGCTGTTGTTGCAGTGGCAGAAGAGACAAAACCAATTTTGAGTCTTTTTGCGACTTTAGCGCAACTCAGCTCGCAGAGCTCGCACCTCGGCAACGCTTGGTAGAGAAAATTCGGCCAAGCTCGGCGCGAAAAGCGAGTGGCGCGACGACTAAATCCGGGAGGTGGGGGTGTCCTCGGTCGGAAGTATCGAGTTTTGGTGCGCGTAATACACCGCGTCCTCGCCATTAATTTTTCGGAGCCCGTGAGCGCATACCAGATGACATGCGGTATGGCAGGCGCGGGCCATACTATCTCTCAGTGAACGACCTGGATGGGTACAGAAATATTAGAGACAAACAGGTTATCAGGTGCGCTTTCGAGGAATTTTCGAGGGGGGACTAATAATGGAGCTCTTCCCGCCGGGACGATATTTTTGACGGATTCGAGGCATGTCGCGCTATGCTAACGCCGCTATTGTTGGCGCGGGAAGCGCTCGAAACGCCTGTGGCCCAGCGGAGCTGATATGCACAGCAGCAAGATGCCCGGTGGAGCTGATACACGAAGCAGGAAAAGCTGCATGCTCGGCGTAGCTGAGACGCCAAAACAAAGCAGGCCAGTTCCATCGCTGACCAGTAATATCTTCAAGGACGCGAATGGCGCCTAGCGCACATTCAGCGCGCTTGGTGCAGGGTTCGGAGAGAATGGGATTGGGGGTCGCGCCAGATGGCGAGAACACGGCGCCATCTCGTGAGCTCTGTAGTCGCCCGACGACTGGCGGCGATTCGTTCGTCGGCATGGATGCCAAACCGTAGAACCGTAGGTAGGTCTCTGAAGATACCAAGCAAAGGGCGCGCAGTTGTGTACACATTTTTGGCGAAACGGTTCTGTTTCCTAGTGTATTCCTCAGGAGTGTATCATGGTTCTGTTTCCTAGTGCATACCTCAAAGTGGATCAGTAGAGATCGTGGAAAATCCGATAGAATCTGTTGTATTATTTTGTAGTTGCAAGTACCGCCAGCAACGAGTGAATGATGGTCTTACTGGGTTCAGCTGCCTATCAAGCTATAACATCACCGACTTCCCAAAATGGGAATCTCAATCAAGGTATGCTACACACCCATATAGTGACATTGCATTGGCTCCTTTAATGCGGGACTTACTAAAGCTACGTGATAAATTGCTAGAGCTACTTGGTGGTACCTAGAACGCAAATGCCTGTATCCTTACTTGGGCTACAATTTCATAAAACAATTCGCTAAGGCACACGACAAGCAAATACGTCGCCCGATTCCGTCGTAAGCTTCGCTGTGACTAAAGCCATTCTGCTCGCTCACCTCACCCCCATGAACATCCTGAATGACCAACCATCCTCCTTTCCAGGAAAAGGGGGCTGCTGTATGGATACTCATCAAGTAGCCGCAACGATGCACCCAAAATGAGAGCACGCGCTCATATACCTCACTGCCAAACACGCAGCGCATCAAAGCTCCGAAAGCAAGTCCCTGTTCTGCCAACGCTGCTGAGTTCGCTGCTGTTTGCCCACATCACGCTGCTTTGCTATACATGTAGCTGTTTATCAGAAAACTTAGCATCTAGCTGTTTCAGATATTACCTGTAGGCCTGGCGGGCATCAAGTATCGCTATCAAGGGGCAAGCTGGATGGTAAGAGCCCCCTAGGCCCTGAAGATTCTTCAGCATCAGAACGGCTAGAGCTCCCGAATTGTGTACCAAAATCTGGGTACCACCAAGTGGCTCTAGTACTTTTGTCACGCTCTAGTACTTTTGTCACGCAGCTTTAGTAAGTTCCGTTTAATGCTACATTATCTTGCCTCAATAGTGCGTCCGGGCTTGATAAGCAGTCCTCATGTTAATCGCAATAGAGGCTAGAGAAAGTCTCATTGGTGTAGACAGCTACAGTACCCGGTTCGGCAGGTAATGGCCGCGCATTTGATGCAAAATACTGAACATGAAATTGCGTTTCAGGGCGTATCTTGTACTGTCAAAAAGTGAACTTGGAGGCACCAATCACACAGATCACATGTCTAGAGCTAATATTTACCGATGTGTGCTCATACATAATATAATTATTGTGGAAACCGATTAGATTGTCTAATTGGGATATAAATCGGTTGATTAAGCAGATGATTAAGCTTAATCGGGTCTGATTTGCTAAACCCGACCTCCTAATTAGATCGACAGACTAAGATTTGTACTCTGATTTGACAGAGCGGTCAGTTGTGCCTACAACGCCATGTGGCTGATTTACAGTAAGCCCGGGACGGCTGATTTGCATGCTAATCAGCCCGAATGTCCGACACCCACACGGCATTCGGTGGCCGATTTAACGTAAAACCGCCAAACGCTAATGCTGACGGGAAATGACAGCGCAAATACATGACGTCAGAACTTGATAAATAGAATGCAGTACACATCGAAGCTCACAGAAGCGTATTTAATGCACGCGATGCTATTTCTCGTTAGTAGGTACGCGAATCACTCAGCTCGTGGCGGTAAGTGGTCGCTCGTCGTATTTCTGGCGGGTAATGAGGCAACCCCCATTTTATTAACCTTACACCGATTTATACCCTTACCAATGCCATATGAAATCATAAGGATCCCCGATTTAGTACCAGTCAAATCTCTCATGAACGCTGCTTTATCAGCTAATCCGCTCGGGCAATCTAATCGGTTTCCACAATACATACAACATCTTTATACTGGGATAGGAAGCGACGAAGTGCTGATAGACCAGCCCAAAAGGATTAATTCGGGCGATGTCCCCCCTTCCAATCGACACCGGTGATGAACCGGTAACGTCTTTAGACAATTTACAGTAAGTGATGTCTATTGACCGAGTGTTTTAGACTTCTCACGAATGATGGAGGCTGGTCCAGTTCATTTGCAAATTCGTCGAGTTAGATTCGTCATTGATTTTGCTCTGAAATCGGTTGTACGTCGTGACCATAGTGGCGATACATTGTCGGGCAGATTCTGCGGCTGCGAAGCAGGCGCAGGAGATGCCCGTGGAGCGTGCGGATTGAGTTTATCAATGGCGATCAAAGGTGAGTTAACCAATCCTATCCCAGTCTTCGCGAAGCCCAAGTATATAAAATGGTCCCTGCGTGTGTTATCTGAATTTTATACTGGGATAGGAAGCAACGTTAGTGTTGCTATCGCAGACCAAATCGGATTATATCCGTGGTACATCAAGTCAAACGATGACCCCTCTTGACATCTAACTGGTACATTTTCTTGAAACCGGTACGACTCTGGTGCCGCACTGGAATGTTTATACGCGTGGGCAGTCTGAACCAGTAGGATACCCTTCACACCGGTATGACCTCGGTTTGCAGATCGAACCGGTGTGCTACCGACGATACTGATATGAATCAGTACAGATATTGAGCTGGATACCGATCGACGAAGTGAAGTAAAGAGAACGCTTGAGGTGGACTGTACAATAGCACTCGAGATACTAAGTAAACATTTACATTTTCTACAAGCTACAAACAGATTTCAACCAAGGTTCGAATTTAAAAAATTGTAAAGCATTGCTTGATAATATCTTGCATCCATTACAGTTTTAACCCCTTAGTTACTTTATGTTGGAACGCTCAACATAAGCGGTGTATACCCTAATTCCCTCTTGTCGCAGCGTTTATGCTATTTTGGAACGCTCAACATAAGCAGAAATTTCACTTGGAGTTTGTATGGATCATTTTCATTATCCTGGTATACAAAAAGTAAGATCTTTTTCTGTGTGTAAAATGGGCACATGTACAGGACTAGGTTTGCCTTTGGTGCGGGCTTTTTCCAAAGTGCAAGAGAAAGGATACTGCCACCCATCAAATTGGTGGCCGACGGCCACTGATTCCCCTCATTCGAGAAAACGACCGCCAGACGAACAATGGTCACCCCCGTCGGGAAGACACCGCGCCACACGCTCACGCCGGCGGAGAAGAAGAATTGTCTGGAGGCACTGCGGCGGGAGCGACAAACTACGCCGCGCGGAAGAGAAGGAGGCGAGGGCAGGAGCTGCAGCGGCAGCACCCCCGCAGAAGAAGGCGGCGAAGACGATGGCTGCAGCGGCTGCGAACCTCGCGTCTGCAGAGGCGAAGCAGACCGTGGCGGAGGCAACGACGGCAGCTGCGGAGGCAATCCCTGGCGCGGAGAATAAGGGGGCAGCCTCAGCAGAGCCGAAGGCGACGGGCAAGACGCGGAAGGTGCCAACTCGAAAGAAGGTGCCTGACCAGACTCCAGCTATGTGGAGGAGCGGGCCAGCGCCGGCCGCGATCGCCGCACGCGCTCACGACGCCGCACCAGCAGCAGTCGCATTGGAGGTTGCAGGCGCAATGGCCAGCATTGTGGCGACAATTGTGGAGGAGGCGACACCGGTGAATGGAGCGACGCCCCGTGCGGCAACTGACTCCGTGACGAGCAGCACTCGGCCAGGCACGAAGCCATCCAGCTCCGGCAAGCGCAAGCGCGTTGGGACAACGGAATCGAGGAAGCGCCGACGCAGGATCGTCGATGAAGACGGCGCAGATAATGAAGGAGACAATGATGAAGAGGTACGCAATGCTGGACGAAGGCAACATAATGTACTGGATATTGTCGTTTATTCAACATATCGCTAACATAAGCTTACTGTTTATTTGATTCTAGGTGGATTCAAGTGAGGCGGCGAGTATCAGTGCAGCCGCTGCCGGTGTGGACGCGCGTGTTGATATTTCACTGGATTGCGTTGTCGATGGTGACCCAAATTTAATGGACGACGGGACCGCCGCTTGTACATGCCTCAACTTGGACGAAGATCCCGACGTGGGCGAGGAACCTAAAGGCACCGGGCGCGTACGCGAGGAGCGCGGCCCGGCAGTTGAGTTAACACATGCAACATGGCTAACTAATTGATGGTCCACCGTTGGCGGTAGTGACGATCCGACTAGAAAGTTCAGCAAACGCGGCGAAAATGCTTACCCATGCAAACTTGGCGCTGGGCTCCACGCCGTACTCGCGGCCGATGTCCGACACGACCTGCAGTTACCGCCGCGCCACGCAGGACACGCCATATACGCATACATAATAATCGTCAGTGATTTGAGCTGCAGAGTGTCATTGGGGAATCTGGAAGGGTCCGCTCGCCGGGCAACTCCAAACGGTTGGCACCAGAGCAGCAGCACCGGTGTCTGGGGCACAAGGACACCGGAGGAGCTCCCGGCCAACGGACCCCTGAGCGTTGCGAGCTGGACACTGCTGTCGTCACCACGCACCTGGGCGAGGGACGTCTGGAAGGCCTGGCTGATCTCGGTCGCGACGCGGCCCAGCAGTTCGCCGGTGTCGGGCGTCGGCGTCTGCTGCTCGGCGTCCGCGACAACGGCAGCTTCTCCTTCTTCGGAGACGGCGTCCACGGGCGCCGGCTCGTGCTGCGGCTCGGCTGGCGAGCCTGCTGCGGCCGCCATGGTGTCAATTGCGTGCTGGGGGCTCTGGGCAAGCGTCCGTCTGGCTGTCGGGCTGGGTTGCGCGGGCTGCTGGCTGATGGTCTGGTGGCTAGCTGGAAGGTTTGCGGTTGCGAAGTTGCCTGGGCGCTGGCTGCCCGGGCAGCAAATGCGCGGGTCGGGCGGCCGGCCTGGCAGATGCTGTTGTCAAGTGGCTCGCGGGAGCAGGAAGCCACTTGGGTCAGGACGCGACGCCGTTCGCTTTTTTGCTCAACCTCGGCGTCCTGAGCGGCACCAGGCTGTTGTTGCAGTGGCAGAAGAGACAAAACCAATTTTGAGTCTTTTTGCGACTTTAGCGCAACTCAGCTCGCAGAGCTCGCACCTCGGCAACGCTTGGTAGAGAAAATTCGGCCAAGCTCGGCGCGAAAAGCGAGTGGCGCGACGACTAAATCCGGGAGGTGGGGGTGTCCTCGGTCGGAAGTATCGAGTTTTGGTGCGCGTAATACACCGCGTCCTCGCCATTAATTTTTCGGAGCCCGTGAGCGCATACCAGATGACATGCGGTATGGCAGGCGCGGGCCATACTATCTCTCAGTGAACGACCTGGATGGGTACAGAAATATTAGAGACAAACAGGTTATCAGGTGCGCTTTCGAGGAATTTTCGAGGGGGGACTAATAATGGAGCTCTTCCCGCCGGGACGATATTTTTGACGGATTCGAGGCATGTCGCGCTATGCTAACGCCGCTATTGTTGGCGCGGGAAGCGCTCGAAACGCCTGTGGCCCAGCGGAGCTGATATGCACAGCAGCAAGATGCCCGGTGGAGCTGATACACGAAGCAGGAAAAGCTGCATGCTCGGCGTAGCTGAGACGCCAAAACAAAGCAGGCCAGTTCCATCGCTGACCAGTAATATCTTCAAGGACGCGAATGGCGCCTAGCGCACATTCAGCGCGCTTGGTGCAGGGTTCGGAGAGAATGGGATTGGGGGTCGCGCCAGATGGCGAGAACACGGCGCCATCTCGTGAGCTCTGTAGTCGCCCGACGACTGGCGGCGATTCGTTCGTCGGCATGGATGCCAAACCGTAGAACCGTAGGTAGGTCTCTGAAGATACCAAGCAAAGGGCGCGCAGTTGTGTACACATTTTTGGCGAAACGGTTCTGTTTCCTAGTGTATTCCTCAGGAGTGTATCATGGTTCTGTTTCCTAGTGCATACCTCAAAGTGGATCATGATTTTGGTGTAGAGATCGTGGAAAATCCGATATAATCACCCAGAGTGGCGCGTTGCTTGCTGCCCAGGAGCTCCCGGAACCTGATGAACACTTCGCTCATGAATCTCGGATCTTGATCATGCCGAATCATGGAAGACGCCCCGAAACTCATGAAGACATTCATCGTAGGCTTCGGCGACATCATGGGCGGTGGTTGATGACATCGGTTGACACATCACATACCCAGAGAAAGCATCCTGTAATAGTAGCAGAAACGTGTTTCCTCGGGTTGACATGAGCATGTGCGTCACGAAATCCATGGAGACCACCTCGAATGGGTGTCTAGGCTCAATGTTGCCTGGCGACGGTCCTGGATTGGGGGGTCTCCCTTTCCCACTGGCGCAATCAGTGCACTCTTCACGAAACGCTCCACGTCTGCATACATGCCTGGCCAATAGAACTCCGAACGTAGACGCTCATGCGTTCGTGTAATACCTTGGTGTCCACCTTGTTAGTCTTCGTGTGTATAATGAAGCCGATCTTCTCGCAGCGCTTCCGGGACGACCAAGCGCGGCTCATCCTGGCCGTCACGTGGACGATCCCGGGTGGATCGACTTGCTCGGTCCACCCGACGCTAGAGGCGAGCACGCCTCTAGCGTCCAGGGCGAACAAGTCTGCCACCTTGGCGATCTTTCGCAACCTGTGAGAGGAGAAGTTATCTGTCTCTCCATTCAGGAAGTCCCGAATCTCCATGAGGTAGTCGTCCTGCTCCTGGTGTGCCTTGATGCGGCGCCACCGTTCTGCCTGGTATTCCAAGGGCCCCATGGGTGGGCGCTCGTCCTGCGTGCGTCCTGCCTGAGTCCTTTTCAGCACCGCCATTACCCAGGCTGCCTCCGTGAGCGGGACAGATTCCGGACCGGGGCCCGGCTCCACTTCAGCGGGCATTCCGGGAGTGAGGTCAGAAGGACTTCCCAAATCTGCGGGTTGTTCATCTGGATCAGCAGTCATCGTCTTCACCAATTGCTCTCGGAGCTTGGACACCACTTCCAAGTGCTGTCGTTCCTCGTCATCCTGAATCGTGCAATCTTCGCTAAGGGTCAGTGTCTTGGAGGTCAAGTAGTCCGCGGCCTGGTTGTATTCACGCTTAACGTGTACCAGTCGGACTGTCCTGAATTTCTCCTTGAGCACTTGACATTCGGCGATCCTCCGCTGCAGGTTAGGCTGGTTGCAGTTGATGAGTCTTTGCACCTGCTGAATGACGTCCTCGAGTCACCCACGACCACCAGGTCCGCGATGTCCCGCTGGAGCGCCATGGCCATGCCTTTCAGTAATCCATAGTACTCCGCGTCGTTGACAGTCACTCCATCCAGGATGTAGCCGCGTGCCTCGATGACAGTCCATTCGGGAAGCTGCCACAGTATACACCCACAACTTCCTTGTTTCGTGGACGTCTTAGCCGCACCGTCGAAACTCAGTGCGACTTCTGGATAGTCTGGTTCCAACACCTCCACACTCACCGCAGGCGGCGCCTTCACTCGCCCCTTGGCCGGGATCAACAATTCGGCCACCGCATCTAGATGCTCTCTGGGCGTGATACCCGCCCCTAGGATGGCGACCAATCCGTCCTCATCCCTTTGCACTTTCCGGATGTCCAGGTCGTAATGTGATAGGGCTACGCCCCAAGGCACTGTGCGACCATCCGTGGTTTTCGGCTTGATCACCCACTTCAGGACGGAGTACCTGGTATACACGACCAGCAGGCGTCCTTCGACCAGGATCTTGAACACTTGAACACTTGGAGCACCTGAATGACTGCGAGCTCTTCCTTTTCGGCGAGGTGGTACCGGAGTTCGGCATCATTCAGGACACGCCCCGTGAAACGTACAGGTTGGATCACGCCATCATACTTCTGTCCGAGGACGGCACATGCCGCCCACAGATTCGCATGCGGGATGATCACGAACGGTTTAGTCCGGTCCGGGTGTCTGAGCATCGGGGTGGATACAATTTTCCTTTTCAGGATGTCGAACGCCTCCTTCGCCCGAGTCAGATCTCGACCGACCCGAACTTGATCGTCCTTTAGCTCATACAGCACCGCAGCGACCACTGGAAAGTCCTCGATGAACTTGTGGTAATAATTCAGACTTCCCAGAAAAGATTGGACCCCTTTCAGGGTCTTCGGGAACGGCAAGTCCTGGATACCCTTCACAATCTTCGGAGTCGCTCGAACCCCTTCAGCTCCGATCTCATGAGACAGGTACGGGATGGTCCGCTTCCCGAATTCGCTCTTGGGCTGACTGATCGAGAGGTTTCAGTACCGCAGTCAGTACAACAGCGCGTTCAGGTCGTCGCACAATTGGTCCCAAGTGGCGGGTCCATGTGCGATGTCGTCGATGTAGGAGCTCCGCCCCAGGACCGGGCCCATTTGGGGTGGCGCAGGTATGTTGCGTTTGAACACCGTCATCTAGTCAGTCAGGGCGGGCAAACGCCCCTCTTCCGGGGCGGCTTCGGCATCACCGTCATGCTCAGCTTCTGGCCGTAAAGGGTCCGACTTCAAGTGGTCCAGCACGTCTTGGTCCATAGCTTCCTCCGCGGGCGGCAATCGAACGAAACCCCACAAACAGTTGTTGATCACATGTTGGTAGACGAGCAGAGCGTTTTTCAGCCCGAATGGCATCCGTACCCACTGGAAGTGCCCGAATGGGCACACGAATGCCGAGATGAGCTTGGCTCTCTCCCGTCATCCGGATCGCCCAAAACCCACGTGCCATGTCCAAACTCATGAACCACATCGCCTTCTCGAAACCGACTAGCAAGTCGTTAATCAGAGGCAACGGGTAACTGGACAGCTGGATGAAACCGTTCACGACTCGATAGTTGATGCACATCCGAATGTTGACGCCGTTCTTCTTCAGGACGACCACAATCGGGGAAGCCCATGGCGATTCAGAGTGTTCGATCAGACCCGTCTCCAAACGTTTCTTCAAGAGTTCGTAAACCTTCACCATAAGATGCGGAGCCACGGATCGGAGCCGCTGGGCCACCGGCTTCGCATCTCCGACGTCTAGGTCGCACACCACGCCTCGGGCAGGCGCTGTAGCGGCGTTCCCGTCACCCAGGAAGACTTTCATGTGGTACTTCAGAATGTCCTTCAGCTTTCTCTCCTGAGCAGGAGTGCTCACTCCGGGCTCACCCATGTCGGCCTCGTCAATGTCGCACTCCGAGCTGAGATCCGGCAATTCAGGGAGCAGGGCCAGTTGGTCCCTCAGCTGTGCCATCAATTCACTTCCACCGTGAATGTACACCGCGGGTTCCAGGTCCAACTCCTCAGCGCTCACTCTCATGCAGCGAGCGTATTCAATCTCCAGGTGCCTGAGTGGAGTGCTGTCCATCGCGGACGTAGGCAAATCTACCTCGCATTCTTCCTCGACTTCATCTTCAGGTTCAGAGTCCGGAGCTGCTCGCCGAGTATTCCTCCAGGGTGTTGAGCCCGGGATCAAGATCTTCATTCGACTCTTGATCGTCCGGCACATCTTACTCCTCGCCCCGGGGAATCTCCTCCACTTCCACCGGAAACGTAAACTTCTTCATTCCGGTTGAGGGCGAACTCTCTGTCCCATAACTACTCGGGTGTTTCTGGGGTTGCATGAGGCGAGGCCGATGAAACCTTTGTTGCCCAGGGGGGTTCGTATAGCACAGCCCAAGACTGTTCCTCAGGGGTAGACCCAGAGAATCGACTTGAGAGTCAACAGCAAGAAGATAGACCCAGAGATTCGCAGCCGCAAAGCTTTAAACCCTGAGAATCACACTCCTTGGTTGGCGTGGGTACCTTGTGTAATCCCTGTCGGCTCGTTTGGCTTCGACGGAACGGCATTCCACCGGTTGAAAATTTAGCCTCGAAGAAGTGCGGGAGCGCACGTCTACTTCAGAACGCACCTCCACACCAAAAGGCAAACCCAGAGAATCCGATCCCCTGAAACCCAGAATATCACGAATTCAGGGTCCAGGATTTCAGTCAACTCTGGGACTTGGAACTCAGAAGACACCTTACCCAAATGCCCTCCTAGCTCGATAAAACCAACAAATACAGAGTATACAAACACTACAACTAGCCGTCACTTATTCTTTTGGACCCTTGGACGGTGGGTCACTCACAGACTAGGCTCACTCGAGTCTGAAATTCAGGGGCCTAGCTCCCCTGAGATCACACAAACGCACACCACCTCCAATAAAGGAGGAAAATACAATCACTATCAGTTACCTTCCCTTCATACAAGCAGTCAATACAAAATCCTGGAGGCGACTACCTAGCACCCCAGAATACCCTCTGGAATAATATGAAATGGACTGCCACGAGCACAGCAAGTGACCCAACTAGGATATGGAATAGATGGATCACTCCAGGAAGCTCAAGGCCGTCGCTGGTCACCACCTAACTGGACTTGAGTTGATGGAGTCCACACAGACGGCTGTCCTTCGCCGTTGATGTGCCCGTAGCGTCCCGCGGTCGTAGTCTCAGTTCCTCCGGATTTCCGTCGGCAGGCTTGGCCGAAGTCACTTGCGCAGTACAGGGAAAATTGAACTCTGTTTGGTTTTTATCAGCTACTTCTCTCTCTTTCGCTCTCTCTTCTTCGGGCAAATATCTTCTGTTCATTATGCTTGGGGTCAAATGTCTTGTCTTGAGTATACCTTGGGTTCAGCGGTCCAAACTTACGATCGGCTTGCGAATCCATTGTCGCACGGCGCGAAAGTGCCAATTGTGGGTCTTTAGACTTGGTTTAGTATGGTGCAGGACTCCCTCTCGACTCCTCGAAAGTATCCAGTCTACGCATCCACAACGGTTCTTCAAGGTCACGCATCACTTTGATTGCAGACTGGCTTCGAACTGACTCGAGTCCCTGAAAATCAGGTGACACTCAGGGTCATCTTTTGAAATCCTGGGAATTCTGAGGAACCTTGGGGAGCTGTGGGGATTCTTGGGTGTTGGCTTGGGAAACACTTAAGTTCAGTATAGAGAGTCTGGATTTATGGTCCAAACTCAGAGAATCATCTTTGGAACTCTGGGTCACCTGCACTCAGGGAGGCGAATCTTTGGGTCATCGTGCGGCACTCTGGGTTTCCGTGTGGCACTCTGGGTAACAAGTCTGCTGCATTGCAGGCTCGCGTGCATCTCCACAAAGCCACACTTTTAGCGGGTTTAGCGGACTCCTGCGCATGATCATAGTGGTAGTGGGTTGATTCTCAGGGTAATTTGATTCTCTGGGGCACTCTGAGCCACAGCAAGATGAGGTGTACTCTGGGATACATTCTCCAGAGACACTTTCCGCCAGACTTTAGGCACTCATCGTAAGGGAAAGTCCGCGGCTGGACTGAGTGTTCTCTGAAATCCTGGGCGTGCACTCCCAGGATTCACACTTCCAGCCCGTTGGGCCCATCTGCGGTCAGGCGCTGAATTCATCCCGAGAAATCACTTCTCTCCCACTGTCGCCATCCATGTCACACGGGTACAGCCGCGCTGTATCCAAGTCATCCACCAATCAGCATCCGATACAAACTCCAAGTCACAGAGGTGACGGCGACCGCCTCGTGTCAACCGCCCCTCCTGGTCCGGGTCCATCAAAGAGGAAATCGCTCCGAACTGGTGAACCATGGCCAGGCCACAAAACCACAGAGGGCAATCCACCGTCGACTTCGATACGGCCGTTGCACTCAGTCGACTCCCAGGGTTTCACTCACTTTGGCGGCTCCCTATCTCCCCAACGGTTGGTCAGGACCTATCTTCAAGGTTCTCCTCTCAAACGCAAAAACTCCAACGTGCAATGCGCGGTCACATCGCCATTTCACATATCGTCAACATGGCGGAGAGCGGACCTTCGGACGGCAAACAAGCGACGGCGCCAGCTCAAGGCACGGCGCCCCCCGGCAGCGCGCCACCTCCGACGCAGCAGCGCACCGGCGACGCCCCTGCGAACGCCGCACCAGCAGGTGGCGGCAGCGGCCAGACGGGTGACTCAGCGTACGGCAACACTTCGACGGGCAGCACCAAGGCGGGCGCGACCAAGCACGTCTCCTTCTCCAGCGCCACCGGCAAGACCTCTGACGCGGACATGCGCGAGGCCGATGGCAACGCCTCGGCTAACGCTGCAACCCAGGAAACTGGTTACACGAACTCAGAGTCTAAGGCGCCAGACGCGGCTGCAGACGTGAACCTGGAGGGTGCCCCTGAGTTCAAGTTACCACGACACGCGACGCTGGAGGACGTCAGGGGGCTCATCTTCGCAGGCATGCTTCGGCAGGAGGAGGTCGACGTCCCCGACTTCGTACTCCCTGAGCGCCCACCGCATTGGAAACTGCCAACCCCGCCGGATCTCAAGACCAACGCGTATCTCGTGGGAGTCCCAGGGATCGTGAACGACTTCGCGCGGGTGCATTCGCCATGGAAGGCTACGGCGGCGTGTCTACGCTGATCGGCTTCGAGGAGCTCTCCGACGAGGATCTTCAGGGGTTGAAGGAAGTCTGTGGCGCCAACGCTGGGATCGACGTCCTGTGTCCGCGTCGTTCGCCTCTTTCCGCATTCGAGTTGGACAACACCCTGAATTCCATCGGTATTCGACGCGAGATGGCCTCACTCCTGCGTCACTTCAACAGCACAAGGCTCGCTGAGCGCGTGTTCAAGATGACTGGTTATCTGCGTCGAGTCCTCGGGCCTATCGAAACATGCGTTCTCTGGCTGACTCTCAGCAGGGTTTCACCGCCACTCAGGAAGTAGTCGACACGCGACGCAAGTACAAGGAACTAAAGCGCGCCTGGAAATTCACGTGCGACTACTGGTTCCTGGTGGTCCAAGAGGCCCTGGGCAAGGTGGATGATGCTGAGTCCAGGTACAAAGTCGCGCTGGGCGAGCAGAAGACGCGGTACCAAGAATAGATTGATTCTCTGGAGTCCGAGAAGGCGCAACTCAAGGCGCGCCTTGTCGACTCTGAGGCACAAGTGCGAATCCTGAAATCGCGTCTTGAGTCAGCCACCGTGGACCCCTGGAAGTTCTCTGATTTCCTTCAAGAACACATAGACTTCACGAGCAATTGGGAGCGTCTCCACGACCTCTTCAATCTCTGCATCAAGGACGCGAAGCCTCCTGAATCCTGGGACACTGTCATCAACGTCACGGCCATGGACAAGCGCAACGCTGCGGTGGCCCCGTATCCAGAGAAGAGCACGCGTATGCTGTCTTCAGGGTCTGGGTCGTTCAGTCGTCCTGAAATTCTGGATCTCACGGGTCCTGGCAGCAAGTCTCGCAGCGGCGCGAAGGCCGGAGGCAAAACTCAGGATTCCAGGAAATCTCAGGGTTCCAAGAAGGGTCAAGGCTCCAGAAAATCACGGGACCCTGAGGCGCCAGACACACAGTCGAAGTCCGCAAGCCCCCAGGTTCACAAGGTCCAGCGTCGTCCCAAGGGTCATCAGCCTGGCCGCGACTCCGTGCGTCGCGCCGGCGAGAAGACTGTGGTGTCCAAGGAGGCCGCACACACGATGCTCCCTGGGCGTGTCGTCTGGAAGGAAGTTCGGCCAGACGTGCGTCAGGCCATTCTTGCTGGGCTCAAGTACGACACAGCCATGGAGTGGATCGGCAGCGACCGGGCGGCTCACGGGCACTTCAGGCAGCCGCAGGTGAGCAAGATGCTCGTGAGCATGATGTACTGGTGTCGTCTTGACCTGACTCCCTGGAGCAAGTACGTCCCTGAAGCCTACTACGAAATGGCAGACGAGCGTCTGGACAGGTGCCTTCGACGCGGTGATGTGCCGCCACCCTGGGGGAACCTCGATGACCACATGGTGTACCCTGATGAGGACGCCGATTCCACGGTGGACGACATCGAGAACGACCCGGACTACCAGCCTCCCGCCCAGGAACCTGAGGAGAGCGCCTCTAGTAGTAGCTCTGAAGAGGAGGAGGAGGAAGTCACCCTTGAAACTCTGGAGGACGACGACGACGCAGGGGACGACGACAACGCAGAGGCCGACAATGGGGTAGAAGAACCCCTGGAAGTCAAGCCTCCTGCTAAGCGCCCCCGTTCTGAGTCAACCAAGAAACCTCAGGGTTCCAACTCGAAGTCGACGAAGAAGCGTCGCGCGGGAAACAAGACAGACACTACTGCCACTCAGGGTTCTAGTGGTACTCAGGGGTCCAAGGCTACATCACGCTCCAAGCATCCGTCGGCGCTCGCGCGGAAATCATACTCGGAGCTCACTTCAAGTGAGTTGATGACGGCCGAAGATCCTGAGGACAACGAGACTTCCTGGCGCATCTATGAAGTTCTTGTGCAATATCCAAGGTCGACCAAGAGTGCGTCTTGCCAGACTCCCGGGTTCCCAGAGTACGAGATCCACAAGTATTCGTACGACGTTGTTCACGAGCGCTGGGACCGTGAGGCATACCAAGAAGTCCTGGATTCTGAACCCTGGGAGACTATGCTTCAGGGTCGCTTCCGAGTGTTCTACTTCCATGAGCGAGAGCTGCTCTCCGCGAAAGCGCTCAAGCTGATGGAGGACGTCGTGGACGCCATGCACAAGCACGCACAGGCAATCTGGGAGCGCGGGCACTGGGTGCCTATTCCGACTGAAGAACAAGCAGACGCCACCATGGAATCTCAGCGTAAGTCGCGTCGAAACGCGCTACGCAGAGCGTACAAGACGCTTGTTGAGCGCTCGCGCAACACCCCCGGGTTCATCCCGTCGTTGTGGCACGAACCGAGTCTCTGGAAGTTCCCGGACAAGTGCTGCTACTGGGTTTGGGAGGATCCCAGGGCCAAGAAACTCGGGGGAGCTAAGTGCAAGGACTTAGACGTCCAGCTAGCGACGTTGGACATTCGTGAACCCGCTCGAGTCCAATGGAACACGACGACTGACGACGATGAGTGGCTCCAAAACGTACCGAACGACATCAAGCGCCACATCAAGCCCCTGGCCATCCGCAAGCTCAACCCGCTGTCTCTCAAGCACTCGTGAGAGTCAAGGTCACCTCCAAATCCTGAGAACCACCTGAATTTCACATGTCGTAGCGTAACTCTCCATAATACCCAGGATTTCATCTCGATCTCAGCGTCTTCCCCAGAAATGCATCGTCTGCTGACTTGTTCACTGTCTCCATGTGCTCGTAAACCTCGCCGCCTTCATCTTCCTTCTCACCACTTCACACAATGCCGAAGCCTCAGCAATATCGCCTTCTCCATAATCAAATCAAATCAAATCGCATTCGCGTTCTCCGTCTCCAATATTCACACATTCCGTCGATTTTCCCAGAGTATCACAGTGTCATTCTGGTTTCCCCCCTGATATCACATGTAACTCTGGGTTTCCCCTGAATATCACATGTAACTCTGGGTCAGTGTCACCCCAGAGTGCTAGACTCCTGGGTGATCATCTCCAGCCTGCATGGCCTGGAAACGGGCTCGCGCTCTTGCGCCTTGACTGAATTCGTACAGCAGGGCACCACAGTTGAGCTTCGACACAGGCAGGTACTCGGTCTCATCATACCCCTTCCACTTCACAAGGTACTCGCGAATTCGTCTCGATGTCCGAGTCCGTTTAGTCCATCGCAAATCCAGGATTCGCTCGACTTCGTACTCATTGTTCGCAGCGTCGGGCTCCCAGCTGTCTTCGGGCAACAACGCCGCATCAAAAACATCATCCTCGTCCACGTCGACCTCCACAGTGGGCCACTTCGGGAATAGTGCTCTAGGTTTCAAACGGCTCCCATGTACCCGGGGATTCACGCGATATCCTGTGTTCTCAACCCTGAGTTTCACGCGGAAGTTGTCATGGATCTCTTGAATCCTGAAGGCACCGTGCCACAAGTGAGCCAGTTTGCGGCTCAGCCCGGCCTGCACCTTGGGTATGTACAGCCACACGGCGTCACCAACCGCGAACCCTAACTTCAGACGTTCTGACAGCTCTCTCCACTTCCTGGTTTGTTCGGCAGAGCGCGCCCGCTTGGCCTTCTTCTGGAGATCCTCAGCTCAAGCTTGTGCATAACTGTAGTGACGTTGTAGCTTCCTGCGCCACTCGTACGCGGTACGCTCTTGGGTGCTTGATGGCCTGGGTCCCAGCATTGCCGTGTGCGTCCCAGCCGTGCACCAAGAAAAACGGAGGATCCAGGCGAGTAGCATCGAACGATGTATTCAGGGCGAACATCAGGCGCTCAGCATGGTCGTCCCAGTTGCTCTGGTCCGCCTCCGCAATGTACACTCGAATGCTGCGCCGACGGTCTGCACCGACCGCTCTTGTTGTCCGTTCGCCTGGGGGCGATACGCCAAAGTGGCCCGCTGCTTGCTACCCAGAAGTTCACGGAAGCGCGTGAACACATCACTCATGAACCTTGGGTCTTAGTCGTGCCTCAGCATCGAGCTCGCGCCGAATCTCCTGAAGACCTGCTCTTCGTACACTTCAGCGACATCTTGCGCCGTGGTGGAACTCATGGGTTCACACATGACGAATCCTGAGAACGCATCCTGAAAAAGCAGCAGGAACGTGTTCCCACGGTCCGACTTATGCAAGTGTGTCACGAAATCCATAGACACAACTTCAAAAGGGCGCCTCGGTTCGATGTTCCCAGGGAAAGGCCCTGGATTCTGAGGGCGCCCCTTGCCGCTGGGGCAATCCGCACACTCTTTGACGAAAACTTCCACATCAGCGTACATGCCGTGCCAGTAGAACTCAGAGAGCAGCTTCTCGAACGTCCTCGTAATACCCTGGCGCCCACCCTGAAAATCTTCGTGAGCGTAATGCAGGATATCCGATCGCAGAGCTTTTGGCACCACGAGTCTGAGTTCGTCAACCATGTCTCTGGGTCGATCTCTGGTAGACCGACTCAAGCGATACAGGACTTCTCTGGAATCCAACACGAAATCATCAGCGACCTTCGCGAGTTTCCTGGCTTGGGCGTGCGACAGCTTCGTCGTGTAGCCCTTCAGGAATTCCTTGAGTTGCAGCAAGTGATCGTCTTTGTCCTGGTGCACTTTGATGCGTCGCCAGCGTTCTGCCTGGTACTCCAGAGGTCCCATGGGTTCGCTTTGGGCTTCGATCTCCTGAGTTCGCGCCCGAGTCATTACTGCAAACACTTTGGCCGCCACAGGCAACGGAGCGCACTCAGGTCCAGGGATACCCAGAGTTTCGACACCCTGAGAATCACTCCCCTGAATTCCAACGTTCAATAACACCTTCGGTTTTACCAACTTCTCGTGAATCTTGGACACCAACTGCAGATGTGTTCCTTCGTCAGCATCCTCCACCTTCCAGGATTCACCAAGCGCGAGGGTCTTAGACGTCAGGTAGTCTGCGGCCTGGTTAAACTCTCGTTTGACATGCACCAGCCGCACAGACTTGAACTTCGTCTTCAGCACTTCATACTCGGCCAGCTTCCTCTGGAGATTTGGCTGATTGCAGTTGATGAGACCCTGGGCTTGCTGGATGGCAATCCTGGAGTCCCCAACTACAACGATATCCTGAATCCCACGCTCAATCGCCAGAGTGAGGCCCTTCAGAAGTCCATGATACTCAGCGTCGTTCACAGTCACGTCCTCCAGGATGAATCCCTGGGCATCCAGGATTTCCTAACCGGGGACGTGCCACAGAATGCAACCACAGCTCCCTTGTCGCGTGGAAGTCTTAGCGGCGCCATCAAAACTCAGAATACACCCCTCATAATCCGCTTCCAGCATTTCCATGCTGATAGGCACTGAGGTTTGACGCGCCCCTTGGCTGGGATCAGGTTTTCAGCGATCTCATCCAAGTGTTCTCTGGGGGTAATACCCGCACCCAGAATTGCAGCCAAGCCGTCTTCATCCCGTTGAACTCTGCGTATCTCCAGGTTCCAGTGGGACAACTTCAGACCCCACTTCACCGTTCGACTGTCTGCCGACTGCGAGGTCAGCAACCACTTCAACACAGAGTATCGCGTGTAGACAACGAACTTAGGGCTGCCTTCAACCAGACTGCGAAACACCTCCAGAACTCTCAGGATAGCACTCACCTTCTTCTCCGCAATGTGATACCGCAGCTCAGCGTCATTCAGGACGCGACCTGTGAACCGAACCGGATGCACAATCCCGTCGTACTCCTGGCCCAACACAGCAGATGCTGCCCACGGGTTCGCGTGGGGAATAATCACGAAGGGCCTTGAACGATCCGGATGTCTGAGCAACGGAGTCGAAACAATCTTGCGCTTCAGGATTTCAAAGGCTTCCTGGGCTCTCGACAGGTCTCGCCTGAGTTTCACTTGTTCCTCAGTCAGCTCGTACAGGACGGCCGCGATCACGGGTAGGTCTTCAATGAACTTGTTGTAGTAATTTAGACTCCCCATGAAACTCTGGACACCTTTCAGTGTCGTCGGGAACGGCAAGTCTTGAACCCCCTTCGCGATTTTAGGGGTCGCTCGGATACCCTCAGCACTAATCTCGTGAGAGAGATACGGAATAGACAACTTCCCGAATTCGCTCTTGGGAAGACTCACAGAGATATTCCAGTAACGTAGTCGGAAGAGCAGCGCGTTCAGATCCTGGCACAGCTGCTCCCAAGTAGGCGCACCGTGGGCGATATCGTCGATATACGAGCTTCAACCCAGGACAGGGCCCATCTGAGAGAGAGCCGGGATGTTACGCTGGAAAACAGTCATCTCATCCGTCAACACTGAAAGTCGCAGGGCATTTTCACCTGAAACTGTGGGTTCCCCAGAGTTCAACCCCAAAAAGCCCAAGCCATCCTGGTCAACCTCAGCTTCTTCCTCAGGGGAATGCCGCAGAAATCCCCACAGACAGTTATTGAGAACTGCCTGGTAGATCAGCGGGGCGTTCTTGAGGCCAAACGGCATCCTGACCCACTGGTAATGCCCATAGGGACAGACGCACGCAGAGATCAACTTGGCTCTCTCGGTCATCTTGATAGCCCAGAAACCACTCGCCATGTCCAAGCTCATAAACCACATCGCTGACTCAAAGCCAATCAAAAGATCATCAATAAGCGGTAGCGTGTAATGCGAGAGCTTGATGAAGCCATTCACCACGCAGTAGTCGATGCACATCCGGATGTCAACGCCATTCTTCTTGAGGTCGATCACGATCGGAGATGCCCAGGGGGACGTAGAAGTCTCGATCAGCCCGTTCTCCAGAAACTTCTTCAGAAGTTCATACACCTTGGTCCACAAGTGTGGTGCAATGGACCTTGGCCGCTGGGCAACAGGTTTAGCGTCGCCTACATCCAGGTCACAAACCACTCCACGGGCAGGTAAGGGAGCTGCATTGCCGTCTCCCAAGAAGATCTTCCGATGATCTTCCAGAATTCGCCTCACTTGGTCTTCCATCTCGGGCGTCGTTTTCCCAGGGACTCCAACATCTGCGTCCTCGATTTTGCACTCAGGGGTCAAGTCACGCATCTCAGGAAGCATAACCAACTGGTCACGCAACTGAGAGAGTAACTCACTTCCTTCGCGTATGTAGACCGCAGGCTCGTAGTCGAGGTCCTCTGTCGAGAGCTGCATGCAGCGCTCATATTCCTGCTTCAGCTTCTCCAACGGAGTTCCCGGCATCCCTGAGATCGGGATATCCCAGTAATCTTCAACAGCACCCTGAGAATCGTCGTCATCCACATCGAATCCCAGAGAATCACCTTCCTCGCTCCACTGACCCTGAGAATCACTGCCAACTTCAACCTGTAAACTCAGGTTTTCAGCAGCCGTATCACCTTCAGGATTCGTGTACTCTGGGGTTCCGACAGTCTGCGAGGCAACATCGGTCCCCGCATCTTTCAGAACGCCACCCAAGTCACTCGAATCAACAGCAACGTCTCGGAATTCAGGAGGGTCTTCAGGGGGCACCTCTTCAGACTGAGTTGCAGCGTCTTCAGCAAAACGCACGCGACGAGTCTTCGGTTTCCTGAGAATCGAGGCAAGCAGTGCCATGTCGGGGCACTTTGCAGGTCGCGACAGAATCTTCGTAGGCCACTGATACTCTGGG